GCCATTATTATCATTGACTGGAAGGGATGGCGAGCCAACTAACCGCCAGCCAAGCAGCCCTTTTCCATCAGTTGAATGTTTGCTGCATGTCATTCTGAAGCCCGAGTGGACCCCAGACTTCCATTCTTCCGTTCTTCCATTCCAAACTGCCAGAACTCAGCGGTTTACTCCGTACTCCGTCCCTGTCTGACAGCGCCGCTGGAATGCTGCCCCTGCCAATTATCCCGCCGGCTGGATCGTGGCTCGCTAGTGGCCTCTAGTTCCTTGACTCTGTCCTAGCCTGGACTCTGGAGAACCGAATCGCACGGCTGACAGAACAGAACAGAGAAGCAGAGATCGCAAAAGGGGCATCTAAAGATAGATATGGCGCCATTATTTAACTATTGATCCGATGGGAGCAACTAGCTAAGACATCTTGATCGCCTGATTTGACTCGCTGGTGCTTGTCTGACCTGAAGATTTACTAACCAGGTGCTACTACCACGACCAGGTCGAGCCCACCGAATCCTTGTTCAATACCGTTCACGATAACAAGGTCTCGGTCGCAGAACTCCACCCCGTCTCGACGATATCTTTTCGTATTACTCCTTACATCTATCTATGCCAGGGAAATTGCGGCAAGGAAATTTGTCTCTGCTGGCAGGTTGGAGATGCGCATACAAAGTACGGAGAAGTTACAAGTGACTACTACCTCGCATGTGCAGTCTACAGTCGACAACGTGCTCCATCTTCTGTGATACATCCGATCAATCCGTACGGGGCCCTCCGTAATATTGATCCGTATTATGATTGCAGGATCCTTTCTGGAACAGCGTGGGACTTGGTACCTGCCAAGAACAAGCCACACAAAAGGCCCATCCACGGAATTCTGGACAGAGTCCCAACTATCGAGTGCTTAGTACTTGCTCCGTACCTTAACTACACATTCAATCCATTAGTTTTTCCTAGCGACGTTACATTCTCTATGAATACCAAGTTCTTTTTCCATAAGTACTGCAGACTCCATAGTAGAGCTGCTCTTCCTCGGCCACCTTACGCAAGAGCGAGAACGAGAACACAGCACACCCGAGTCCGAGAACCGTAGTCGTACAACAACGATACCAGGTCTATTATCTATCGTACTCGCTTTTCATATCTTAGATCCTCTCGAATCCATCTCTGTCAGACTGCTGAGTATGACTGGCTCGTCCCTGTCAATGCCAAGTCTCAAATAGGGGACCCCGATCGTGATCCTGTGGCTATGCGACTTCTACTTTCGAGATCGTCACATCGCAACCGAGAGAACACCGACGGAGAGTAGATACGGGAGGAGACACAGTGATGAATGACAATCGAAAAAAAGACAAACTACGTACTACAAAAACTACAGAAGAGATGGGCCATTTGTGTGCGGGCGCAGAAAACCGTTTATTGGTATAGTGAGGCAGCCCTAGGCGATGACCATCGCGGAAATCATTCATCAAAGTCCCGAAATTCCCAAGCACAAACAAAGAGAGAAAACCACAAGCCAGCCTAAGTCGGCGGCGATATTCAACAGAACTCCAAACCCCAGATCCCATTCCAACTCCAATTCCCAGATGTTTTTTTTTTTTTTTTTTTTTGTTATTTGGTCTTTGTTCGAAAAGAAATGTCATCCGTAGGCCCGTATGTCGGTCCTGCAGAAGGGAAGAAGATTGAGACGATGCGATCAAACGGTCCAAGACAGCAAGAGGCGAGAGGCATATTTTGCTGTTTGCTATCTGGAAGGTCCGGATCGGATCGTGTGAATTGTGCTCAAGGCGATTCGATGAAGAGAAAAAGAAGATGGAAAGGTTTATGTTCATCGTTCAGGTGCAGAGCAGGATGATCCGAGACGTAACGAGAGAGAAAATATTGGTGTCATTAGTCTGGACAGGAAGGTCGGTCGGCTCGTGTGTCGGTCCTGACCGGGAAGAAAATGTTCGCAGAGAAGATTGAGCTGATGCGGTCCGATGGTTTGTGACGACGTGAAGAAAGTCAAGTTTGCTGTCATCGACCGAAGACATCCGCATCATTTGCTCTTGTGGACGCTGCTCGCTAGACTTCGATGAAAGAAGGAAGAGATGATTAGGTTGTTCATCATTCAGTCGCGAAGCAGGATGGTTCAAGGTGACGAGACGAGAGAAGAAAGCTTAGTCGCTTGGTCGCCATGAAAATGAATGAGACGGGACGGTTCATCGTCCATTCATGAGACAGGATGGTCCAAGGTGGCAAGGCGAGAGAGGAAAGCTTGGTCGTCTGTCGGAGAGATTCGATTTAATTGTTGTGGACTGTGCCCAATGCGGTGCCATGAAAGGGAATGATACGGAACGGTTCATCGTTCATTCCCAAGGCAGTATGATCTGATTCGGCGAGACGAGAGAGAAAAGCTTGGTCGTCTGTCTGAGAGATCCGATTTTCTTGTTGACTGTGCCCAACGCGGTGCCATGAAAAGGAATAGGACGGAACGGTTCATCGTCCATTCGCAAGGCACGATGGTCTGAGTCGGCGAGGCGAGTGGAAAACTTGATGTCGTCTGTCTGAGAGATCCGGTGCCATGGAAAGGAATGGGACGGAACGGTTCATCGTCCATTCGCAAGGCAGGATGCTCTGAGGCGGCGAGACGAGAGAGGGAAGCTTGATGTCGCCTGTCTGGGAAATCCGATTTGATTCTTGTTGACTGCGCCCAACGAGGTACCATGAAAGGGAATGAGACGGAACGGTTCATCGTTTATTCCCAAGGCACGATGGTCTGAGTCGACAAGACGGGCCAAGACACCGTGGAGAGCAAAGTCCTGTGTCGGTTGTCTGGCTTGGTCCGGGTCGGTTGGAGACGACGATTCTCGATGCAGGTCGATGGCAAGAATGCGATAACCACGACGGTTCATCGTCTGCAAAGTGCACGTCGGAGATCTCCAAGGGGGGAAAGATGAAAGTCGAACACGATCCGTCGGGGAAAAGGAGATCTGTGATGATCGAATCGCTGTCCGTAGCGAGAAGGGGGGCGGTTCTCGCGAGAATGTCCCCGGCAGCAGTGCAGTCGGTGATGAGAGACTTCAGAAAAAGATCGCCGGGTCTAAGACCAAAAGGAAATCTCTCAAGCCGAGTTGCAAAGTGCCGGTTGTTTTCCAGGTTCTGTGTCGTGCCAATGTGAGCCACTCATGCCAAATAATTGCCAGGAAGTTCGGGAAAGTCACGGTGGTCGCAGCCCCTCTGGTCCAGATCACTCTGTCATGCATCTGTGGCGTGCGCAGCTCTGTCGTAATACCAGAGGGGGGAGGAATCGTCGAAACGATCATCTGTCGAGATTGCTATAGCCTCACGACCCGTCGCTAGAGATTGCTCCCCAGCCGTTTCGATGAAGGGCATAACAACTCCTTGAAAACCAGATGCGCAGGCTTTGACACCCGCGTCCTCCAATTGCGAATCTGCTTTTTTGCTGTCTTGGAATGGGTGGCATCCTCAGAAGAGCGTGACAAGCCGAAGCCTGGTCCTCTCGAGTAGCCGTTTGAGAACCACATTCTCGACGTGCAGTTTGCAGATTTACACCTGCTTGTCCTCCAGTTGGGTCTCCTGCGAAGACAGCTGAGTTTTCAGGTTCTCAACGGTCCCTGAAAGCTGTGCCTCGCGCATTTGACCCTGGTCAAGCCGAATCGAAGCAACACCAAGCTGCTGCTTGAGCTCTGCGATTTCCATCGGCAGCCTAACGTCGGCCTGCTCCTGGACATCGTCGAACTGGGCCTCAAGCATCTCATAGTCGAGTTCGAGCGAGGTGTTCTTCAGGTTGGCGTCGGCGAGTTCTTGTTGGAGTTCCCGAATCTTGTTGTCGGCCGCCTCCTGTGTCGCAGCGAGCTGTCGTTGAAGGTCGATGACCTGCGAAACGGCGTCATCGTATCCCTTCTTGAAAGTGGCGCACTCGACAGCAAGCTCCTGTGAGCGTTGCTCGAGGATTGGGAGACGTCTCTCGTCACTTTCAACTTTGGCGACAAGCTCGGCGTTCTGGGCGGCGAAAAGCTGGCATTTGGCATCGAGTTGGCGATTTTGGTTGCGGGCTTCGGTCTCCCGGGCTTCAGCGGCGGCCAGGCGGTGCTCGATGGCGGCGAGCTTGTCATTCCGAGCTCGAACGGATTCGAGCTCGGCTCTGAGCGTTTCGAACTCACTCAGGGACTTGGACTCCACCTGGGCCGGCCGAAGGGAAAGCTGACGTTCCAGCATCGAGACTTTGTCGGAGAGAAGCCGCTCTCGCACATTGGCACGTTCCTCCTCTTGCCCCAAGTTAGCACGGGCTTCAGCTAGCTGTTGAAGGGTCCGCGAGAGCTTAACCTCAAGGTCGGAGGACAGTGCATCTCGGTTCTGAACGGCGGTATCCCGTTCGTCAGTCAGCTGCTTGGCGATAGCCCGGCTTCCTTGAGCGTCCTGCTTGGCCATCCGAAGCTCTTCCATCTTGGCAGCGACGATCCCCTTGTACTGGCTGATGATTTTGTCAAGATCAGCCATCACGTTCCACAACCGGAAAACCAGTGGAGAAAGGGACGTCAGGAAGAGCCGTGTCTCGCCGTCAGCATTCTCTGCTTCTGTCGAAAGACTGTCAGCACGCTCGGTCGGTGCGTCGGAAGAAGCGGCGATAGAGAAGGCGCGGACAATGGCGGGCGAGACACAGATGACCGCGAAAGCAAGGACGAAGGCGAATTCGCTGTCGAGGAACCGGTCAAACTCCAAGTCCTCAAAGATTATGGCCGAAAGCTCGAGCCCAGACGCTTCTCCGAGGCAGTAGACGGCCTGCGACCATTGACGCGTATCTAACCAGACGCCGTCACTGTATTCGTTGAGCATGCCCAAGCAGTATGGCGACCAATCCCCGTACTCTGATGTCCACCCGCCGAAGAACCCGGACAGGTAGGGCATCAAAGTGCCGTGGATGACACCATACGCGGTCAAGCCAGCGATATACGTGCCGAACAACCGGAAGACCGTATCTTGAGGTCGGTGAGGGGGGAAGAACCATCTATCGGCGGAGGCGACGAACTGGGCGAGCATCGAATCGACGAGGAATCTTGTTGCCCGGTGTTTGGCAACAGCAAGTCTGGTTCGGAGCTCACGGGGGGAGCGGATAGCGGCGAGTTGCATGACGAGCCAACTCGCAAGGCGAACACAGGACTTGACCGGGTGGAGGACGAGTTTGCCGGTGACGGCGACAATCTGGGCGGCGATGTGGTCAACGAAACAGACCACAACGCAGAGGAGGGACAGCACCGCGAAGAAGATCGCGGCCCCTGCAGACGAGTCGAGACCCGCCAACAGGGCCAGAAAGCCGGGGCCTTCTGGGCTGTATTCCTCACCGACGGTGTTCGTGGTTGCGAACATTTTGACAGCCGTCGTGAGGTGTCGAAAGAGGAAAAAGGAAAACGAGGTCGAAAAAGGTCGAAAGAAAGAGGGAGAGAAGGCAAAGAAGGGTTCTCAAGGGAGCGAGAAGATTAAAAGGCTTCTTTGCAGAGAGGAAAGACGAGAGCAAGTGCTTGTGATAGCTGTGCTTTGCGTCGAGGAAGAGAACTGCTTGCAGTGTCTGGGGAGAGGAAAGAAGAAGAAAAGGAAAAGGGGAGGAGGTGCGAGAGATTTATCCTGTGGATTTGACGCCATATGGCTAAGCGAAGAGAACTGTCTACCCATACATTCACTTGCGTCTGAAGTGAGAGTTGCATCTCAAAGTGAGAGCAGTGACTTGGGGAGACTTCCCAAACAGGAAACGGGGGGGGGGGGGTCAACTGGAGGGCGGGAACCACTTCTGACAGGCAAACAGCCTGCTAGAGGATCCAGGTGGGGATACAGGCCGCCTCCCCGAGCCAATCTCCAGGCGTTTCCATGCTCTGAAACTCCCAACTGAGACTCGCAGGTGGATGCGTGGGCATTTTCGAAAATCCAGCGGAACCCAGGCGGAGCCAATCATAGTGGGCAGAGCAGCTCGTGGACGTCCGCCTGTGCTGGACTGGATTGAGCGGGAGCTTTCATTGGACCGGGCTGATCAGCTGGTGACTCCCGCCATGGACTCGCCAAGCGAGAGGGAAATGAGAGAAAGCAGCGTAACCAATAGCTGCGAAAGGCTCCGAGGGCGTGTCGGCAAGCAGACGACTCTATTGGATGTCTAGAGGGGGGGGTAACGAGAGTGAGTGAATGCCCTGCACTCTGCCTCATAGAAAGCCGGTACAGGAGCCTTGGAACCCTCCAGATTACGGTATCAACACGAGAGCTGGTGAATGGTGTGAAACGCCGTTACCCTGCCTACGAGAGCTTTTCAATGTCGTCGCTGGTTTGAGTAGGTGAAGCAAACTGAGGATATTCGAGCGGTGGATGGTAGGAGGGCTATAGGTTGGAGAAAGGCCCGCAGCAGTTGAGAACTTGAACTACCTAGTAGTAAGAGATGAGCTCGAAGAACATGTATGAACTACGCGTAGTTATATGGTAGTCACTTCGCTTACCTTGTAGTCGTATACGCTTGCAGTTGCTAATGCCTGGCAGCGCAGAGCAGGATTATATCAAGATACCTGTCTGGCGAGGAGCGAAATATATATCGAGGATACAGCACAGCAAAGAACCCATTGCTTCTGCCGGTAATCTTAAATTTCCATATCCATATATATAAAGTCTGTTGAATGCCAGGACCGAGTGGACTTTTTATATTGAAGCGTAGTTTTATAATCTACAGTCTATACCAGCTTTGAGTTGTCTATTTATATTATTTCTGGGAAGACAGGCTACCATATTGCTTCGTTAAAGACATAATACCTCTCTGCTTTGTTTGGTAGTTGCATTATTGATATGCTGGGTGCTCGCTCTAGCGAATATATATAGCTATACCTACCTAAGTGTTTGCAAGCTCCTACTTTCAGAACAAACCTCTGGTGCTGAATATAAAAATTCCCAGCTGGATACTCAGGAAGTATTGAATAGAAAAATTCGTAATGACATTATTGAAAACTATAATTGGATAGGGTGGTACAAATTCGAGCCGCTCGTCAAGAGAAATCGCAATAAGCAGCAAATAGGGTCTAGAGTCTAATATGGATAGCGAGGTCAATATTCTAGAGTTTGCTTAATCGCATCGTATATCCCTAAGAGGGGTCCTATTAGCAAGGTTGTGAACAGCCCCGAGACAGTACTTACTAGCAACGTCAGGCAGAATAAATTGCTCAAAGGTCAGGCCGGTATGAACGCTCCACCCGGCCACTCGCTTCACAGGAGCTTCAAGGCGTAAGAAAGCGCCGTCTTGAATGGTGGCTGCGACTTCTGCCCCGACACCGTAGTTGATCATGCTTTCATGGACGACCACTGCCCTCCCAGTCCTCCTGACACTCTCTAGAACCGTCTGGCGGTCCCATGGATAAATCGTTCGAAGATCGATCAGCTCAATGCTGACTCCCGTGGCCTTTTCGATAGCTGCAATCGCGGACGAGCAGAGATACAGGGGCTGACCGTAGGAGATCACCGTCAAGTCTTTGCCCGGTTTGATCGTTTCGGCTTTACTCAACGGAATAGTATAATACTCATTCGGTACGTGCTCCACAGACGCACGGTATAGCACCTTCGGCTCCATGAAGATGACGGGGTCTTTACATTCGAAAATCGCGGACAGCAAGAGTCCCTTGGCTTGCGACGGCGATCGAGGCATCACTACGCGTACTCCTGGCACGTGAGCGAACAGTGATTCCGGTGACTGCGAATGATATCTGTGGGAAAGGAAGAGTGAGAAACATGTCAGGTCAAGTCAGCGGAGAAATACCAACAGGGCTCCATGTCCCACCGCACCACAGGGCATCCGAATCACTAAGCCGCCAGCGTTGCCCTCTGTCCCCCCCTCGCGGTATCGAAATTTAGCTGCTTCGTTGACAATCTGATCGAATGCTGGAAACACATAGTCGGCAAACTGGATTTCCGCCACGGGCTTCATGCCCTCAGCCGCAGCGCCAATGGCGAATCCTACAATCCCTTGCTCGGTCAACGGGGTATTAAACACTCTTTCCGACCCAAACTCCGTCTGCAGGTCCATGGAGCACCGAAATACACCGCCAAATGCCACATCTTCGCCAAACAGGAGGACCTTATCGGAGGTGGAAAGAGCCGTACGGAGGGCGGAGTTGATCGCCTGGTAGAGATTCAGCCGCTTCGTTGTTGCATGTTGGGGTAAATCTGTCGCTCCCGACAGCGTGGATGGCGTGTGATGCAGTAGCGGAGTAGTTTTGTAATCAATAGGCAGATTGAGTCTCGCTGAAGGGGAGGGTGCGGTAGAGTGCGACCGTCTTGGTTGTTTGAAGGAGGGTGGTCGTCGTAGCAATAGTCTCCGCACGAGGGCTGGCGGAGCAGTCGTCATGTTGAGATGGCACGAGTTTCTCCCCTTTTGATCCTCGTTCCCTCGGTTTTTCTTATAGGGTATGGCTAGAATGAGCAACCCTCGGTTCCTCGGCCATTTAAAGGAGCCACCCTTTTATATCGTCCCTGCCCTCATGTCTGTCCAGATGAACAATGCGGGGATGTCAACCGAACGACCGCAGCTAACCGAACACTTTTTTGCCTGAGGCCGTAAAATATATGCCTTAATGCCTTAATGCCTTATTGCCTTCATGCCTTACTGCCGGAGTTCCCCCTCACGGGAATGAGTCAGCGGTTGTTGCCGTGTTGGGCCAGGTGTCTGTTATACCACTTCTGATTGGACAGAGCTGCCGACCTAAGCGCTGGAAGGAGACTAGGTGTGCGAACTGGAATGGATTATTGTTCAACATGAGTGCGTAAAGTTCCCTCTCGTGTTTTTTTACTTGATCGGCTCCTGTCTTGCAGTGGTTAACTCTTGACAATCCTTTTTTTTATCCACAGTGATAATTGACCACCTGTCGAATCACGACAGGATTTAGCGGACCTCCGACATTAGCTCTAGTTATTGTCATCCAGCCCGGACCGCCTAGCGCACGTCATTGCCGCCCGGACCCTACGATCCGACTGACTCTCGTGCTCTTCGAGGAGGAAAAAAACAATGCCCGCTCAGTGATACGCTGTTCTTACAGATTGCCCTCGAGTCTCTGATGGCTGCACCTGCTGTGAACCAGTATGTGGTCGGTCGGCCACTGGTACTAGGGCTAGCGAAGGTGCTTTTGCTTGCGATCGCGCAGCTTCCTCTTATCTCTGCCGCGCCCGCTCGTTTTCAACCGCAAGTCTCGGAAACAGATCCAAAGTCCCCAGATGACCCTGGCCTATGGCTGAACTTGGGCATCGCTGCCGCCTTGGTTCTTTGCGGTGGCGCCTTCGCTGGGTTGACGATTGCGTTGATGGGCCAGGTTTGCCTCTCCAGCCCCCCGCAAGGGTCGGATCTCACGACAAGCTGACACCTTTCTTCTTCTTTCAGGACGAGGTCTATCTACAAGTTATTAAATCTTCTGGCGAGGAATCAGAGAGAAGGAATGCAGCGAGTGTGTTGCACCTGCTACAGAAAGGAAAACATTGGGTACTGGTGACTTTGCTTCTCAGTAATGTGATCACAAACGAAACACTGCCAATTGTGCTCGACAGATCGCTTGGTGGAGGCTGGCCCGCAGTGCTGGGGAGTACAGTCCTAATTGGTACGAGCGGAGAACAGATCTGGATGGGAGGGTGATATTTGCTAATCAACCTGTCTTCTATCAGTTATTTTCGGAGAAATCGTTCCTCAGTCGATATGCGTCCGTTATGGCCTCCCTATCGGTGCTTGGATGGCTCCCGCTGTTCTCGTCCTCATGTATGTTATGTCTCCGGTGGCATATCCTGTCGCCAAATTGTTGGACAGACTACTCGGCGAGGATCATGGCACCATCTATAAGAAGGCGGGATTGAAGACCTTGGTCACCCTACACAGAACTTTGGGCCATGCGGGCGAACAGTTGACTTCCGACGAAGTAACAATCATCAGTGCAGTACTGGATCTGAAGGAGAAATCTGTCGGAGGCATCATGACTCCCATGGAAGATGTTTTCACCATGTCTGCTGATACTGTTCTCGATGAGACGACCATGGATTTGATCCTCTCACAGGGTTACTCGCGCATCCCTATCCACGTACCGGAGAATCCGATGAACTTTGTTGGAATGCTCTTGGTTAAGATGCTCATTACTTATGACCCCGAAGATTGCAAGAAAGTCAGAGACTTCGCGCTCGCGACTCTTCCCGAGACCAGACCGGAAACCAGCTGTTTGGATATTGTGAACTTTTTCCAGGAAGGGAAATCCCACATGGTCCTCGTCTCTGATAATCCGGGTGAAGATCACGGCGCTTTGGGTGTTGTAACTCTGGAAGATGTCATCGAAGAGCTGATTGGCGAGTGAGTCTTCGTTATCTGAGGTCGTTTTGATCCTTCCTGTGCTAACGGCTGGACTAGGGAAATTATCGACGAGTCGGACGTCTTTATTGATGTTCATAAGGCTATCAGGAGAATGGCCCCTGCTCCCCGGTCCCGAGTCCTGAAGGGTCGCTTCGTAGAGGAGTCGCCGCAAACATTGATGGTGCCTGAGGGCGAGCTCATCGACACAACTGACCAATTCAATTCTCCTCCCTCGAATACGACAGACAATGTTCTGCGCCGGAGTTCCATCGAAGCGCCCCCCCCACGATTCCAGTTGCGCAAACAATTAACGGACAGAAACGCCGACCCGTCTCATGGATGGATCACACAAAGAGGAGCTACCGACGAGATTCGTGAACATCTCAAGCATTTGGGTCCTTCGAATCTGGCGAGCCGTCCCCGCGAAACTCGGTACCAAAATGTCAAGATCAAACGAAACAGCAGATCACCCAATGGCTCAGGCTTAGGTGATTCCGATTCTACTCAGACCATCATCGATCCGGGTATCACATCAGCCGGCTACCAAGGAGGAATTGGAGCCGGAATTCTGCACTCGGGAGGGGTTGATGCAAAAGACGGTGTTCACGCTGTCAAGCTGGGATATGGTGCCTACGGCTCCGCCGATGGGCTGAGCAAAAGCACCAGCGCAGAGCAATACAAGGATCTCCCCAGCGTGGCGATACCGGAGGTTGTCCACGAAGAAGAGGACGAAGCAGTGGCCAATGCCTCTCAGCAAAGAAGTAACGCCAGCGCCCATTCGTCAGACTCCCAATCCAGCGACCGTTTGCGACGGACTTATCTTCACAGGGGCCCGGCGCGGAGCGGCAGCATTACAGAGCAGATCATAGATGTCAATGGAGTGCGCAAAGTTATTCTCCACACTCACAGTAGTGCCTCGGAGAACGAATCGCAAGAGCACTCCACAAACGGCCGCCGACACCGTCACCAGCACTCAGCCGATGAAAATACACACCAAGATGAATCCACTAAGACGACCAAGAAGAAAAGACGCAAGAGAAGACGCGGACATGGCAGCCACAAATCTGGTGAAGAGCAGTTGTTAATACCGGAATGAAAAACTCCTACCGGAGACTGTTAGGCATGTCTTCTCTGATGTGTGTGTCTTGATCCTCTTCTTTACTGTCTCTCTGCCAGCCAGAGTGATTGACTGTTTGCAGCATATGTTCTAAAGGCAGAATGTGAAAACAAAATGGAATCATCTTTTCCCTTTTGACGACCTATACATATCGGACGAGAAAAAGAGTTTCGGAACTGGGAATATCTGTGTTTTTCCTTAATCTGCCCCTTTCCCTTCCCCTTCTCATGAGATATATCTATGATTCCTTTCCCCGAAACTGCTTCATCAATCTTAGACTGCTTTTGCGTATTTGGTCATGCGAATGACCTACATATACTGTAGAAGACTTGGGATATAACTATAACCATTGCCACAACCCCTCCGTACTGTAGATTTTAAGTGGGGAGAAAATGAAGACATTCGAATGAGCTTTTTGTCATATATCATAATCTCATGAAGCAGATATTTGCAGCCACAGGGGTTTAAATCAAGCTTCTGCACTGCCTATGAACCGGAGAGTAGAAGTTTGCGAATGTTCTAGGGAAGGGTATGTACAAGGGTCATGCAACGAACAGATAAAAACCTGAAGGAGGAAAGAAGAAAAAGAAACATGGATAGAATCATTGAAGGAGCGGATCCTGTGAAAGGGTAAGCGCTGATCGAAAAGTGAGAAAATTGCAAAAGGGAGACATACTCTGAAATGCTTTTGGCTGTTGTTGGCCCGTTGGACCCGAGCCTTGATACGGTGCTCCTCACGCTGTGCGCGGGTGCGCTCTCTCCGTTCGGAATCGAGAGCAGCACGTTTCTGCTCATCTGAAGCCCCGATCATCCCCAGACCGCCGTTAGCACGCGTGATAATTGCACGGTGGTGGTTCGTTCGGCCTCTTGGCTCCTCTTCTTCGATTTCTCCGTTTTCAATGGCGAGTTGCCGGGCAGCGCGCTCATCAGCGGAGGGGTAGTTGTGCAGGTTCTGACGGAAGTATTTGGCGAGAGAACGGTGACCGACACTTCTTCCGGAAGGCAAGTGAAGCTCGTATTCGGACTGGTAGATAACCGGGGCCTGCTTGCGAGAGCCGAGATCCTCTGGATCAACCGATGACGCAGAGGTATCGTCGGTTTCCCATCCTTCTGCATCAGCATCCGACGAAGAAACCTTGACACCGCCGTCTTCCGGCGTTCCTTCCTCCTCCTCATCCTCCCACTCATCTTCACCATCCGAGTATGTGCTGCGGAAGTCGTAGTATTGACCGATCTCGATCTGCTCCTCTTCGGTCTCGAAAGCAATCATGCAGTGGCCCTTATCACGCATGTGGGTGCGGATACCAGCAGGACTATTCCGGATAGCATGGCAGTACAAACACTCGCTGTTCTCTGCGATTTTGCGGTACAGATAGTGAATCAACCCGTCCAAGTCCACAAGGTAATCCTTTTCGGGGATAAACATGCCGTGTGCCTTGAGCATGTGTTCCACGTTCTGTTTGATATCCGATGAATCCTCGTTACAGAAGAGGCAGCGAGAGTTGGAGTATTTTTCTTCGCCAGCTGCATCTTCACCTTCACCTTCTTCCCCGTCTTCTTCACCATCTTCTTCGATTGTAGCCGTCTTGAGGCTTTGTGTGACGTGAGAGACATCGGCCTGATTCGAGCGAGTCTTATTGATAGGCTCTCCAAGCGAGAAAGCAGAACTCATCACCGAGGCAGTTTCGTCGGCATCCTTGTCCACACGGGACACACGTTGCCTATGCTTCGAACTTTTGATATGATTCTGATACGAGTTCTCGCTGTAGAATGTCTTCTGGCACGGGTTGCAGGTCCTTTCGAATGAGGCCTTGGCGGCGGCGGCGGCGGTCGTAGCTTTGGCGGCCAGGACCTTCTCGTTGAAAATTTCTTGGGACACAGGGGGCAAGGCAGCCATACGACGCTTCATGTTGTATAAGCTGCAGGGAAGAAACCAAGTTGTCAGCTATTGTTCAACTCGTCAATACGATATTCAGAAGCCTTTTTCGCACTTACTGCCAATCCCGGCGCATATGATCTCTCTGCGCATCGCTGCTGCGGAACCCGACAAGGCAGGTGTTGCAGGTATAGGGGAGATCGGTTCCATCCATTTTGTGAACCCTATAGAAGATATATGGACTTATCTCTCAGGATATCTCAGATAGAAATTTAGTAGTGAGAGTGATGGCTATCAAATTAATAATCCTGCGAATAGCGGGGCCGTCGTGATGTGTGCGACAAATATTAAGCCGCCGAGTGGGGTATGCAGATGAGGGCAAGATGGTGAAGAGTACAGTAAAAAAAGAACTATGACTCTTATGGACGTTCTTCAAATTATAAATCCCCTAATTTCTCCTGATAGATCCTTAGTTGAAGGGACTGGAGCATTCCATTCCTGTCCTTCGTCTAGAAAATCTTCGGCTCGTCTTAGTGGCGATGACGTCCGGATAAGAGACCATTCCCAGTAGGGCTAGCGTAGGAGGAATAATGTCGCTCCGTGTCCCGCCATGAGTGACTCCCGCCTTTCTGCCTGAGGCAGCTAAGTCAGCCGTTGCACCAATCGTGACGAATGGCCTGCACGACATCAACGCCGCGTGCGTCGGGTTCTCGCTGCACTTGCCATCGGTAGCAACGAAGAAATCCTTCACTTTGAACTGGCGGGCGCTTCTTCCGGCAAGCTGGCTTGCCTTTCAATCATCGACAGCAGCGCTATGTTCTCTTGGCCACGAACATGACAAGGTTCCAGGGAGCTTCCACGGACTCGCCGTCGGTTGGCGTTAAGCGGCCGCAATCCTATCAGTCGTCGAAACTCCCGCCCAACGCCCCTCGTGTCATCGCAGAGAATACTGTCGATATTTCGGACTCCAGACAGGTGCTACCCTGGTACAGAGATGAGCGGCGAAGACAGTTTAATCTGCTAGTACGGAGGTACGTGTTTTGGTCAGACCTGGTGTCATGTCCCACCACCCCTAACTTGTGATGCCCCCCAGATACAAGAGTCAGGTCCTATATGGCTGCCAAAATCCTGACTGCATCACTCCCACCTGTGCCAGCTTCCGAAGACGTATAACCGAAGGACCCTTTCGTCGCTATACCGAGTTGAGCGCGCGGACACTTGCTTGCTACCTGGCAAGTCAGGATAATGCGGAGAGCGGCTTGTGCTGCAATCCACCAAGAGTGCCGTCAGACTTCCCCACGCCTGAACATCCCAAGAGATTTAGTAGGCGGAGTTCTACTACTCCTGTGCAAGAGCTTGATGGGGAACATGATCAGTCGTCGTATTTGGATGTGACGCACGCGGAGTCAAACAATGCCGATCAGACACCAGCAGAGGATATTGCGATACACGATGACATGCCTACACAGAGAATGAAAGATCCGAAATCATTCACCCAAAATTTGTTCGATACACTCTCGTTACGGATGGTGGAATGGCTCCCTCTGCGTCGCTCCCCAGATGCGTTTGATCCCGGAACAGGCGAAACATTGAGCCAAGACGCAGCCTCTTACCCGAAACCTCAGCATCCACGCAATGGGAGTGCCACAAAGACGATTAGATCGGATCCCGATCATGGATCCCATACTCCGTCTCATAAGCAGGGAGGAAATAACCCGCAGACCCCTTCATCTCGAGGCAATGGAACACAACCAGTGGCGAAGGAAGTGAAGTCATTAAACCAACATATGAAACGCCTATCACTCAGTGAGGTTGATCACTGGCGCCAGAACCCCCGTCTGTCTATGGAGGAGAAGACTCGATTTGATCCAAAATCCGGCCGCAAGATGTCTATTAGCACGCGTCAAAACCGAAATGAACCCGTCAGCATGCCCTCGCCGCCCGCATTGAAACATCGTCCGCAGAAGCACCGAGGTAAATTGAACGATCAAAGCGATACTTACCCCGCGGAGTGCAAGAAACAAAGACGCGTGTCTTGGGATGGGTCGAAAGTCCTTAATGACCCAGATTATCATGAAGCCCAAAAATCCGCGATTCAATCTTCCGACCTTCAGAATGCATCAAATACCCCTCGCTCGAAGTGTCGCAAAACGGATAGGAAGAAAAAGAGCTACAAGATGGAGAACTTTGCTGTTGCACAGAGCGTGAGCCACCTAACAAGCGAAATCGTCGATGGACTGAGCCAAATGATGATTGGGTCGGAAGATGACGCCGACAGGTGGAAGCAGGAGTTAAGTTGCATGGAATTAAGCGGTAGTTTCGACAACTCAGAGTGGCGATACGCAACGCTTCGTCAACGCCAGGTCTTCACATTTGTCGCCCAGACCGTGTTCTACGTATTGAGCGGCACCAAGCAAATTGTCAGTTCCTTTCGCAAGGAACGCGGGGATGCAGACGACACGAAGGCGAGAACAGCTCCTGATTTACAAAATCTTGAAACATCTCTACGGAACCTTTTCAACATTTGCCCTCAGGACATCGCGTTGCATAGCCTGTGGAAGGCATTGGAGAGTCTCTTTGTTCCGCCAACAGATTTCTCTCGACCTGCTAGAAAACCACGCGGTTCATCGCATGATTCACCCATAGTAACCCCTCTATTTACACCGATTATCCAGCGTCGCGCATCAGAACCATTGGAAGAAGAGCCTGTGTCAGATGTCAATGCTGCATATGTTGCGACGATTACTCTCTTTGCACTTGTCAGTACTTTGCCTCGAGTGGATTCACAGACCTGGAATGAAGTCCTCCAAATGCGTGCTGCCGGCAATATTGCCTCAAACTCGGAGATGCGACTTCTTTCTTTACCGAGGGCTCGTTCAGTAGTGGATGTCACGGATAAGCTCGAGCATGAATTGGGCTTGCAACTTGTGAGCCGCTTGGTACGCGCTATCACCGCTCGCCTCGCATATCATGACATCTCCAAAGCCCGGCAGATTTATTCCTATGATTCGCCGAAACAGCAGAAGAATAGTGTTCTAGACATGATTATGGACAACCTCAGTGATCACTACCATTCAACGATTACCACCCAAGGTGATCAAGTTTTGGCGCCCTCCGAGACACAGCCTGTCACGGCAAATTTAATTGTGGAGTGGCTTCGAACACTGTTCCTGAAGGAGTGGGATGGCAAACCGGAGATGGCTCGGAGCAGTGTAACTGGCGGTGTTGTCCAGATATTGGCGTCTATGTACAAAGAACGCCACCGCTTGGGATTGGCTCCAGAGGACTTCCATACCTCATTCTTGTCTGACAGGCTCGATCCTATGGAGATGCCTACAGAATGGCTGGGCAGCCTGTCGAACAACAAGACGATACATGTTCTATCGTATCCCTTTCTTTTTCCCTCGTCGGCATTGGTCATTTATTTTCGCGCCCTGAACTATGCGACCATGTCGAAGTCTTACGAGACGGCAATGACCACTACTCGACATGTCACACAGACCGCATTCAGTGCCATCCAAGTACAGGATGATGTTGGACTTCTGGGCCGGCTCAAGACCTCCATGTCGACCTACTTGGTCCTCGTTGTCCGGCGAAGCGATGTTCTGACCGATGCGCTTAACCAACTTTGGCGACGTGAGCGACGTGAGCTGATGCGTCCCCTCAAAGTCCAGATGGGGATGGACGAGGGAGAAGAAGGTGTCGACCATGGCGGCGTCCAACAGGAATTCTTCCGAGTGGTCATGGCTGAAGCCTTGGATCCGCTTCATGGCATGTTTACCATGGACAGTCGGAACCGAATCTCCTGGTTTAAACCTGGGTCATTGGAACCGCTGTACAAATTTGAGCTTCTTGGACTGCTAATGTCACTTGCAGTCTACAATGGGCTTACTCTCCCGGTCACATTCCCTGTGGCCTTATATCGCAAGCTACTTGGGCTAAAGGTTAAACATTTAGATCATATCCGCGATGGGTGGCCTGAACTCGCCAAGGGTCTTGATGATCTTCTGTCATGGCATGATGGCGATGTTGGCGATATATTCTTGCGGACATACGAGTTTAGCTTTGAAACATTTGGTGAAGTGGAGTCTGTCGACATGCAAAGGGTTGGCCGGGACGATATCTGGCCGCCTCCCTCCTTCAGGTCTTCTCGCACTGCCGAGGATGCATCTCTGTTGTGTTCTCCCGCTTCACCATCAACGCCACGCCGTTCCAAAACGTACAGCCCGAGTCCACCATCTTCAATGAGTGCCGAGATGTCCCTTGTTGAAGCTGTCGCCGAAGACCTAACCGGTGAGCAACCGGATAGGCCTGCAACGCCCACAGACGAAGCCGCTTTGGTGACGAATGAGAATCGGAACCAGTTCGTGAAGGATTATGTCTTCTGGTTGACCGACAAATCGGTTCGAGCTCAGTACGAGGCTTTTGCACGCGGGTTCTATACATGTCTTGACCGCGCAGCGCTCTCAATCTTCACTGCCGAGGCCTTGAAAACAGTTGTCGAGGGTATTCAAGAGATAAACATACAGGAATTGAAGCGCCACACGCGGTACGAAGGAGGTTTTGGACCTTCCAGCCGTGTCATCCGTGACTTTTGGAGTATCGTCAAACGGTTCTCGCCTGAGCAAAAGGCGCATCTTCTCGAGTTTGTGACGGCCAGTGACCGCGTTCCGGTCAACGGCATCTCGAGCATCATGTTTGTCATCCAGAAAAATGGCACCGGAGATGTTGTATGTCATCACCCCATCTTCCCCCCCTTCGAAATCCTGATCGCTAATCATCTTCGCAGCGCCTACCGACCAGTCTGACTTGTTTTGGCCGCTTACTGCTCCCCGAGTACTCTTCCAAAAAGGTCCTGGAGGAGAAACTCACCAAGGCACTGGAGAATGCTCAAGGCTTCGGAGTCGCTTGATGACTTGGACAAGAAGAAAACAGGCCCTGTGCACTTGGTACCGGTATCATCCTATACCTGCCTTATACTTTTATTATCATCTATGTCCTGCAGATATTCTAGATACCCTGGGTGCCTCCCCACTTAGTATAGAGTTGACGAGTTCGGGGTTTTATCCTGATTTTTTTTGTCAAATAATACATTCTTTCCCTGGACAATATGGCAAGTGGAAAGTTCGCTGTAACTATATGTTCTAGGACACTACGATGATAGATTCGTTCGTCAGAGTTGCCCTGGGAGCGCTCGGCAGACTTGCCATTCTCCCAGTGACGTCAACCAGGACTGCTCTCTCTCTCTCTGGATACAAGCCACATCCCGTCGTGGTGCACGAATCATTCGCCATGGATGAGTACGCCGCCCTACTGCCTGGCCGGGTGCCTGGGAGATGAGCGGACAACAGCAGTCCGCCCCGGCTGCACGTGGGATACTGGCGATGGATGACTCCTTCGTACCTCACCGTCTCTCCCGCCTTTTCCCTCCTTTGTTACTTTCAATTCATTACTTTTAATTGCCATATCCGTCGATCTTCGCATCAGCGTGTTTTTTTTATTGCAGTTTCATTCATACTGCTGAGGATTGAAAGAGGGAAAAAAAAATTGGTATATAACCCCTCGCCGCCACCCCGCATCAGCGATAAGAATTTATCATGTTGATAAAATTCCGGTATCTCAAGTGAAAGAAACTGATAGGTAGCAGCTAATAGAATGGCTCCGATCATTCATCTTGTCCGACACGCTCAGGTAGGAATGTTCATCGTGTATTTTTCTTGGTATCGAGAAGTTCTGACTCAAGTGTTTATCCCAGGGCGAGCACAACCTCTCCACGGCGAATCATGTCATCCACGACCCCTTGCTCACTGACCTGGGCAACGAGCAATGCCGTCAGCTGTGTGAAAACTTCCCCTACCATTTGCAAGTCGATTTGATCACGGCTTCCCCCCTGCGGCGTACCCTCTACACCGCGCTCCACAGTTTCAAGCCGGTTCTTGATGCAAACAAAGACCTCAAAGTTATTGCCCTACCGGATGTTCAGGAGACTTCTGACGTGCCTTGTGACACTGGAAGTGATCCCGAGGTTCTGCAGCGGGAATTTCATGAAGAAAAGGGTCTACCGGTGGATCTGTCGCTTGTACACGCAGAGTGGAACAACAAGGTTAGTCGAGGCCATTGGTATACCTGGGAAGAAATCTGGCAAGAGCTAATAGTGGACGTGCAGTCTGGTCGCTACGCGCCTACCAATGAGGCTATCAAGAAGCGCGCTCGCGCAGCGAGGCGATGGCTGAAGGCTCGACCGGAGAAGGAGATCATTGTTGTGACTCACGGTGGTTTCTTACACTACTTCACAGAAGATTGGGAAGATAGCAGCCACTATCAAGGTACGTCTATGAAACCGGTATCATGTCTTGTTGCAGAGCACATTACTAATATCAGGATTTCAAACTAGGGACCGGTTGGGCTAACACAGAGTACCGGACGTACGAGTTCTCGACGGATATCCACACCGATGATTTGGAGGGATACGAGCTGGATGGAGAGAACGCAACGCTGATTGAGACGATCGAGTCTCGTAATCGCCGTGGCAAGGACGGCCCGATCCCTACCCGGGATCAGCAGAGATCCCTATATAAGCTCGGCCTGCAGGGCTGGGATGGCCAAGGGCTACAGCTTAGTACGGAGGAGAGAGAAGCCGCTGTAGTCCCAGAGGGCAAGGAGGTTGAGGGGCTGAGGGTCTGAGATTCAGAGGAATTACTTTGTTTCTCTCTTTCTCCCTCTCTTCGAGACCAGACAATTGTTATTGTCCTTGCTCACTTCATTCGGTCACCCGCTTTAGTTAGTTAGATTAGATTACAGCTCAGATTTTCAGGGTAATCACAATAGGAAGATAGACGCATGGAATCAATAGAAACAAAGGAACTATGCACTCATCTTCATGGCTTTCTTACTTAGGAGCTGCGAGTTTCATGTAGTCAGTCAGGCTCGCTTTGTTCTATTCTGGAGCCAAACTTGCATCGTCAGCTTGACATTGATTTCTGAAAAAGAATTGCAATCCAAAGTAGTAAACAAGGGCTTCTTTGTTGGCAGCATTGTCTACTACACAATGCGTTGATCTCAATTGATGGTTGACAAAGAATACAGGGACTTTCAAACGTGACAAAGGAAGTAATATAGCCTGGGTGACGCCTCTTGGTGTCAACTCTTAGATATAAAGTCATCGAGCAAGCCCTTCGAGACTCGTCAAGGCAGTCAAGGCTCCAGCACTTGAAATCTCAGTTATTTCCCATCTTCTGGATATATCATAGCTTCTATTCGTGTTTTTGCATGCTAACTGGATGACAGGATCCGAACGAAGAAAAGACGGCCTTGTCGCTATCCACCCGCTACGTCCGAGTCCACGAAATATTCCGGTATCGATGAAGAAAATCTTCTATTCCCTGAGTAGGTTCGTCCCATATGTGAAATAGTGGCTAACACGATAGACCTTAAAATGTCGGCGTTACGGAAATGACCGAGTGAAAATTACACCAGCAACCATCCCTAACAGCCTCTTCTTGCATGAAAAGTCCAATAAGGTACGTTCTCTATATCTGCTGAAAGGCTGACTTTGATAGATTCGAAAAAATCCCCCAGTCGAAGGCAGCAGCAATGGCGTTGATCTATTAAAAGAATCTTATTTGAATAATTATCCACAAATTACATTTTAGGTGCGTTCTTCTCATCATTTCTATCACTAACGAGATCTTCTAGGACGAAACCGGCTCCGTTCAGACGCAATCGATGCAAGACAGGTAAGTCTGTCGATTTCCCCTCCCCATATTGCTGACCGTTCTATAGATATCCATTTAACATGACTGCCTGGAATGCTGTGCTTCCTGCAAGGTAGCGGTTTCGATTGATAGTATCCACAGCTCCAGTGCGAGGACGATCAACGATCGTCGAGAGGTGATATTAAACCAGAAGCGATTTGAATGAATCCAAGGACAATTATGCGTCTGGGCTCTTCAATCCAGCATCAATTGATTCGGACTGCTAACAGTTCAATAGATTGTTATGATTTCATCGAATGCAATACACTTCGAGCCTCCTCGTACTCGAATACCGCCCCCAGTTGAGAGAACGAAGCTTGGAAAGATGGAGAAATTGGTCTTGGCAACTAGATTGGCATGGTTATAGGCAGCAGAATTCACAATCATTTGTGTTTCATCTCTTTATCATATCTGTACCTGTAAGCAGACTCGACTCTGATTGACTCGCTCGTAGGCGGAATGGAGAAGCGCAGATAACCTGAGACGCCTACTTTTCATACCAGACTGACTAGCCCTGGCGATGGATGCTCAGTACCTTTCCTAATATCCCCCGACCAACTGGAGATGGGAGAACTCCGCTGGCTCCAAATCCTGGTGCCTGGACCCCGTATCTTCCGTGGATCAGGCTGTCTCCTTGGCCTTGGTCACTGCTCTGTGGCTTTTAGGAACGAAGCAACCCGGGCGATTTGAGAATTGACCACGAAGCCAGCCAGTGTGAACGTGATCAATTGCCGATAAGTGTATAGGCTACCGAGTATTCAAGGCTTTAGTCGTCTAGAAGCAATAGAAACGATTGGTACGGAGGAGTCGATCCCCATCAAGAATCCATCCGGCTGGCGCGTCCTATTTTTGTCTCTGGATTTTGGTGGGGCGCAGCGGAGCTTCACCGTGGCGCAGTGGGCGTCAAAGGAAGGCCGACCACCTGTTACGCAGTATAATTATTACCAGTCTGCCCGTCGCTGTCCAGGATGTGCAAGCTCGGTTGAAACGAGAAGGATTGAGCAGACATCTGGCACAAATATTGGAAGTTGCTCACAGTCGACCGTGTTGTCAAAATGCTCGACGAGAACCTCCCTAGTGAGTCCTCCCCTCGCTCTGACGACAAGACAAGGCTGACTGGTATTTCTTCTTCGCTCTTTTAACAGCATTTTACATCAAAAGCAATGTTGATCAGAAGCACAATCGGACCATTTATCTCTCCCAGCATGGCAACGAACCCGAGCCGACCTACACCCTCTGCTACCCAGATCCCTCCTCCCCGGAATCAAAGAACCGCTACGCAGCCGGTTTGAGCGATCCGTTTGTGACCAATGTAATATACGGTGAAGTCCTGGTCGTCCCAGAATGGACGCAGCCTACTCTCTCGGCAGAGACAATCCGCCAGAATGGTGGAGTCCAACCGCCGCCAGAGCCGATCCTGCCCACACAGTTTACCATCCAGCTCTACGACCCCGACCAGCACATCACCGTTCGCTACAAGCGCAAGACGTGGAATACACCTGCTACATGGGAATTTGAGATGCCGCAGTTGACGTTTCGCCAGCCGTCGAATTCGACGCTGGATCAGACGCAGAGTGATCCGGCCGCGGCGGATGTGACTCCGAAGCTGAAGTTCAGCTGGCGCAAGGACAGCAAGCTATCCAAGGATCTGGTGTGTCTGCTGTCGGGAAAAACCAGCAATTTCCCAGAAGTTAAAGGCAACAAGAACAAGGAACCCGATATCACGATCTCTATTTTCCAGGCCCTGCGCGAAATTACCTTGTACGAGCCCAATCTTTACCGGGTGGAAATGGAAGATTTCAAGGGGTTGGAGATTGTGCTGCTGCTGAGCGCCGTGGCGATCCGTGATATCTACTTTACCCCGATCAAGGAGGCATTTCACGTGTCCAACTCCGCCGTGGTGCCGAACGGCGACGCGCCAGCATCGCCTCAATCCCCAACACAATTAGCCCACCCGCTTCGCCACACCGGTCCTGCAAGGGGATCCCGTGCAGATCTACCACGACTAGACACCCGGACCCAACGGGAGGGGGATGCCGAGAACGCGCGTCTCCGCCAGGAACAGGACTTCCGTGCCAAGGAGGAAGAGCGTCGTATGCGGAAGCTCCTCGAGGCGGAAGAAAAGACCCGTCGGAAGAAGCAGGCAGAGGTCGACAAAGAGACCCGTCGGCTACAGAAACTCTACGGCAAAGAGGAAGCCCGGGTCAGAGCATCGTCGACGACGCCGGCCCCAGTCCGGCCGATGTCCATGGCCGTTCCCTCGACCACGACCGTGAATCTTTCTTCTCCTCCCCCGCCGAGGAATAACGGCAGTCCCCCATCGTCCCGACGGTACTATATCGAACAGCACCATCCCGCACCCTCGGTCCCCAACGTGAGCGTGAGCATGAGCAACAACTCTCCATACCTGCAACCCCCGGCGCGCAACGGACGAGCCCAGCAGTCCTCGACGCATCTCCTGCAACCGCCGCGCCCGCAGTCTGTAGCAGTTCTAGGCCAACCGCAGCTGCAGCCGAAGAGGAGCAGTTTCTTCGGGTTCAGAAAGTCGTCGAGCGAGAGTACGAATGCCAAGTTAGCGAAAAAGCGAAGCTCGATGTTTTAGTTTTTGTTTCCCTGAACAAGTTCTTCCAGGCGTTTACTGATGTTGATGATACCCATTATTACTATCATATATATATATATATATATATATATATATGAATTGCATGATTGATTTGAATACCAAATAACTACACAGTAGTAGAAAGAATAGGACTAGTAGTTTCTCCTAGAAGATAGTTAAACCCATTCATACCACGGCAAGCCGTCGCGAAACATCTTCCCCGCGCTCTCAAACTGCGGCCCCTCGGAATGAAGAAGAAACCCACGCTCGCACTCGTTGAAGCGCACGCGCGGCTGCTCGAGCTCATAGAAACGATCGTAGCGTGCCGAGAGAGCGTCTGCCAGCGTGTCCACGCCGCCGCGCGGGTGTAGTGCCCTCCAAGGTTCCACGCAGGAGGCGCCCTTGCACGATTTGAGGACAAGGAGGAGGGCGTCAAGACGGGCGACTAGTTTGGGGATGGGGTGGTGCATGAGAATAGTGGCTTCCTCTTTGTCGAGTAGGAGGTTGTGCATCTGATGGGGATCCGTCTTGATCGGATTAGCAATGCTCCGCTCCTCCTTTCATTATTGAATAATTCTACTACCAAGGACATACGTTCATATCGTAGAGTTCGTGCTCGTTGTTGCACCACACAGCGTAGTATAGGTTATATCCCTTCCCGGTGATTCGCAGGGCCTTGTAAGTGTTGTTGTATGCGGATAGATCAACTGCAACAGATCAGAAATGAGGCTTCAGGTGAAGCAAAACGAAAAGGATGGTAGGTTTACAGTCGTATATTCCCTCCCCGGCGGCGAACCCCCAGTATTCGACGTTGACGTGTTCCTGGCGCGTCTCAAGCGCAGCCTCGATCTCTCTCGGGGTCAGAGGGATGGCAGCTCCGTCAAAGTCTACTCTCAGGGGAATCCCAAGAAGCTGGAGAAACGTCGGAGCTAGGTCTGTATGTGTTGTGACGACATCCGTGCTGGCATTCTCGGCCACGCCGGGCCCTCGGATGATGAGGGGCACGTTGATGTCCTCCTCGTAGCCGCAGGACTTGCCCGGTTGCATCCGATGCTGGCCGATGTGGTAACCGTTGTCGCTGCTGTAGACGACATAAGTGTTATCCAGGAGGTTGTGCTGATGCAGGCGGGCGAAGAGGCCATCGACCAGTTCGTCAACGGCCTGCAGAGCGCGCAGACGTGACCGGTAGAAGTAATCGTTGTACTCGACGTTGCTTTCATTCTGTTTCTTCAACGTCCGGATCCAGTTGGCTCCAGAGAGCTAATATAAAAAGTTAGCCGATACTGAAGTATATAGGGAAGCAAGAAAAAGCAGTACTTCATCTGGGTTGAAAGACTCTGTGCGAGGAACCTTTACACCTTCAAAGAGATGCTCGTGTCGCTTGGCGGGAATAGGCGCACTGAAGCTGAAGACGGGGTTTTTGTCCAGCCCAGTCCCGTTCATGAAGACGTTGCAGTGAGGCGCGATGGGGGCGATGGTCAGGAAGAATGGATTGGCAGCGTGCACGGCTTCGTCGAGAAGGCGATACGCCTTTTGAGTGAGGACGTCGGTCAGATACTCACCTTCATAGCTCTGGGGTTTCTCCTTGTCGCGCTGGAAAGTGCTGTTGAGGTAGTCGTACGTGAAGGGGTCGAGGAGGAAGTCCTACTAGATCTTCAGTCGATTGATCAGATTGGTTCATATCAATCTGTGGCCAGTAATACCGTTCCAGTGAATCCCGCTGGGAACGGAGAATCATAGTTGTCTACCGTGTGGACATTGAACAATTTTCCAGTGTAGTATGTGTTGTAGTGAGCCTGCTGCAGCCATACGGGGAGGTAATTGTCGTTGAATCCTTGCGAGATGAACTTGGGATAGCCACCTACAGCTGGTTTTAATACAAAATAACCTCCTCAATCCGTTGTGAGATGTAGATTGCTTACCGTACGGAGGATTGACGTCGGTGACGTTGGTATTGTGCGCGAGCTTCCCTGTCCACAGCGTGACACGCGAGGGACAACAGACGCTGGTTGTGCAGTAGTGGCTGCGATAGGAGGTGCCTTTGTCGACGAGATGTTTCTGGACAAAGGGCATGTAATTCAGCGAGTCTAGATGGACATCCTGGTCGTCTGTCAGAATGAAGATGACGTTGGGTCTGGATGGCGTCGAGAGTGACTGTTGTTGCTGCTGCACAGGCGAGTTTGTAGCAGCAACAAAGACAACGCCTGTCAACAAAAGCAGATACTCGAGTTTACGCATAACAAAATGCATTCAAAAAGTCTAGAAGTCTAAAAGAACTTGAAGTATCAGAAGCTGAGGTCAGAAACATGAACTGGGAAGCTGGAAGTCGCTCATGCAAGGTTCCTTGACCCCGCAAATAACGCCATCAAGTCGGCGCAATCCATTTAATGCGGATTTCCTGTAAGAATTGACTGCTACCTACGATTGAGGAGGATAATATATACTCATATTGATTATGCTACGCATATACAGGTTGTACCTAATCGTTATCATCCGCCTGTGTCTCAGTTACAACGCATTGGCTTCGACTCCCTCGGTGGTGATGTGCACAGGCTTGATCGCCCCGTTCTCATCGAAGAACATGCGGTCGATGCAAACAATGCGGTCGTTCAGCTGGGTATTGTTAGGGTATCGCCGGTGATAGACAATATAATAGTCGTCGCCACGGTTGACGACGCTGTTGTGGCCGGTGCTGGTGCCGATGTTGGCGTCGCCAGTCAGGATCTTGGTCGCTGTCTTCGAAAAGGGCCCGGTAGGAGAGGACCCGGTGACGTACTGCACGCCGTAGGAATTGTCTCCCCATCTAAGAGAGCGAGAGTCGGTCAGTCAGCATGCATAAAACATGCAGTTAGGTGTTTGAAGCCGGTCCTTACCCCCCCACGCTGTACATGTAGTAATACACGCCGTCCCTTTTCAACATCCACGGACCTTCGACGTAGTCTGGGGGTGTGATCTCGAGGTAGTCGCCTTTCAGCGTTACCATGTCGTCCTCTAGCTCCACGACCACCCCATGGCCCCATCCGCCGAAATACAGCCAGTTGCGCCCGTCATCGTCGAGGAAGATCTGGGCGTCGATCGGCTCCGCCCCGTACGTCGTGTTGGCGACCAGCGGCTTCCCGATGGCGTCGTAGAAGGGGCCACCGGGTCCAGTGGTGGAGGTCGCGACCCCGATGCCTGCGCCATCGCCCGCCGAAAAATACATGTAGTACTGGCCGTGCTTCTCGGCCACAGAAGGCGCCCAGGCCGCGCGGTTGGTCGACCAGGGCACGTCGCTGAAATTCAAAATTCGGGGGTGTTTCGTCCAGGTGATCAGGTCGGGCGACGAGAATGCGTCGAAGAAGGTCTGTTCCTCGTAGGCAGCCGAGTAGGTTGGGTAGATCCAGTATTGTTGCTCGAAGATGCGCGCTTCCGGATCTGCGTACCAGCCAGGGAAGATCGGATTGCCAGAGTATCCTTGTTGTTTTGCTTGCTGTTGCTGTTGATGCTCAAAGATCCTACTTTGCTGGTTCATGGCAGAAGCAGTCGTACTGGTGCTGTAGAGGAGCAGCAGTAGAGCGCTCCAAATGTTGAAAGGGCTCATCCTGGGCTACCAGAGAGCGACCTCTGGATGAATTCGTCGTCTTGTTGGGGTGTTGTGTTGAGTGAACAAGACGGCGTTCAGCACTCGACACTACCAGCAGTGTAATGTATCAGTGAGTGAATCAAAAGACATCAAGATCGCAATAGGTCTCACAAGCGATGGAAAGGGACACGAAGAAATCGAAAGAATCGAGCTTGTTTGACGACTGGAATGTGGTTGTCTAGCAAGGGAGACAGGGAAGATGAGGGGAAGGAAGAAGCCGACAAAATGAGATTATTTATTTTGCTGTTTAGAGCAGCATTGATTAAAGAGAAATTACATTCTATTTTATCAAGCTATGTAGTATCTAAAATGAATCTAATTTAATTATAATGAAGTATTTCGGAATTAAGTCCTACGAGATAGTTCTATTTGACTTGTAATCCTTATTATATATCATCACTGAGAGTTGAGAAATGACTATCAGTCTTCAAGCTCATGATAGCATAGTCTCTGGGAAGAGGAGACATCTCTCTTCCCAGATAAAAAAGGATAGAAGTATCTATTCCCTTTCAGTAATTGCTGATGCTTTATCACAGACTCACTGCAGTGGCGCTGAGCACTCCTCCTTCCTTGACCAAAGCATCCGCTACACTCTTGTCCACCACGCGATCGATCCCCAGAATCATCAGCGCCTCCTTTGAAGACCCGCTTGCCTGTACACTATCTCCACGAGCTGACTTGTTGATGTCGGTACTCTCCACGTGGTGGCCGTCGAGGAATCGCTTCGAGACAGGAGCGACGGTCATGAAGTTGATGTTGACCTCTTCGCGGCCCAGAATGCTGCCCACAACACCTATCTTCCCCGGTGAGTCGTAGTTCTCACAGATCAGCAGCGTTCCCTCGGGAGAAAAGGAGGTTTCGAACCGTCCCAGCCGGTTGATCAACGGCTGGCCTCCCGAACACGTTCCGGAAATAACGCGCTGAGAACGAGGATCAGCAGCCGTCTCCGTCGTGGCACGAAGGGAACCTGCTAAGTCGGGAGCACGAGATTGCGCACGGGAGGGTGGTCGGGCGATGAGCGTGACGAGAGAGGAGAAGGAGTAGTCCGACATCTCGCGGGAGTGCTGTTCGTTGACGAGGATGCCGCGTTCGCGCGCCACCAGCTCGGCATTGACGATGTTGACGTTGATCTCCGACCCGCTGATCGGGGCTAGAAGACCCTTGATCAGGGCAGCAAAGAGAGGTTTGGTGTTGTGGATGTTACTGACCTCGCCCTGGTAGATGAGGTCGAAGGTGTTACGAGCCATGGATCCGCCGGCTGCCGACGCATAGTGCTGCGTGTACAAGCTTCCCATCTTCTCGACCAGATGGACAAACGGTTGCAATGTCTTGTACTCCTCGGGCAGGATCAGAGGCGCGTTGACTGCGCTCCGGGGGAGAGACCCGTCTAGAATCTGGAGCACCTGCTCACAGACATCGATGGAGACATTCTCCTGCGCCTCCACGGTGGACGCGCCCAGATGAGGCGTCGCCACCACCTTGGGATGGGCAATAAGCCTGGCGGCAGGAGAGTCTGGGGCTGGAGGCTCCGAGGTGAACACATCCACCGCAGCCCCTGCGAGCTGGCCAGACTCGAGAGCGTCGATCAACGCAAGCTCATCGATCGTGCCTCCCCGGGCAACGTTCAAGATCCGAGAACCCTGCTTCATCTGCGCCAGCTCAGCGGTGGATATCATTCCCTTGGTTGATGCAATCAGGGGGGTATGGATGGTCAGAAAGTCTGCCGTGGCGAGCAGCTCCGGTAGAGACGAGACCAACGTCACAGACGCAGACGCCGCAACAGCTGGGGATGCATAGGGGTCGAGGGCGTTGACATTCATCCCCAGGCCTTTGGCGAGTCGTGCAACCGTCAATCCGACTATTACTACGATCAGCTCTTCATCCTCTCTCTCTCTCTCTCTCGTTCTTTAGACCAATGATGCATACCCTTTCCCAGACCGATGACAGATAAGGTCTTCCCTTTGACTTCGACGCCGACAAACTTGCTTCTCTCCCACTTGCCTCCCTTTAAACTGCCATGAGCCTCGGGAATGTTTCTTGCCATTGCCATCAGAAGAGCAATCGTGTGTTCGGCAGCGGCTCCAATGTTTCCTGAAGGTGAATTGACAACCACAATGCCCAGCTTGGTTGCCTCTTGCACATCTATAACATACCTCAGCATCTTGAATACTTGAAAGAGACACTCTTCTATTCTTATGCTTCGATTCTCGCTACTCACCGACATTGTCTACCCCCACGCCAGCCCGAGCAACGACCTGGAGTCTCTTCGCGGCCTGGAGCACCGCAGCAGTGACTTTTGTTTCCGATCTGATGAGGAGAGCATCATACTGCGGGATTATCCTGAGCAGCTCGTCTGCATCTAAGCCCCTTCTTTCATCAACGTCCACGGAGCCGCGGAGGAGCGAGAGTCCATCTGGGGACAACTTCTCCGGCACAAGAACCTTAAGGCGTGCAGACTCACTGAGAAGTGGCATTTTCTCTGAATAATAATCAATGTGCTATGAGGTTACACGGACAAAGTCTAGGTGAAATGATTCTTGAAACCTTTGCAGGGGCTATAGATGTACAGGAAGAAAAAGGCCAGCTCAGCAAGACAATACTGCACTCCGGTCCTCGCACTGCAAAGGGGAAATACTATAAGCAGATCTTAAACCCGCCCAATCCGCCTCGTGTATCCTGGGAAAGACGTGTCGAGCGACCTATGCTATGCACTACGAAGTAACCATTCAACCTCTAAGCCAGCTGTGGCCTTTGCCTCCGACGTATCATCTGCAGGGTTGAAACATGATCATTGGCCCATATCAAGGAGTGATTATAAATAAGATTGCGAGAACAGAAAAGGCAATTCTTTCTGCAGAGATTCTGCCTGAAAGGAAAAACTGCGGGGTAGAGCTACAGGGATAGAGTCGCATCCCGATTACGGAGAAGCAAGTTCTGTTCAATCCGAGTTTACCGCTGAAAAGAGAGGGGTTTGTAGCTATTGGTAGTGTGGACTTTGGACAAAGTCCTAAGAGAGATTATCCTCGATGTCTGCACTAATGTAGTATAGAATGATAACCTTGATACAGAGCTTTATACAGAATGGCGACCGTTCAATACTCCAGCGACTGCTCAAAGAGAGCGCGTAGCTCATTCTTTTCCTCCTCGAGCTCCTCGCTCAGGCTCGGGGCAAGATTCAAGACTCGCTTCTGCGGGATGGTCCCCTCGATCAAGCCGTCGATGTCCGAGGCGTTGAATCCCAGATCCTTGAGGCCGCGGGGCTGGTCGCCCAGCTTGATCAGGAACTCGGCGATGGCCGCCCCAAGAACCTCGCCGGCACTTTCGCGCTTCACGTTGGAGATGTCCACGCCGAAAGCTTCCGCGGCCGCCAGGTGGCGATCCGGGTTTGAGGCCCCCGTGAAGCGGAAGACTGCTGGCGCGGTCACCGCGACCGAGACCCCGTGCGGGATGATGGTGTGCTCCACGTCATAGCCGCGGTGCTTGTATCCTGGGTTTTGGCTGGAAATGGGGTAGCTCATCCCATGGCACAGGTGGACGCCGGCGTTGCCGAACCCGACGCCCGCCAGCGTGGCGGCCAGAAGCATGTTGGACTGTGCCTCGAAGTCGTCCGGGTCCTTGACCGCGCGAGGCAGGTACTTGACCGTGCTGCGCAGGGCCTGCAGGGAGAAGATGTCCGAGATGGGGTTGGCACCCTGGTAGGCCGGCCGGTTGATCGGGTTGGTGGGACGAGGGGTTCTCTCGTTGTAAGGGATGGCCGTCCACGATTCCAGGGAGTGGCATAGGACGTCGAGGCCTGACGAGGCGTGAACCGCGGACGGCATGGTGCGGGTGTTGAGCGGGTCACAGATTCCCAGGGTAGGCTTGAGGTTGCGATGGGCGACGCCCGTTTTAGCCTTTTTCGACACCAGGTCGAAGATGGCCGTTCCCGTGGTCTCGGACCCGGTGCCTGCGGTTGTCGGGACGGCTACAAGAGGTTTCAGCGGCTTGGTTATGGGAAGTCCCTTGCCCAGCGGCGCATTCACAAAGTCAAGGAAGTCTGCTTCTGGAAACACCGTGTACAGATTCATCATCTTTGCCGTGTCGATGACCGAGCCGCCGCCTGGATTTTTTCCCCCATTAGTATCAGTTATGAGCATCCATTTTTGCAAAGCGAACTTTACTGACCAACAGCAAGGAAAGCATCTGGGTTATAAGGTTTCGCAAAAGCAATAGCCTCTTTGACTCTGTATAAATTAGACGCTTCTCCAGTAACCCAAAAACCCCCTAGAGACACTTACGAGCTATCCTTCGGCTCCACTCTGACCTTATCAAAGACCGTAAACTCGATCCCCTCGCGGCTCAGCCCCTCGATCGCCTGCTTCATGGCATCCAGCTTGCCGACAGTAGTGTCTGTCACGACACACACCCGCTTGGCGCCCATATTCTTGAAGTCCATGCCGACCTCCTTGGTAGCACCAGGACCGAACCGGATACTCGACGCGGCCATCTCAAAGGCATATTCCTTCTCGCGAGACGAGTCCACAGGTGTGGCAAAATGCCGTCGCACATGGCTTGCCAACGACGGGGTCTGTGGATGGTGGTGATGGTGATGGTTGGGGTTCGAGTGGCAGGGACAGGTAGGCGGATGCGTGTATTGCACCGTGCGAAGGAGGCCGAGGGCTCTGTTGGCGGCGGAGGGGGCCACCCGTACTGCTGGAGAGACCATTCCTAGACAATGTGAAGAGACAAAGAAATATTTAACCTAAGATACCCGTCCACAAGAAGGAAAACAGCGGAGGAGAGCGGGAACGAGTCGAGGGAATAATAATCCGCGGTGAGGAGTTGAGAGCTCAGAGGAATGGCGGAGTCTCGTGACCGGTCATCTAGCCGAAGGAGGGGAGCTGCAGAGAGTGTAGCCGTGACCGAGGTCCAAGTTTTGGGGCTTGTTTTAGGGGATTTGTCATGGTAATTGTGATGGTTTATGTTGAATAATGCCAGAGGGTTATGTACGAGCATTTACTCCAGTCTTCAGCCCGGAATCAGTCCCTGACAGCCATTATTCAGTCGTAAATACCACCAACACCAGCTCTGTCTCCTCACGGCTATCAGAACAACATGCGGGGAAACGATGCTTAGTAAGTTGAATTACTAAGCATGATTACTCATCCATCTCCAATTTATCGAGGACTCTCGTCTCAGCATGATTTATTTGTTTCTTGCCATATAATATTCAATAGAGATATGACTCCAATATATTGGAGTCATGACAATTTTCCAATATCGAGGAATACGAGGAGACGCTATGAGCTTGGCGGCTTGTTCCATTTCCTTACATGCATATTCCCGCCATGGATGTAACAGGTTATCCTCCACCACGCAGGAACCCATCAGTTTCTCTCGTCTTGGCCCGGCTTAGATGTTGCATCTGTGGAATCAGGGCTGAGTGACAGACAGCTTGCCCCTTTCTTCGTGATGGGTAGGTGGCATGACAGCAGTATAAGATGCCCCGAGCCCCGAGCTCTGGGTATGTGTTTTCGATAGAAAAGAAGAATAAGCAGGAATCCTTCAGTTGAATATTTTATTGGTTTCACCGTCATGAAAAGCATCACGCTGTTTTCTCTTGCACCTCTCGCCGCCGCAATGGCAGCCAGCAACCAAACTGTCGGCAGCGCCATCGTCATCAACCAGTGCTTCTCACCCGTCTACCTTTGGTCCGTGGATGCCCTCGTGAGTCCCCAGCAGACTCTTTTCCCGGGCGACAACTACACCGAGACCTTCCGGCGCGATCAGAAGACCGGCGGCGTGGCGATCAAAATCACCACGGTCCCCGACGGGCTGTACGAGAGCGCCCCGCAGACCGTCTTCGCGTACAATCTGGTCGATTCCTGTGTCTGGTATGATCTGTCAGATGTCTTTGGCGATCCCTTCTCCGGAGAGGTGGTTGAAATTCTGCCTGCCAATCCTGCTATTTACTGGGGGAATGGCGTTCCTCCAGCTGGTAGCCAAGTGAGGACTCGTCCGGCGGAGGAAGATATCATATTGTTCCTTTGCTGAGCCATGATGCTTGGTCTGCAATTGTGGTTTTCAAGTGAACTTTCCCCGGAAAAGAATCGTCTAAATAAATGCTCTTAAATCGGTAGTTCTTTCAGTCCGTCTGGATTGTTTCATCTGTCTGTGTAACCTATCGGAGCACCATTTCGGTACCCGCATGCAACTGCCGGGGCTTCGAGAAGTTCCAAGATCCGAGGATCAGTGGTGTTCTGTTCCAGATAAGTGCAGATGGCGAAGCATTCCTTACTGATCCGGCCGTAGATCCACGGCTGCCACGCGGCATGGGCACACATCAAGCCCATCCACTGGGCGAGAATCAGCATCGCGGCATGGTCTTTCGCCCGAAGGAGAGTTAAGAACTCAGGCTCCAGCCGAGCCATGAAGCTCTGGAGAAGACCAAAGTCTGATCGTGTGTTGTTGCCGTCGAGCAATGGAGTCAGCATCTGCAACGGGTGCAGATAGAGGCTGTCCTCAGTAGTTGGAGTAGTAGTAATTCCCTTTTCCGTGCTGCATGTGTCTAGATTACACAGCTCTGCCAGCCGCGGGTGCAAGGATGTATTGGCTCCCTCAACCTGACGCATTTTTTGGTCTGCCTCGCTAAAGACACCTGCCCAGATGCTCTTGGAGATGAAGGGCTGGGTGAGCGAGATGAGACATCTCAATCCCCCCTGTAGACAGAGCCAGTTCATGGCTGCCGGATTTGAGGAGAGAACCCATGCATCTTCGGGTTCAAAATCTTCCGGACACAGTGTTGAGACGCCCATCAGCATACAGGTCGAAAGAAGCGCGTCAACGTCTTTCTGTGTGATTTTAGAACTGATCGCAGACTGATAGAGATGGATCGCCTGTTGCCAGTGGTATGACTCCAATACCCGTATATCACGATTTGCCGGCGAGCAACGGCCGAGTTGAAGGCACGATATTCCGAGGATAGTGTGCATCAAATAGGGGCTCTGTTCCACATCCGCCCGTTAGTAGTACGTAAATCCCATGGTGTCTCAGGGGGATAATGATAAATGGGGGTCTCACAGAGAATGCTGTCTGTATCACGCTGGTGGTCATCACTCGCTGGACAGCCTTGTTTGGGCTCGTCGTGGTAGACGACCTGACGAACAGGTTGAGTAGCTCTGCACTCGCCGGCTTGTCGGCCTTCACCTTCACCTGAGCCGTCCGGTCGATAGCCTCCTCCAGTGAACGCAGGGTGGACTCATGAGCAAAATTGTCCAAGGGGAGTTTTGACGACACTGACAACGTCTCGTTTCCACCACTTTCCCCGGAAGGAGTTGTAGTAGAATAGTCGCATGGAATCCCGTGCTTATAACACCGTTGGCAGTGCGGCTTGGATTCATCGCACTAGCTCAACAAAGCTCTGATCAGTCTCATTTCTGAATCCCAACAGACTGCTCTTGTATTCAGGCAGACCTTGACCCTCCGTCTTTTGCAATTCCCACATCCTTCCCTGGACTTTCGATGTGCCCGTCGAGCATGGTACACCGACGACTTCACTGGCAGCGCCACTGCGACCGGAGACAATTTCGGGTGCGGGTCAGGTCGAACAGGCTTGATCCTAAAGACGTTGACGTTGTCGGTATGCCGTTTCTGTGTCTCTCTCTGCTGATACTCGTTGCGATTCGTCATCGTTCATCTCTGGACCTTCTTCATCCACCTGAACTTTATAGACAGCGTTGAAATAGTGTTTGACAAGATTCCCAAGTGACAGCGTCTGTCCTTATCTGCTACTTCGTGTTGTGAGTTCAGCTCGTGATGCCTCTACAAATCACGTGATACAGGGCTATCCAAGAACGGTAATTCCGCCAAGACTTCGTATCCGGGCACTCCAAACCAATCAAACATAGTTATAGGCATTACAATACCGCCCTCCACACCGCCTGTCACACCGCCTGCCATAACCGTAAACCGCGTTCATCCATTTTCGGCAGTGGCGGTCTTGATAAACCTTAAATTCAGCCCATAAGCAGGAAGGAGCGGTTCCATGGTCCGGACCGGCAAAACACCTCCGCCGACGGGCGACTTCCGCACGCGAAAGCTGCTGTCGGAGCAGAATTTCCGACTGACGCAAGAGGTTCCTACGGATTCCAATTACCCAGCTAGTAACGTCTGATGGGCAGCGCTAAATAAGTGCGAGGCCTGGACTCCGTGAACGAGGACCGACTGCATCGCCAGCAGTTGTGAAGTGGACTCACTGACCTCACAGACTCCATTTGGGCAGTGGAGTACCGTGCTGGAGACCCTTATCAATCCTTGGGGTACTTGGGGCAAATGGTTAGTTCTCCTTCTTGCGGACAGCACAAATATTCTGGAGTTAAGCATGTTGATTATGATTCTTTCTACCAGATAACGATCTCACAGTAGTCTGTGCCGGAAGTCCTTGTGTCTAATGTTTCAGGATTGAGAAATGTCGGAGCCTATGAATGATACCTCAAGTGAGGGCCAGGTGAGCCAGGTGATCGAAGTGGATGTGAGTCAATACTTTTTTTTAATCCCACACTTGTTTGATTCCTTGAATTAATGCTCTAATACAATTTTTTAGTCGAACCTTGATGATAACGATTCTGCATATGATGGATCGTGAGTGACGCTCTCTCAGCCATCGCAGTTGATAATGCAGAAAGTTGACATGGCCCTTAGTGTTGGAAATGCAAGTGACATTGGCTCTGTGGCCTCCAATGTATTCAATTACATGTCAGTTCATGATCGTCCGGCTTGTACCAACCGGCGTGGATTCTAATGACTGTTGCTAACCGTTCTCTAGATACGAGGTACACACATGCTAGATCTTTCCATTTTCCAATGAAGTATGGCTAATCTTGATCGACAAGAATGGTCGCAGATATCATTCGTACCGTGAAGGGGAATATCTCTTGGTATGTACAGAAATGTATCTGAACGAGTGCGTTCACTCTATCTCATCTTCCATAGCCCAACGACGATTTAGAACAAGATCGGCTAGACTTGGTATGTTCTCAACACCTTTCTTATCCAAATATCAAGGCTTTCTTCCACTGATGTCACTCCCAGTCACACCATATCTACCGACTGCTTCTTGGCGGTGCTCTTCACTTAGCACCTTTAGAGAACCCACTAAGAATTCTGGACATCGGCACCGGGACCGGAATCTGGGCAATTGATATGGCGGAGTAAGCTCATCTTTGTCGGTTGCAAGACGAAGACTGACAATTTTCCAGCGAATATCCGGGGGCAGAGATCATCGGTACCATATCTTCCTTGTGTTTTGGACGCTGATAAATGCTAAGGGCCATAGGCAATGATTTGAGTCCAATTCAACCAGCCTGGTATGAACGTTCTCTGGCTGTCGCCTTTCCATGGTACTAATCCAACACAGGGTTCCACCCAATTGCGTTTTCGAAATCGACGATTTCGAAAGGGAGTGGGAGTACAGCCGACCGTTTGACTTTATCCATGGTCGTGAACTGGAGGGCTTTGTAAGAGATTACGATCGTCTCTTTGCTCAGGCCTTGCAGCACCTCAGACCGAACGGATGGCTTGAAATGGCTTCTTTCCAAGTTCAAAGTTATTCCGACGATGGAACACATAGGAAGGCCGAGTACCTGGAGAGGATGAACGACGCACTTTATGCAGCCAGTAGGGCCTTTGGAAAAGATATGGCCTCTATCTCTTCATGGAAGGCTCGGATGAGAAAGGCCGGTTTTCAAAACGTTAGAGAAGAAACCTACAAGGTAAGCATGAGATTGCTTCAAGAATCTCTTGACCAGATGGCTGAAACCCTCCAAAGCTTCCTCTAAGCCCATGGCCGAAAGATCCCAGGTTGAAGGAAGTGGGTCACTACCACCAGATCAATATGCTTTATGCTCTTGGTGCCTATACCTATGCACTCTTAACCCGCGCTCTCGGCTGGAAAAAAGAGGAAATCGAGGCTCTTTTAATAGGCGTGCGCAAGGAATTAAAAGACCCTAACATCCACGTCTACAGCAAAGCCTGGTTTGTCTATGGACAGAAGCCAGGCAACGGACCTGGAACAGTACCTTTTACCAGTTGACTTGACTCTTAAACAGTGCATATCTATTTCGTTACCCTTGCTCTTCACCAACAGAGACCTCGCTTTGATTCTTAAAAATTCATGCGCACCAAGAAATGTCTGTCGTGAATCCAGAACATTTGCTTGTGCTCGTTCGAGCCATGTCCGTTCAAAGGCGTCGACAGAGTGCGGTTCGAATGGGCTACAATTGGCACTAAACAGCCAAGTCGAACTGACATTTACCGCCAGTATCAACATACGTCCTGTCCAGATTGATGTGTTTCACGAAACCATCGACGCCGACAATGGCTCTATTAGCACCCCCCCCCCCCCCCCCCCCCCCCCGGGGCGCAGTCCGCCGTTAGCCTATGGAACAAAAAGGCACTCCTTCTTTTCCTTATTTTCCAATTTTCTCATGCGGGTGTGGTCCATGCAAACCCTCCTCGCGGCAAAGACGATATAAAGCATGTCCACTTTTTGTAGATGAAATAATCGAAATCGACTTCAATCGCCATGAAGAAAGGGTTTTCCATTCTCGATTGTCTCTTGAGCGGCGCGCGCGACTAGCTCAGCGGGCAGCAGGGTTCGCAGGACGGGCAGGGACCAGTGCAGCAGGAGGGTCTAGCTGCCACCTCATGAATGAAGACAAGGAAACGGAGGATTGTTCGACGGTGATACTGGGCAAGGTGGAGGCCTCTGGCATCGTGCGAAGAATGTAAAGGCGAGGGGTATGCACTGTGTGAGATACAAAAGCACCAATCTGTCTCTGTCTGCCTTGTGTGGGACAAGGATTCGGGATCCGCGGTCAATCATGCCCCTTGAAGAGCTCCTTACTGTGTAACTTCTGTCATACACTCATCTTATTAATATGAAAGTTCTCCCTACCAGGGTGGGAATGCTTGCTACATCACCACAAAAAAAGTCATATTCCTCACCTTACCCTCACCATCAAGGTCAAGATGGGAGGGCCAACCTCAGAACATGAGCCTGACGAGGCATTAGTGTATCTCAACAATCATTCCCATGTCGAAAATATTGATACGGTGGATTTGAAAGCTCTGCGGCGCAAGATTGACTCCCGTCTCCTCCCCTTCATGTTCAGCTGCTACGTCCTGCAGTCTCTGGACAAGGTGATGCTGAACGTGAGTCCTCGCTCTTCCAGGATGACACTGTGGCCTTAGTGTAACCCAAAGCAAAGTATGCGGGCGTGATGGGTCTCAAGGAAGATCTCGGATTGAAGGGGAACGACTTTTCCAACACTGCCACGGGGCTATTTATTGCATATTTACTCGCCGAGTTTCCAAATGGTAGCTCTTTTTACTCTCTTTTTTTTTTTAAAGATTTGAACACTCTAACAAAAGCCTTTTCTCCCAGTGTACTGTCTTCAGAAAGTGCCCGCGGCCAAATGGCTTGGTACCAACGTTTTCCTCTGGGGCATCGCAGCAGCTGCCGCGGCCGGTGCAACCGGTTACAAAAGTCTGCTCGCCGCGAGAATTTTCCTGGGCATTTTCGAAGCCACCGTTGGACCGTCTCTGATGCTTATTAACAGCCAGTACTACACCAGACAGGAGCAGGCGCTGCGGTTCACCCTGTGGTCGAGCGGAGTGAGCATCGCGCAGATACTTGGGGGGTTGATCTCCTTTGGGTTTCAGCACGTCCACCACGCTGCATTGGAGGGGTGGCGGGTGATGTTTCTTGTGCTGGGGGCCGTCACATCGCTCGTCGGGGTCTTGACGTTCTGTTTTCTACCGGACACGCCGATGAAGGCTCGGTGGCTGTCAGACCAGGAACGCGTCGCGCTGCTGCAATATATCAGTGTCAACCAGACCGGGGTACGGAACAGTTCATTTCATGTCAAGCAGATCTGGGAAGCTGTTCTCGATGTCCAGGTGTGGCTGCTCGCGTTGGCAGTGGTTTTGGTAAGCCTTCATCCTCTATCTTTATTCTTTTTTTTTCAAAAAAAAAAAAAACAAGAATATGCTAATGATAAGAGACCTCCGTGTCCAGTGGTGTGATAACCACGTACTCCTCCACGCTGATCGTCAGCTTCGGCTTCTCCGGCCCCGACGCAGCGCTGTTGAACATGCCCTCCGGTGTGGTGAGCCTGGTCTTTCTTATCGCCGTCGGGGTTGGTGTTCGCACGACCTCCCACCGGTGGGCGTGGATCCTCGCCTGCACCATTCCAGGCATCATCGGCGCGTCACTGCTATCATTCCTGCCGACCGCCCACGGGCACAGCAATAAAGCTGGCGTGCTGGTGGGCATCTACCTCGTGAATGCGATCATCGCCGTGCTCCCTATACTCTGGCAGTGGGCGATGGCCAATTGCGCCGGGCACACGAAACGAGCCTTTGCCAGCGCTCTGGTCGCGGGTTCCTTCTCGCTGGGCAACATCATCGGTCCACAGACGTTCCAGGCGCGCGACGCACCAGCCTACCACCCCGCCAAGGTTGCCGTGTTGGCGACGCAGGCGAGCGTAGCGATCGTCGCGGCTGTGTTGTCACTGTATTATGTATGGGAGAATCAGCGGCGAGACCAGCGGGCCTTACGAGCGGGGCAAGAGGGTCTGGAGACAGTAGAGGGCAAATGGGAGGGACTCACCGACTGGGAAAACCAGGCTTTCCGATATGTGTATTGAGGGTTGGTTTAGTAGTTGGGATATGTCAGACCTCCACCCGAGTTAACTTTATCAAGATCGTAGATCCTGATTCGAATGACGTTGACCGATAACTACGTCATAGACATCCCAACACAGTTATTTAAGACATGTCAAGAGGTAGTCTGGAGAGCAAAACAATCATTATCATTCAATAATACTTTGATTCAACTGAATACTTATTTGAATACTTATATACGATATCATCTCATCATGTCTCACTTCCTGCGCAAAGTCAAGGCCACCACCGGCATGAACAAGACCGACTCATCTCACATCGAACACGCCGGGGATGTCAACCACCCAGTCAACGACTCTGTCACCGGGACTGGACCTGTAGACAGGGAACTTTACTCTGGGAACAGCGGTGCAGATTATATTCCAGGTCAACACCAGTTCAGGGAGCCAAACTACAGCGCCAATACGGGAGACAGCAACACCTCTACCAACATGAACACCAACATGAACACCGATAGGAACACCTCCATGAACACTTCTATGAACACCTCCATGAGCACCGACCCCATGGACCCCCGTTCAACTTCCACCAGAGCAGAACCCGAAATGAACCCCTCTTCCAAGCACATGGGTTCAATGCAAAACACCAACATGCAGGATACTGCTTTGCCCTCCTCCTCTCCCGCCGGAGACGTGCCCATCCCCGACGACAAACCGGAGAAGAAAGGAGGCAAACGCGGTTCAATGTCTCGGTCGAGTATCGGCGCGGCGGGCGTGATTCCCATTTCGGGCAGCAAGGGGCCGACCTCGACCAAGACGTTTGATCCGCATGCTACGCCTCAATCTACTCATACTCATACTTCTTCTGCTTCTCGTATGGCTGAGCATCGTATGAGTGATCGTATGGGTGCCGAGCCTCGTATGGGTACTACTGCCTCCCATACGGCTGAACCCCGTATGAGCGGTGTTTCTCATACGGCTGGGACTGAATCTCATATGAGTGGTATCTCTCATCCAGCTGAGACTGAACCTCATATGAGTGGCGTTTCTCATACAGCCGAGACTGAACCCCGTATGAGTGGTGTTTCTCATACGACTGGCGCTTCTGGCATCCAAGGAGGAAACGCTATGGCCGGCAACGCGGGAGATGACTATTACAATACTCATTCAAGACGGGAGGACATCGCGACAGGCAAATTGCAGGGAGAGTCTCTTGGAATGGACTATGGAAGTCAACGAGTGTAAAGCTTTTCGGACTCATTATTGTACTATAACTAGCATTAAACTAACTAAGCATGTAACATTATCTTACTATTATGATCATTATCTCATAGATCATATCATTATCACATTCCCCTGACCATCTCTGTATGATGACCTAAACAGCGTTGGCAAAGGTGTGGGGAGTGGCAAGGTTCTTGGGAGTATCATTGCGGAGCTTGGGACCGATGAGGTGGTCAAAGGTGGGGGAGTGGGAGACACGAGGGGTCAGGTCCTCGAGATCCCAGAGGAGACCGAGGGTCTTGAGCACAGAGGTGGCGTGGTAGGTGTAGGGGTTGCCGGTGGCAGGGTCGATACCATACTGTTCAATGTAGCCCTTGGGGGTGTAGGGGGAGATGAGCCAGGTGGGCATGCGGCCGCCCAGGCGGTCGTAGGTGAGGGTGTAGTTCTGGCCGTTGGCAGCGGTCTCGGTGTAGGTCAGGTTGTCGGGGCGGACGGCAAGGGGAGGGGCGACGTGGTCGAAGAAACCACCGGTCTCATCGTAGGTGAGGACGAACAGGGTGTTGTCCCACTGGGGGCCGTTGCGGACGGCGTCATAGATCTGCTTGACCAGGACCTGGCCAAAGGAGACGTTGCCGCTGGGGTGCATGGAGTTGGTGTCGACGCCACAGCAGGAGGGGTTAATGTAGGACAGCTGGGGGAGCAGGCCCAGGTAGGCATCCTGGTAGAAGTTCTCGAGGGGCACCACGTTGTCGGCGGCGTTATCCGCGGTCCAGTTGAAGAACATGGAATCGGGCAGGAAGTCGCCGTTGGTGCCGTCGTAGTTTCTCCACGAGATGTTGTTGGCGGAGGCGACCTCGAAGATGCTGGTCACGTCCACACCGGAGACGTCGAAGCTGTCGTCGTTCTCACCGTGGCCGGCGGCAGTACCAGCCAAAGCACACAGGCGGTTAGGATTGGTGGGCTAGAAGAATAAGAATGGATTTGGGATGGATCTCTACAGTAAGGGACAAGGGAAGGAACTTACGCCAGGGACACACGAGTGCCAGTGGTTGAAGGTGACAAAGTCGTCGACGAGGTTGACGAGGGTGGGGATCTCGTCCTCGGAGTAGTAGCCCATGACCTGCTCGGCGGCGACCTTGGGGTCGAGGTCCGGGTAGTAGAGGAGCTGCTTGTCGACGAAGCCCTTGAGGGAGGGGGTCAGGGAGCCGTTGGCGATGGCCTCGTTGTCCGGGGTGAAGGTACCGTAGAACTCGAGGTTGTTGCCGGTGACGGAGTGATCCGGGTCGTTGAGGACGGAGTCAAAGTCCTTGTAGAAACTGGCCCAGGTGGCGCCGTCCGGGTCGCTGAGGTTCTGGGGGTTGTAGAAGGGCCCGTCGTTGATGGGGTTGCTGAGGCCCTCGCGCTGGACACCGCCCAGGATGTTGTCAAAGGCACGGTTCTCCAGCAGGATCCAGACGACATTCTGGATCTTGCTCTTCATGTTGGCAATGGAGTCGGGGGAGCCGGCCGTGTAGCCAAAGGGAGCCGACTTAACCTGGGCCCCGGAGCTGGAGTTGGAGGAGCCGGAGCTGCGACGGGTGGCAGCAATAGGGCTGGCCATGGCGGCCGAGGCACAGAGGCCGCCCACAAGGGACAAGGCAAGATCAGAGCGCATCTTGAGGTTTTCCTTTTGTCTCAACAGTTAAGAGAGAGAGAGAAGAAATTCACTGGAGGATTGTCTTTGGATGATGTGAGAGTGCCCGATGTCCAAGTCCTACAGGGATCGGCAGTCCCCCCGGGCGGTTTAAATAGCTTCAGCAGGGCAAGAATGAACCGGAATTCACGGAAGATGCCAACACCCACGTGGGCAAGATGCCCACTGCGATCGGAGGAGGATTGCGTTTTTGTTGGGAGGATGAGGAGGAGGAGGAGGAGATTCCGGTTCGTATCCCAGCGTATCCCAGCGTATCCCAGCGTATCCCAGTTGGAAGGAACCATATCAGGCAACTGGCCGTGGAGACGGGGGGGAGGAAGAGTGGAGGGGAGGGGGGGCCTTAGAGCCTTAGCGTGGACGAAATAGCCTCATGATTCTGGAAGGAATTATGGATTATGGATTAGCATGAGTTTCCATCGATTGGTGAACCTGTTCTCTCCGAGGGAGTACCTGAACTGGCTATGAGGACTTCTCGTTGCCTGTTGATTGCCCCTTGCTTCATCTTCGCCAGTCAGTCAGTCAGTCAGTCAGTCGTCAGTCATCTATCCACATTCCTCCGTATTCTCTTGAATGCTGTGAGTCCGAAGCTCTCGTTCTAGACTGGTATCCGCCCGTCTTCCTTGCATCCTTCTGGACGTTATCCAAGGAATACCTTAGTTAGTGCTAACAGTCAAGGTTGATGAATATCAATCCGGCAGTAAGAACAAGGTCTCTCCACACCGCCTCGCAAACCCAACAGTGACCCCTGGCCCTGGCACGTGGGCGGCTGCTGAGAGCTAGCGCCACAGGGCTCCGCACCAATGGGAGGCCCCGAGCTGGCAGGTGAGCCGGGCCCCATTTCTTATTTGCGCGCAACAGTAATGCAGATCATGCGATGGGCTGTGGCTGGGCCAATTGGCAGGCGAGAAAGACTCGCTCTGATATATCGCACATATGATTCGTTGCTGCTTGCACGTGAGCAGGATATGAGGTTTAGTAGGTACGAAGTAGGCACAAGGTACCTACTAGGTACCTTATCTGTATTATGGGACCCATAAAGACCTATCAGTGGGGGTATTCACTAGTATGCAGTATATTAGCTGTAGCTACCTAACTAATGGGATGTTCTGCTATGATACAATATTAATAATGAATAGGAACAGGAATTGAAGATCAATATTCTGCTCAACTGAATACTATATAGTACACAAATGACAAGTCAACACTAGTTAAATCCCTCCTATATGTCGTACCATGGTCATATACTTCGAGTAACGCAGGATCAATCAATTACAGGTAGTACTTTAGGTACTTATCGACCTGCCTAACTGGTATTAATTAATAGACTAGACTTGATCTATACATTGCTCACTGGAATCAGCCAGGAACTGGGGCCTTGGATCCGTCAGCTACTATATACTTTGAAGTCAATTGGCTGGAGATCAATCTACCTTACTTTGGCTTGGATACTAGGATAACGGCAGTTGTTCCTAGCTACAGACTACGAGGTAAGCGATTTCTAGTCTTGGTGGATCACATCCTGGTAGAAGTATTTATCTAGTTAATACGCAGGACAGAGTATATGTAGTAGCATTATGTAGCCTTGAGATACATACTAGTCTTTCATAATTATTGTGTTATAACAGATTAGTTTCTACTCTCTACCCTCTCTACCCTCTCTATTCTACTCTGATCTCTTCAAATTTATTCAGAACGGAGTAAGGCTATAACGGAGATAATCCTGACGGAGTTTGAGAGAGCAGAACTCCATGTAAACGGAACTCGGAGTTAAGACAGAAGATACAACGTATAACTAGTTTTGTAGTAATTACTTACCCTGACAATGAACAAGATATTCATCCCCAAATTAATAGAAAATGCCCTTTATCACTCTCGAAGAACACTACATCTCCCCCCACGTCAGCGCCGCCAGCCAACCCGCCCGGGAGCACTACGCCCTCTTCCCACCCCCAACAATAACAAAACTAGAATGCCTCGACACCCCCCGCATCCACGACATGGACGCCGGCCAGGTCTCGCTCCAAGTTATCTCCCACGGACCAGGGGACGTCCCCCCCCAAGTCTGCAGACAGGCGAACGACGATCTGGCGTCCGCCGTAGCACGACACCCGAGACGACTCGCCGCGTTTGCCATGCTGCCCATGACCGAACCTGACGCCGCTGCAGAAGAACTAACCCGGTGCGTGACAGAACATGGCTTTCTAGGCGCCCTGGTCGAGAACCATCTCCACGACGGGACCTTCTACGACGACCAGAGATTCTGGCCCGTGTTTGCGATTGCCGAACAACTCGACGTCCCGATATATATCCATCCCGCATTTGCTTCGGAGGCGATGCTTCAAACCCACCATCGGGGTAACTATGACGATTCCGTGGCTCTGGCGTTAAGTGCGTTCGGATGGTCGTGGCACACGGAGACGGGGCTACATGTTCTGCGTCTCTATGCGAGTGGGTTATTCGATAGGTTTCCCCGTCTGAAGATTCTCCTAGGACATATGGGTGAGATGCTTCCCTTCCAGCTTGACAGGGTGTGTGCCGTGTCAGAACGGTGGCCCGGTCTGCGTAGGAAACTGCGCGACGTCTGGCGTCACAATATCTACGTGACTACCAGTGGGATGTTCTCGTTGCCTCCGCTGGCGTGTCTGCTGCAGACTACCTCGATAGACCATGTGCTGTATAGCGTTGACTATCCCTTTTCGTCCAACGAAAGGGGGTTGCAGTTCTTCGAGGAGGTGAAGAAGAGCGGCTTGATTGCCGGCGAGGACTTGGATCGCTTTGCTTATAAGAATGCAGAAACCCTTTTGGGTGTCAAGCTAGACCTTTGATAAATGAAATACATTTAAAGCTCTTCCAAAAGATAAACCAATTTCTTCCCACTCACTTCTCCTCGACGCAAAACATCCAGTCCACCTAGAATCCCCTCAAGACCAGACCCCCCAACCCCAGTCGCGACAGGGTGATTCTTCAGTCGGCCCTCGCCAAGCAGTTTCTCCACCAGCACGCCGAACCGCAGAGCGAACTGGTAATCCTCTTCGCTGGCAGGGAGGAGCTGGTCTTCGAATAAAACGTCCTCCCCGACAAGCGTGTAGCCGAGGAAGTACTTCTTCTCGACCGGTCGAGGGAGCGAGGCGGGTAGAGTCGGGTCCAGCGTGCTCACGTAGATCGCCTTTTCACCCTCTTTTGTATCGGCTGGCGCAAAGGACGCCGCGCAGATGGCTGCTGTCTCGTCGGTAGCAATCGTATCGAAGGCGTGCATTAGGGAGTTGGACGTTGCTTCGGCGATGAGACTGAATATGTGTGGGTGGTGCTGTAGAACACGATTAGAAGAAGACACGAGAACACAAGATCACAGTATAGAAGTTTATATACTCACGTAGTCGAGCCAGACATCCGCTCCTCGTTGTTTGACAAGGTCAAAGTTCCTCGGCGAGCAGGTCGTCACCACTTTGAAGCCAGACCTAAATGATCAGAACGGACGTGAAAGTAGATAAGAAAGAGCTTACAGTTTTGCAAGCTGAATCACCATCGATCCCGTAGCAGACGATCCTCCATAAACGAGCATCCAATCCTTGTCAGTACTCTCACTCTCCCTGCCACTCTCGGGCAAAGACAAGCCCATAACATGGTACAAGCCCATCCCCGCCGTGAAAACACCAACACCCAACGACGCGGCCTCCCCCCAGCCCATCCCATCCGGGATACGAAGCTGCACATCTGCCTTGACGAGAATATATTCTGCGAAAGCCCCGTAAGAGGGTTGCAAGACGTTACACCCATGAGACAGGCCGGCCACCCGATCCCCGACCGCGAACGGTTTCCTGACTCCCTCCCCGATCTGCACCACCGTGCCGGCGTAGTCGAGTCCCACAATACATCCTATATACGAGGTATGGTCGATGTCCGTCCAGTCGGCTGGGTTGAGGGCCACGGCCGCCGTGCGGATGAGCATGTATCCTGCTGGAATGCGGGGGATGGCCACCGAGACGAGGCGGGCCTCGCCGGGAGAGGTTTTGACAATTGCTCTTCGGGATGGAGGCATATTTAAAATGGGATAAAAAGTAAACACCTCGGGAGGGATCTATGTTGGAAGCGAGTCGATGATTATAGTTAACTAGTAGTTATATATTTGTATTTATAAGCAGAGTAAGCATTAGTTAGACATCTTAGCTAAATCTCACCCTATGGATAATGCAAAGATATACATAGAGCAGTTTATATAATAAGAGCATGAGAATAGGAACATGGCTAGCCAGAGGGGCATACATTGTTATATTCAGTAATTACTATCAAGTCAATACTTCTTACTATTCTCTGTCTATCATAATGTCTACGCGTTTAGGGTGGAGCCTTGATTGAAGTGTCATGCACCAGGTATACCAGAGACATCATTGAATCGGTATCATATAGAGTATGTAGCCCTCGGCATGGATATGCTAATTCGCTAATTCGGTCCAGTCTCACTGGTGGCAACCGTCCGCAGAGCGACGGTCTCCGGCTCCCCGCTGCCGGCAGCCGCGGCGGCAGCCTTGGCCAGCTCCTTCTCGCGGGCCTTCTGAGCCTTCTTCTCCTGTGCAAGCCGCAGTTTCTCCATCTTCTTGGCCTGGTTCTTCGAGTTGGGGTCCTTGACATCGCCTGTGACCTTGGTCTCGGCCGTCTTGGCTCCCAGGGTATCTGATGAGATGCCTCGGCAGATCAGCGGACGGGGCACCATGTAGCGGTCTAGCACTTCATCTGTGACCTTGGCCCGTCGTTCTTGGAAGGCGAGGCAGAATTTGGTGACTTCGTCGGCGCATCTGCAAGAGTCAGATTAATACTAGACAACTCAACGATGGAAGACTACCAGACTTACCTCTTCTTGATTTCGCCGGTCAGCATTTTCCCAGAGCGGTAATCCTGACGGATCTGCTCCAGCTCCTCGTCATCCTGATGCAAGTTAGCAAATACATCAGAAAAATTCAACACAAAATTACTACTGACCTCGAGGAAAAACTTGAGGTATTGGAAGGGAACGTCGACTTCCGGATCGCCACCTTTTTCCCGGTGTTCCTCCAGTGTTGGCTGCCCTCCGCTGAAGGCATACAGGTTGATCTTCTTCAGGATCTGTTTGGGCGTATCTCCGACAAGAATAGCACTGGCCTCAATTGAGGCGGACATCTTCGACCCGGGACCTTGCAAGGCATCGAGGAATCGGGCGTGGATGAGCGACGGTTTCGCATATCGTAATTGACTGGCAACATCGCGAGTAAGTCGGAAGTAGGGGTCTTGGTCGATAGCGCAGGGAATAAGACAAGGGATGTTGCTGGTTCGTGTCCGGTCAGAACCAAACACTTCGGGGAATGAGCTTGCAAATGAAGGAGCCGCTTGGATGGCTGCAAAATGGATCTAATCCCTTGTCAGCATGCAGACAGGATTTAAGCGCAATCACTTGCTGCTTGCTCACCTTTCCAATATTTGTGCTGGTATCGAAACCAAAACAGGCGTCCGCTGTTGATCTATTGATGCGCTAGACTCTCATTAGAACCGAACAGCGATAACTTCGAGACCCTCTCAAAACAAACCTTCGCTATGCGCGTGACGTTCTTGTAAAACTCTCCACCCATATATCCATAATCTGAAAAGATGAACGTTCTCTCCGGATCGAAACCGCAGGCGATGATATCCTTGGCGTTCTCCCGGCCGAAGTGCTCGAATTCGTCGATCTCGCGGTCGCTCTTTGCGATGAGGTATTTCTCGTCTATCGGAGTTAGTAAAGAAATAAAAGGAAACCAAAAAAAAAAAAAAACATCAAAGGAAGGAAAAATACCATCCGTCAGCATGACAACAAGGGGCACCTCAAAGACGTCCGACAGCCACTTTGTCAATTCAAAGGGAACCATATGACCAATGTGCATGACCGTGCTGCTCGGCCCCCGGCCGGTGTAGATGAAAAAGGGCTCCTTCTTCTCGTACTTGTCGAGGATGACCTCAAGGTCGCGGTGGGAGAAGACAATCTTGCGGCGCAGAAAACGATGCGGCTTGTGGCCCGTGACTCGCTCGAAGCGCTCGAGCAGGGCCTCGTCAATGAGCTTGGTGCCAAACTGGTCGACCAGCTTGTCGTAGTTGATCGGCTTGACCTTGCCATCCTTGTCGACCTCGCCGGAGACGCTCCAGGGATTGACGTTCTGCTCCTGCGCGGCGGGCGCGGTGGGTGCTTCCGTAGCTTCGGCCATGATCGCCAGATGTCCAAATACTCGAACTGTGGAGGAGAGGGGCAGGTCAATTTTGGTGGGATGTTCTTCTTCAAGTGACTCAGATAAGGTGGTGGGCTGATTATGTAAGAGATTAGTCAGGCGTCTGTGTATAATGATGCCTGAGGCTCACAATACCATACATTGCGTGGCCTATATCTATAACCATAGAGGCTAAATTTCCAATAGATGAACCAATCTAGGCTATATTGAGTGACCATGGTCTATCGTAAAACCATATAAATACAATATAGGGCGCTAAACAGTTCCATAGTAACCCTGCTGCCGCGACCAGGGAAGACGACTGTCTGTTCGGGGATACCATGTATAAATTTGGGGTGCATCCCTTGCGTAACGAGAGTTATGTCGAAGGGAAATTTCTGATGCTGCCTGCTCATTTCACTGTCATCCTGGCGTCCTTCAATTTATTACTCAAGCCTTCTTCCTCCATCTCACTGACACCTCTTCATTTCTGCTAACAATCACTACTACTGCCCCTCTGATGATTCTCGATCTCCCAAGAAATACCAGTTTGACTACTCGGATTGATTCTCATCGCAACCGCAAGCTAGCCATCTTCATGCGTGCTTCTCTGTTTCTTTCACGCCTGTCTAAGAAAATGGCCGCCGCTGACTGTTTCAAACCACGCGTTTCTGGATACAAACGAAGTTCATCATCCTTCATCTCGAGCAGGTGGTGTCTGTATTGGCCAGATCACGGAACGCTTTGAACACCTGGATGTTGGTCTAGTCAAGCTTTTCCCATCCTCTACTTTCACGAACGCAGAGTATTTTGAGGCCCAACAACCCAAGAGACTTCTCCGCTCCAATGAAATCTTCAACAATGTCTGGTGCAGCCTTGATGGTGTGGCGTCTGGAGTGGTGCATCTCCGGGTGGCTGGGGTGCGTTTACAACCTGCCCAGCGCCCAGGAAGAGTAATCATCCCCTTCACAGAATACATCTCAGAAAACCCCATGGAGTACATTGGGCCAGCGGGTGGACATGTCAAAGAAGGTGTCTGTGGTGCGCCTATCATTGTCGACTATGATCAGGACGGCGGGGTCGTCGGAAACCTTCAACCTGGCGCTAGAGACAGTATATGGGCTCTCTCTCCAGCTCCTAAAGATCTTACTATTGATCGAGGATGGAGCTTGGTCTGATAATCCAAAGACATTTGCTGTTTGATTGTGTGGTCTAAATGGCTAGGATTTGCTTCATCCTTTCACTGATATATTCATTACTATTCTACACGCCCAAACTACACCTGATTCATCCAAGGCATAGCCTATAGATTGAGGGTAGAAAAGCTTTTGAAATGATACTCTATCTATACTACTGCCCACTCCATGATTACCTTGAAGACATCTAGACCATCATGCTCTCTCTCTATCCTCTCGACAAACTGTTCCTTGTTGTCACGCGTGTAGAAACCGGCATCATTCGTCAGCAGCAGTTTTGACACACTCTCGTCCATCTCCGGGTGTCCTTGGAGAGTCAGGATTCTGCCAGTAGAAGAGAGGAAGGTCTCCCTCTCTGCCAGCGCGATGAAGCCGGGAGGTGTGCTGAGAACCCGTCGTCGATGGAATTTATGAAGATTCTGGTAATCAAGTTAATTCAATATCACTTGGTTGGAGTCTGTAACTTACAATACTCTCTCGATGAAAAAAAGATTTGCCTGCTTCTGTTAATTCGATTTCATATACTCCGAGCTAGAATTGTTAGTAGAATAGTATATAAAATAGTAGTATGAACTATGAATATTATTACCCTAACTTGATCCTCTTTAATTATCCCCCCCATCGCTCTCGACACAGCCTGATGTCCCCAACAGATCCCCAGTATCTTACAAGTAGACTGTGCATGGCAGTCTCGGATAAACTGCATCGTGGCGACAATCCACTCGTCTGGTTTCTCGGCCACGATATCGCCCGTTCCGCCGGTGAGAATGACGAGATCATAGTTCGATGGCGATGGAAACTCGCCCGTTTTCATCGGGTGGAAGATGTCGATTGCGGTAGGGTGGTAGGATTGCAGGAGTTGACGCCATGCTGCGTCGACGGTGCAGCCAGGGCCGTTCAGGGTGTAATTGCGGAGGATGGCTATTCTCATCTCGATGGAGATGAAAATGAGCAAAATAATTAGAAATGAGAGAAAGGCAAAGAGGAGAGAGAGAAACAATGGAGAATGGATGAGAAGACAAGAGGGGGAGATAGCATAAGATAAGATCGGTACAAGTATGAAGTAGCGCAGTTATCAGACAGTTTGAACAGCAAGATAGGCATGTGACTTATGCTATTCACTTGGTAAATCCTCGATTTGCCTCGAGAGCCTTTTTGATCAAGGATCTCAGTCCTTGGCCATACGCTACTTCGTCATAGATCTCACAGATCCTACTGACAAAATCCCTAACAGAGGAGAACATCTTGCTCTTGCTCAGGTTGGTGCTGCTTGATGGTCATGATTCACGGTGTTCCTTCATAGACTCTCTTTTTGCTGTCATGGAGATTACCTATCTTCACTACCTCCTGGACTGAAGAGTATCGAGCGACAAGCTGCTCTCAGCTAACCGGCAACATATTTGTTTCTGGTGACCAAGTGCTAAGCTTGTCGTTCTCTATCTTCATCTTGCCAGCACGATTTCCCACCACGCCGGTAGGTTTCCAGGTCCTAAACCCAGCAAAAGCGAACAGGACTAACAAGAAACAGATACAGAGAACACAAATATCTACTTGTCACAGAATGAATGACCCTATTATACCTTACTAGTAGCCTTCAAGATCCTATTGGCCGAGTGGTCTTCCCCTCAATGTCACAATATTGCAGGTAGCCGCGGATACCTATACCGAGCGCAACGGGGCCTTGCATTCAATGATACTCTCTAAAGAGACCTCGAAAGACCCCGACAAATTGGCGGGCGTGATCGATAATACTGGGAGGAGCTACCCAACAAGCCTGCGCGAATTGCTTGGGAGAGCAGCTCGCTTGTGATAATATGCGTTAGTTAGTCACCTCCGGCAGTTACTAACTAAAGGCTACTACTTTAATAGGCGGGCTGAGCCTTTTCCGTCCGAGACATGCAGGCAGGATGCTGAACCAGGATAGTCAATTCTGTGGTTTGAGGACCAGGAATCATTATGAAGCCTATTGCCTAGGCACTAGCAGAAGATTCCTGGAAGGATAACCAAACATAATATATTCCTTATGCTATAAAGTGCGTCAGTGCCAGACCCTGTCATGCATGTCTAAGATATTTGAACTAATTAAATGGCATATAGATTAATCTCCCTAGGTATGAAGAAGACATGCTGTGTTCTGTTGCAAGAGGGGATACAATATCACAAGCAAGAGACAGCCTAGATACCTAGGTAACTCAAAATATAAAAGGGCTGTGATTCTTGAATATTTTCTGTCTTGTAACACATTCAATTGTCCATCAACCAAACGGAACCTTCAAAGTCATCTTCTCAAAGACAATGCTCGTCAAATCTCTGGTTGCTCTCCTGGCCATCTCAGCCAGCGCCTCCCCCATCAAGCGAGACGCGGCCACGGTGCTGTCTGACCTGGAGACCATCGTCAGCGAAGTGGGTACGTTCCAAACCGACTTTGACAATTGGGATGGGTCTGTCGATTCGGAAGTGTCTGTGCTGTTTGCGGACTATCTTGCCCTCGAGAACGACCTAAACACGGCCATCAGCGACACCGAGGCAGTCTCAAGCCTGACTGACTCGGAGACCAGCAGCATCACCAATGAGCTAGAAGCCTTGGGACCTGCTCTCATGGTTGCTCTGGAGGTCATGATGCTCAAGGTGAGCCTTTCATTCATAGAAAAAAAAGAAGTTTGACTAGACTGATTCGCGCAGCAACCCGACGTTGTAGCTGCCGGGTCTGAAGCCTTATGGCTCACCATACTCGAGACCCTGGATGGTGACTTCAACACCCTTGCTGCGGATCTGGGCACTCTTGCCACCACCACCACTGCCACGGAGGCTCAGGGTGTTGTTTTTACGGATGTGGATACTGCTTTTGCCAGCGCTATAGCTGCTTACTCTGAGTCTTGAGCACCTCTCCCGGCTACCAGGCCCTGCTGGGTCAGCATGTAGCTAGAGAGTCACAATCACAACTATGTTGACCTGATCTAGTACAGTAATACTAACATAATTCTTCTTGAAGAGCTGAGATTGCTTTTCATCTCGCTTAGACAAATATGGAGCCTCCGGCCAGCGCGGGCAGCGCGGAGTACCCGGAGTCCGCGGTCTCCGGGGAAAACGCGGGCAGCGTCCGAGTAGTGTATAAGAGGTACCCAGGTAGTAACTACCTGATTAACTCACACACCACTCAGACTGCCGGAACAGAATCGTTTCAAAGAACCAGGATGTCTGTATCTACATCAATGGCAGAGTATGTAGAGAAGTCAAACGCTGCAATTGGACTGCTGCTAACGTCCCCCGTGCCTCCAACAGCCAGTCAACGACTCGTCCTCGGAGCAGACGACCTTCGAAATCCTCCCCCGAAACACACAATGGTAGAGAAGAAGGGAAAGAAGACTTCGAATTCGGGGGACCTCTAGGCGTCAGCCTTGTCATGCTAGGCTTCCCTATACTCATGTACTACATGTATATCGGCGCTACGATATACAATGGCCACCTCCCCCTGCCTGAGCCCGATCAGTCCCTCGTCGACTTTGCAAGGCACCTGGTGGATCTCGTGTACACGCACGCCTATCCTCATCGGAAAGCCTGGATTATCTACTGGACGTTTCTCGTCCTCGAAGGGATTGGATACCTCTACCTGCCCGGCGTGTATGGAAAGGGCAAGTGCCTCCCCTCGCTGAACGGCGGCCAACTCGACTACTTCTGCTCTGCAATCTGGTCGTGGTATACCACCATTGCAGCCGCACTGTCTCTGCACTTCACCGGTGTTTTCAAGCTGTATACGCTCATCGATGAGTTCGGCCCCATCATGTCCGTGGCGATCTGCTCTGGCTTCCTCGTCTCGGTCATCGCCTACGTTTCTGCCGTGGCACGGGGTGTGCAACACCGCATGTCGGGATCCCTCATTTACGACTTTTTTATGGGGGCAGAGCTGAACCCCAGGTTTTTTGGATGGCTGGACTTTAAAATGTTCTTTGAAGTCCGCATCCCCTGGTACATCCTCTTCCTGCTCTCGCTCGGCACCGCCTTGAAACAAATCGAAGACTACGGCTATGTATCTGGGGAAGTCTGTTTCATCCTCCTGGCACATTTCCTTTACGCCAACGCCTGTGCCAAGGGCGAGGAACTGATCATCACCAGCTGGTAGGGAGCCATCGCCCTGAAGCCCTACTTAACAAACCATCTTGCTAAAGCTATCAGGGACATGTACTATGAGAAATGGGGCTTCATGCTCATCTTCTGGAACCTCGCCGGCGTCCCCATGAGCTACTGCCACTGCACGCTCTACCTCGCCGCCCACCACCCATCCACCTACCACTGGAATCCCTGGGCCCTTGGCCTGCTGGTAACGCTGTACCTGTTTGCCTACTGGGTCTGGGACACAGCAAATAGCCAGAAGAACTATTTCCGAGCCCAGGAGCGTGGCGTGCCCCTGAACCGCAAGACCTTTCCGCAGTTACCCTGGAAGTATGTCTGCAATCCACAGGTCATCCGTACCACGACAGGCGACTCCATTTTATGCAGTGGGTGGTGTAAGTATATGTCTTCTTCTCCTGGTTATAGAAGATAGCAGTCAACTTACTTTCGTGGTTTAGATGGTATGGCCCGCAAAGTCCATTATACATGCGACCTCTTCTTCGCCCTCTCCTGGGGTCTAATCACAGGCTTCAACTCGCCCTTCCCGTGGTTCTATCCTGTTTTCTTCGCTACCATGATCATCCACCGCGCACGCAGGGATATCACGCGGTGCAGGGAGAGGTACGGCGCTGCGTGGATGGAGTATGAGCGCCGGGTGCCCTATTTGTTTATTCCGGTATGTTGTTCTCTAAGCGAGTTTATTCTCCTTTGCTAATGGAGTAGTATGTAATCTGACGAGGTGGTGGATGGCGGTTAATTATTCTATATAAATAGCATTCTAGAAGAACTACTTAGTAGCCATTCCTAATTCATGTTCATATTCAACATATCCATCACCGGCCGATTAGTACTCAAAAAGTCATTCAGAAACACAGATATATCCGCACTGTTCATGTTAAATTCACTCATGTCATCCGGCCACGACACATCAGGCACGGCGAGGGCATTGCTCTGCCCCTTGACCCCTGTCGCGGGGACGAACAGCGACCCGTCATCATGCTGCTCGAATCCCATGAGGGTCTGACGCGATTCAATCAGAACACGTGCCGTGTTGAGAAAGGCCTTGCAAATCTCGTATAGCCGCGCGGACCCCTGCGACAGGTTCTTGCACAGTTCCAGCGAAGACACAGTCTCCTGGAGGAGAGCGAAATCTCGGGCGCTTGACGTCGCAATTGCGTGCGTGAAGATGATGACGAAGGGGGTGAAGGAAGGATACAGCAGGATCCTAATTCCATATTAGTTCTTTTTCCTGGTGACTGAAGAAGTGAAAGAAGTTGCCCACCACTTTACATATTCGGCCTGCTTGTGGCTTTCCCGTGTGCGGAAGATGGCAAAGCATTTCAGGTGGCTTTCCAGCGCGAGAGTGGCTGCTTCCACACATTTGGAGGTGATTGCCGTGGCGTTCGTTGGTAGCGTCTGCGCGCGATAGATGACCGTCAGGACGGAGTAGGTGATGAAATCGGCGCACAAGGCCATGCCCTGTAACGATTCGGAATATAACCCCGGATGGACATCTATCTTCGCTGCGTGTCAGTGAAGAAAAGATATATCTGCCCCGAGCAGAACCCGGTAAATGTAACAAACTTACTGCAAGTAGCTCATTTCGCACTACAATTAGAGCGGCGGAGAGTTTTTCGATCGATGCAGCTGTGCTTGCCGGGGGTGCCTTGGCTGCTGCAACCGAATATAGCTGGTCGTAAACTTGGCCTTGGATAGTGGAAAACTTAATGGTGACTAGTGTCATCAGGTCCCAGGGACATTGCTTCGGGTCTTCTGAAGGAGTGAAAAACTCTGCATCGATATCATGGTCCTGAAAGTGTGATGTAAGACCTAAGTTGAGTGAAACGTTCTTGTCAATGGTGTACAGAGACCAGAAGACATGCCGCTTCGCTTCGGCTAGGGCGAGCGAGTCCTGTTTTAGGGTAACGTGCCGATGATACCCCATACTCTGGCACATGTTGAATGCCACTGAAAGGTAGGTCCAACAGAGCTGGAGGTTAGACTCTTCCTGGGATTTGATGACCTGGGGAAAAGAGAAGCCGTTAGAACAAGATAATCCGCGGTAGATAGAGAAAATATCAACGCACCCCGATCAGCAATGCTTGAACCTTCTCGAGAGTCGGGTTGACCATCATCTCGTAGCTGTTCAGCCCCGATGAGAAGTTCCGCTCGCATAGTTTGATGTAATTGATGAAATCCGGATTCGGCAGCTGATGGGTGTCTTCATGGGCGTAATCGCGGATGATGTAGTAGAGTAGGCCATGAAGGAGGGTTGTTGACCCTGGAGCAAGGGATTCCGAGGGAAAATATATCTTCTGACAGAGAGTCTCAATTTGAATATGGTTTCCCCAGGAGTGAGAAACTAGGGAAAATGGAGGTTGCGCTGGCGAACATGTTAGATATCTGGGCTCTTTCTAGCCTGTTGCATACGAACTCTTGATCTTTTTGACCAGTGCAACAACAAAATCGACGGGGAGAAGAACAAGGCTAGGGTCTTCCCTGGAGTTATTTTGAGGAGTAGATATGATTCGACTCGAGTCTGCTTTGGTGATAGAATGATGTCTATCCAGACTGTCCTTTAGAGAGAGGAGCGCAGTGCAAACGCTCTCATCCAGCTTGGTACCCGGTATCGCAGAGACAGCAGAATAAGCTGCATCTCGAGCTAACAAAGTCTCGTTACTAAAAGAAGATTGCCCCTCAAACGTTGGTATGATGGACGTCGAAGTTGTCGGTGTGGAAACGCTCTTGGAAGCCGTCGGTGTACCAGGCGTTGCATTCCGCGGTATCTCCTGGAGCGTCTGCTGGATGGCTACCAGCTGCTCCTGAATCTGATCAATCTTTCGTTCACTCGGATGGTGAGTCAGCCTTGGAGCCATTTATCCATTTCTTGGTCTCGACCTACTACTGGTGGGACAGCGTAATTCGCTGCCGTTGTTCTGTTGTGGGCTGAGCAGCAGGAGCAGCAGCAGCCGCTTTGCACACAAGCCCCAAAGTGCCACAGCTAGAGCACGGAATGGCCTTGTCACATCTTATCTATTGAAAAACAAGAGTATGAGTGGCGAGTTTTATCGTACTGGAAATGCACCCAGCTGTACTTGAAAGCGATGGTACTACCTTTCTAAGACGACAGTTTTCACACTAACCATCAAATTAGAGAATGTCCATACAGGTAAGAACACCATTGCCTACCGCTCTAGACCTGAACGACCGACGTCCATGCGAACTGACTGCTTCGTCGCCTTCAGCCATCTGTCGGGTGAAATAAACACTGAGTCGATTGACAGTCCAGTTGAAGATCTTGGACCGATTCCCGGAGAGGCCGATCTCGCGCTGACTCAGCACTACATAAAACTAGTGTTGTATGCTTAGTCATCAATGCAAGACACCTGCTCCTTCCCACTAGGCCATGATAAATCCCAACCTCACACTGCAATCCTCTTCGATCTTTCATAAAGATACGTGGATACGCCCCTATTACTGACTCCTTATGCTAGATAATGCATAATCTCGCACCATCTGGGCCTCTTCCACTGTGGAGACTCTACCAGATTTCCCTCTTGCTAGTTCTGACTGTGGAGCAACTGCCGACTTTTCCGAGATCAGATTTCAAGGGAAAAAGGCTTCAGCCCTGAAAAGCTTCGCTCGGCAAGTTAAGCCATCATTCTTGGCGGCTGGAATTCCCCCCTGTAGGGCTGACTGACCAGCGGATTTTATAGTCCACAATTCCTCGCTTCAGTGTGCTATTCATACATAAGGCGATTCCCATTATCTCTGAGCACTATGTTAGAGGATGCCCCCTGTCAATGTGTCCACTGTTCTCACCGAAGAATATTGCTGCCTGTTGTGACGATTGTTGCCGAACGGCAAAGTGGAGATCATTACACTATGTCTACTCCGTACCAGCTGGCGAGGATCTAGTACCATTGATCAGATAAGTGATGACACGACGAAACAGACTTTTCTGGCCACCGTCTCAAGCTTTGAATGAGGATAAACAGAGGTAGATCAGGTATAGAGGGCATTCTACACACGACAAATAATGATTTCTATAGTGAGAAATAATGGATAAATAGTGTTGGGAAAAAGACTCCCAGGTAATCGAACGAGCTGCTCATCGATACCCAGGCCTCGTTTCTCCTGAAATATGAACATGATACCAACGACAGCAGTATCTGATTGAGATAATCATTTCGCTGGCTCCAATTTCATTTAGGACATGAGATCCACTTGACTGAGATTTCCTACCAAGGTCCAAAGTCTTTAAAAAGGATGTATTTTCCACAAAGCCCTGCTAGTTATCTGATCGAACTTTATCAGATCTTAATCTCGGCTCAGCCTTTGGACAATTTCTCATACTGAGTTTTGAGACAATGGATTCAGAAGTGAAGCCAGATGTCCAGGTCAATACAAAGGACTTGCATCCTTCAAAGGACTCAGATACCGGTGAGACCATAGTCCTATAATCTTTAATTAGGTTTTAAGAGAATCTGACGTGTCTCGATATAGAGTCTTTTACCGATGTTCTACGAGCGGCAGGAATTGGTATTCAAGAAAATGATCCCACGGAGTCTGTCCTAACTCTGCGCATGTGGTTTATCGGAATCTTCTTTTGTATCCTGATCAGCGGCTTGAATACCCTCTATACTTTGAGAACCCCGTCTATCACCATCTCATCGTCGGTGGTCCTCTTGCTGGCCTACCCCCTGGGTAAGCTATGGGAGAAACTCGTACCCAGCTGGGATGTGCCACTGGGCGGCTGGTCATTCAATTTGAATCCTGGTCCCTTTAACCAAAAGGTAGCTTGAGAACTCTGAAAGAAAAAAAGATTTCCCTATGAGGCCTTGATTTTGACTGATTTCTTTCAAGGAACATGTGTTGGTATACATAATGTCTAACCTTAGTATCTATGTCCGCCTTGGAGCAGACGTCTTGACGGAGCAACAAATGTTTTACGGATACAAAGCTGGCTGGGGGTTCCAGATTCTCATTACATTAGGAACATTCCTCCTGGGGTTCTGTCTCGCAGGTCTCTTTCGTGCTATCGTCGTGGTTCCTCGAGATCTCCTCTGGCCGGGTGTTTTGAGCACTACAGCTCTGACAACAACGTTGCATAATATTGGACAAAGAGATGTACAGACGTCGTATGTTTTAAATTGTCTTACCTTGTTTTTCTGCACCTCTGTCCTGACCATTGGTTAGGTATTCCACATGGAAGATCTCTCGATACGCCTTCTTCAGCGTGGTGTTTTGTGTCTCCTTTTGCTGGTATTGGTTCCCGGACTTTATCTTCCCAGCGCTCAGCTATTTTACATTTCCATGCTGGATCAATCCGAAGAGCACAGTGGTAAATCAATTATTCGGCATGGAGTCTGGAATGGGGCTGTTGCCTATCACATTCGACTGTAAGTTTACCCTTGGGATATTATTCTGGTCGATGCTAAATGGAACCAGGGAGCCAAATATCCTATGTTGGGTCGCCATTACTGGTCCCTTCTTGGGCTATTCTGAATGTTCTTCTGGCTCTTGTATTCTGGATTTGGATTGTTGCTGTCGCGTGTTATTATACAAATGTTTGGTATACTGGTTACCTTCCATTCCAAAGCTCATCCGGTTTGTCGAGTCTATACCCGCTGATTTCATCTTCAGACTATGACGTTAACAAATACATAGTATATGACAATACAGGAACTGCCTACAGTGCTTCCAAAGTGGTCAGCAAAGCCACTGGGTATAAACTGGATGTGGCCGCGTATGAGGCATATTCTCCGGTGGGTTTCTCTCTCGAGAGAAAATTAGATCAGATGGCTGGAAAGAGTTGAATAACTAACCACCTATGCTTCAGGTCTTCATGCCAATTACCTATGCATTGAATATGTTTGGCCTGTCATTTGCTACTCTCACTTCACTGTTGGTATGGGTTATTCTGGAAAAACGCCAGGTCATGGCAACCGCTGCGCGCCGGATCCCTCAGCTGGTCATGGACTCTTTGCCTGGCCGCCAGCGTCCTGAGAGAAAAGATGAACAAGGAAAAGAAGAGGTTCCGCTTTGGTGGTATCTGGTTGCTTTTGTCTTAGCACTATTCATGACTATTTTCGCCGTGGAATACTGGAACGCAGAGCTGCGGTGGTACGGCGTTTTGTTGGCTTGTGTAGTCGCCTTTGTCTTCTATGCGCCGGTAAGCAATCTGTTTAGGATATTCGATCATCATGGCTAATAATTACACGAAGCTTGCTCTGGTGTATGCAACCTCCAACCTGAAGATCAATATCGACGTCTTCTGCCGCATCGTTGCCGGGTTCGTCTTCGAAGGCAAGGTGCTTGCAAACATCTGGTTCTTCGACATCGGGTACATCAGCACGATCAAAGCCCTCTACTTCTCACAGGACATGAAACTGGGTTATTATTGCAATGTGAGTTACTTTATCCCCTTCTCGGTGATATTCCTGACACCTTTCCCCCCTTTTCTAGATTCCCCAACGGCAGGTTTTCCTGGTCCAATGCGTCGGGATGATTGTCGGGACGCTGAGCTCCCTGGGAGTCCTTAACTGGGGCCTTGACCATATTCCCGGCGTCTGCACTACAACGGCCAGTAATGGCTTCTCCTGCCCCTATTCGCGCACGCATTTCAACACGTCCCTCATCTGGGGAGCCATTGGACCCCGGCGGTATTTCAATAATTATATAGGCTACAGCTCCCTTCTCTACTTTTTCATCCTGGGCGCGGTGCTGCCCATTCCCGTCTACCTGCTGAAAAAGAGATATCCACATTCGCTCTGGCGACGCGTACATATCCCGCTCTTTCTAGGTGGTTTGAACTATCTGCCTCCCGCTACTGGAACCAGCTACGGCAGCTGGGCTGTGGTTGGGCTGACATTTGGATGGCTCATTCGCAAGCGCTGGCATGCATGGTGGTCCAAGTACAACTTTGTGTTGAGCACAGCCCTGGACTCGTCGGTGTCGATTGCAGGGGTGGTGATTTTCTTTGCCATCTACTACAGCGGGGTGTCTAGCAAGTTTAGCTGGTGGGGGACAACGGTGTACGAGGTGAGAGACAATCATTTCTTCTTTTTTTTTTTTAATTTGCTTATTCATTTTACCCACTTTTGCTAACTATGGGATGCAGGATACCTGTGACTACAAGGGATGCTCCTATTTACCCATTCCCGACTCGGGGACGTTTGGGAATTAATGATACAGAGAGGTCCCTTAGAGTGACTACTAGGGTATCTGGTAGACATAGATGACAGGCCTGTGTCATTAATAAGTCTACATCATAATGCTTCATTCATTTATATCTTGTCGTTATATGATCTCTGTCAATGACTTGGAGTCTTCAAGTCAAGAGTATTATATAAAATACTAAAAGTTTAATAGGGGATTGCCGGCACCTCATACTCTTCGCTGGATTCTCTCACTCTATTCATGTCAAATATTGTCTTTACGTTTTTCTTTTACAGGGGAGGAGGACTTGCCGATCAAGTGTGAACCCCATTGACCAGTAACATTGATTCCACCCAATTGATATATTAAGATGACGCAGGCGACAGGGATTAGGAAGCAGCAAAGACGGGATTGAAAGCTTAGATATGAGACTTTTACACTGCAACTTCCCTTGTAATGTCAACCTTTTCCCTGTTTTCTCCTTCCCATCCGCCTTCCCCTCTCTGCAGAGTATACCTGAACAAGATTACCCCCCTGAAGGAGCCATGTCACCACTTTTGTTCAGATTCACGCAATACACGTCCCTAACACGGATACCGATCCTTGCTCACTGGCGATCAGGCCATGAGAAAACGACGATCACTCTTGCCGAGGACGGTTACATGTCAGCTAATTGTATGGGCAGTTACACAAGACACCCCTGAGGCACTAGAGTCATCTGCTGATTGAAGATATTTCAAATAGACTTGAATAATGTCTTATTCGTCTCGCTCCCCGCATATGAAGAGCAACAGGGGTCGTTATAGCCCCGGCTTCCCCGACTGGTGTTATAAAATGGATATGATCAAGGGGGAGGGAAAGAAAAGAAGGAGTGAGGTTTCCCCCCTTCCAGAAACATAGATCGCAATGCTCGCTGGGATTTATAGGCTTCTACTTCCCTTCTGCGTGCTGGGCGTCGTCGCTGGAATATCCCAGCCGGCATATTTCCCCCTACGCCCACCTGCGGTTCCTCTGGCGGTGCGGAGTCCCTATACCAGCGCGTGGGTGACGACCAAGGACGGGGCAACGTTGAACTCGGCGTCGGCCATCTTCTGGTCAGGCGTTGACCTGGGCTGGGAAGGGATCGTGACCGTGGACGGGGTGTCGTATGAGTATCTGGGCGTTGGGTCGGATGCGCTGCCGGCACTACCGAGTCTGAAGAAAGCGACGCCGCTGACGACGCGTTATGACTCGCAGTACTCGAATTTCACATTTGCGGCAGGCCCTATCGAGGTGACGGCCAGCTTCTTCTCTCCAGTGATTCCGCAGGAGGTGTGCCGCACCAGCATCCCGCTAAGCTACCTGATCACATCAGTACGGGCGACGGACAATGCCACACATGACGTACAGCTTTACAACGATATCAACGCAAGATGGATTACGTACGCCACTGACGTGAAGGTTAAGTGGTCGCTTCATGAAAGCGGCATCACGCAGCCCGTAAACGGATCAAACGCGACAATAACAAGCACAACCTCGTCGTCGATCTTCAGCTGGTTGCTGGAGCTCGAGGAGGCGTACACGTTCGGCGAGGATGAGAATTTCCCGCAATGGGGCAACTTCACCTTCTCGACGACGGCAGGCAACGCGAGTACGGAATTCACCTTTGAGAGCGGCTTCGCAGCGGATGTCCGGTACGGGTATGTGCAGAACAGGAGCCTGACCAACCTCGTCGACGGGGACTATCGGGCATCCGCGGTCAGGGAGCCTGTGTTTGCGTTCGCACACGACCTGGGAGCCGTAAAGAGGGAGTCGTCGGTGGTTTACACGCTGGGCTCGGTGCAGCAGCCCAGCGTACGGTACCTCAACGCAGATGGCCTGTCGGAGCTAGACCCTTGGTGGATGAAATGCTACGGGAGCAGCCTGTACGAGCTGATCGAGGTACACTACCGCGATCTCGCGACGAGCCAGGAGCTGGCGGCCCGGTGGGAGACACAGCTACGAGCAGACATTGCGAGGTTCTACAGGGAGAATTCCTCCTCTTCTTCCTTGTCGTCCGGATGGTTCGGCGATCTATCCGCATCATGGATGTATAGCAACTCGAGCGAAGGGACAAACCGGTTTGGCGAAGAGTGGGTGTTTGACAGCCGCAACGGATACGGGTTCTACAATCCAAGCACATTCGCGGGGGTTGCCGTGCCAGACGTCGATGAAGCTCACTCGTATTACTCGATCGTGGCCTTGGCTGCCCGCCAAGTGATGGGCGCATACGTGCTGACAGCGCGGCAGGATAGCGACAGTAGCAGCAGCAATACCACGGCGGAACCGTTCATGTTCCAGAAAGAGATATCATCTGACGGTAATGTCAACACGGTCGACGTGCTGTACCCGGCGATGCCATTCTTCTTGTACGCCAACCCGGCGATGATCCGGTACACGTTGGACCCGTTGTACGAGAACCAGGAGGACGGGTTCTACCCGAACGGATACAGTATGCACGATCTCGGGTCTGCGTTTCCCAACGCGACGGGCCACGTGCTGGGGGATGATGAGTACATGCCGCTGGAGGAGAGTGGGAACATGATTCTCATGACGTTGGCGTATGCACGGTTTGCCAACGACACGGCGTACCTGCGCGACCATTATGAAAAGATGGCCGAGTGGGCGCAGTATCTGCTTGAATTTGCTTTGATCCCGGAAGACCAACTGAGCACTGGTATCTTTCCTCTTTCGCTGGATGCCAATATAGGTATATACTTACTTCTCCTCCAGATGACTTTGCTGGGGAGCTGGTGAACCAGACGAACCTAGCGATCAAAGGTATCGTGGCGATAGGCGCAATGGGCGAGATAGCAAAGGCAGTCGGCGCAAGCAGTGAGGCAGCCAACTTCTCAGCGACGGCGACATCGTACGAGACGCAGTGGGAGACGTTCGCGATTGACCCGTCGGTCAACCACACGATGCTGGCGTACGAGTGGCGGTCCTCGTGGGGGCTGCTGTACAACATCTACCCAGATCGTCTGCTCTCGCTCGGTATCATTCCAGACCACGTCTACGAGATGCAGTCGGCGTGGTACCCAGGCGTGTCGCAGGTGTTCGGGGTGCCCCTGGACGTGAGACACTTCTACACCAAGAGCGACTGGCAACTGTGGACGGCGGCGACGTGCGAACCCGCCACGCGCCGGCTGTTTGTCGACGCAGTGGCCTTCTGGCTTAACGCCACCTCGACGCAGTACGCGTTCACCGACCTGTACGACACGGTGGGCACGGGGGAGTATCCCACGGATGACGACGGGGATATCACGCAGTTCATTGCTCGGCCGGTGCAGGGGGGGGAGTATTCCCTTCTAGCATTACTGAAATAGTACGTATTGTACTCATATCACTTCATATTATCACTATGGGCCACAGTCCATGGTAGTCCTTCACTGGAAGTGTTACGTGTACAGCCCGTAGCTATAGACGTACAGCCTGTTACTTGCCTAATTAAGCCTAGACTCACTGGAGGGAACTAGGCCGTTGTTGGAATAGACGCCCGTGATGGGACGAGCCCTACACCTAACCAAAGAGGAGCTAGCGGTGCCCTAAGATTACCAAGGAGGGGCTAGCGGATCCATCCCACAGCGGCCCAATTCTTTACACTGTCTCATCTCTGGCATCCAGTCAAGAGGCAAAACTTCTGCCACTGCACCCACTCTGCTCTTTTTTTATCCCTGCCGTACGAAAGGACGATCCGGGCCGTAATACGGAGAATTTCGACCGTATCCACCAATAACATCATCGACAGAGTACATACAACTAGGGCCAGGGAATGGAATCGAACTGGGACTCGTTGACTGGCCCATCGGCTGGGTTTGACGAACTGGAAAGACGGCAACTCATCACAAGCATACTGCGATCAATACGGGACTGTGAGCAGTAAAATGACCGTCCTCTGGGGACACTGCAACTCATTTCGCCCGTATGGTTTGCGCTATGGCTCTCGGATATATCTAAACTACGGTCCATCGCCCGTAGTTTCTTGGAGGACAGCCAAGTCGCATTCGTTTATAACAACACAGGGGCCTTTCCCCGGATTCTAAAGATGTGTACGTACTGCATTCTACGAGGACCGGGGCTGAAGGAGAGTTGGCTAATTACTAACCAGGGTTGCCGACTTCTGGAATCGGGTCCAAGTTTCGGACATCAAGATCGGGATCAGGATCAGCACAGAGCAGTCCTGGCAAGAACCCATCGGCCCCTCAGACACCGAAAGCTGGAGCCAGCACATCTGCTACTCGAATGGAAAGCTCTCCTTCGATGCCGGCGAGAAAGAAAAGAAAGATCGACACCTCAGATCTCAGCTCTTCCCCAAGACGAGGGGAGGATGCTGGGAGCGATGTTTGTGCCTTGGCGTCAATCTAGATTGTATACTGCACATTCATACTGATTTAAAAATAAGTGTCATGCTCGGGACCGCGTCTGCATTCTGACAAAGGCCACACAGCCTTTGGAAGCCGCGCATATCTTCCCATCCCACCTCTGCAATAACTCGAGCGACTCGCAACTATCCTTCATTATGTTGCTCGGGATTTTCTGGTCTGGGGAGACAGTAGACAAGTGGACCCGGCACAATGAAGCCGTTTTGAAGTCCGTTGCCAACCGTTTGCTGTTATGCCCAAGCTGCCATTCATATTGGGACCGCGGTCTCTTTGGTCTGCTGCCTGTCAGTGTAGCGCCTGACACCAAGTCAATAACAGTAAAATTCTACTGGCTCGGAGGTGACAAGGACCTCCCTGCCACGGGAAGCACTGAGCTGCTCGGTGGTGACGACAATTTCATTCTTCCTCCCATCGCCATGCCCAGCGATCTCCGCGAGGGGGGCCACCGACAGATCAACACGAGCAAGTTGCCCGACGTTCCACCCAACTTGGCTCTCTTTGACAACGAGACTGAGAATATCATTTCCTCTGGAGAAACGATCACCATCACGACTCCGGACCCCGATTCTCTCCCTCTTCCCAGTGAAGACCTCTTGTCCTTACAATGGACGCTACATAGGCTGGCAGCCCTTTGTGCTGCTGCTGGCTGGCAACCGTCCGATGAAGATGATGATGAAAATAACAACGACAGCGCATCTGACCAGGAGGCCTTCATACAAACCCCGCTGTCCGAGGAACTACAAGACGTTAGTCGTATGACCGAAGGGAAGATGGTCTACATGGAAGAAAGACTGGGTGTTCGGGGCGAAAATAGTAATATGAGCGGGTCAACCAATTAAGATCTCAAGATCTCCTCACTGCGACCTATTTATTGGCCTTGTTCATATTACATATAGTTGATTAATCTCCGTATTTGTCATCGCGGGGTTCCGGATGGGAAATACGGAGATCCTTCGGAGTGTCCGACCCCACGTCCACGTACAAATAAACAGAATAACTACATTAAACAGAATACATTGTAAAAGAGACACAAGTTGTATGACTGCAAACTCATCAAAGCATTGATTTAGATCATTTATTAAACTGGGAATTCGAAATGCTCGCCACCGACTCCTACAGCACCCCCCTCCTGCTCTCCGGCCTGCAGACAATCTCTGTGATCCTCAGCCGGGCCGCCGACTACGCTACGACAAACAACATCCCCCTGGCAGACATTTACAATGCCACACACTCGCCCACAGACCCGAAACCACTGTACCACCAGATCAAGGGAGCGGTGCGGATTGCCACAACGGCTGTCTCGGTACTGACGGAGACGAGCCCTGTGGTAGTGGACGACTCGTTCAGTGATTTCGAGGGCCTACAGGCCTTTGTGGAAGAGGCCATTGCAGCCATCAAGAAGGCGACAGACGACCCGACGGCGTTCAAGAAGGATACCGCCGACGAGATCAGCTTCCCCTTTGAAGGCAAGGAGGTGACGGCGCCGGCGGGCAAGTATCTGGCGGGGTATATGCTGCCGGAATACTTTTTCCATATCGGCAACGCGTATGCCATTCTCAAGATCAATAAGGTGCCTTTGAACAAGATGGTGTATCTGCAGTCGTTTAATGGATACTAGTATTAATTGTAAAAAAATGGATACATCACAAGTAATGAATGTATGACGTCATCAGAGAATACCTGTACATCGTTACCTTTACGTAGGTACTTTCTACATATTCTTGGTATCTACTACCTACACTACTCAATACATACTAGTTATATCATGGCAGGCTACTGTCTTGTCTGTCCGGCCTCCCGAGGCATTGGCTTCTCCCTTGCTCGCCATCTCCTCCAACATACCAAACTCCCTGTCGTGGCGACAGCAAGGAAGAACCTCGCCGAGACACGCGAGCGACTCAACCGGGGGATTGATTCTGAACGACTGTCTGTTGTTCAAGTTGACATGAAGGGTATGAGATCTACTATTATCATACTTCCATATTTATATTAACCGTCAGATGAATCGTCTATTTCCGCCCTGGCAACCCATCTCCGAAAGCGCTTCCCAGAAGAGCATCTCCGGCTCGCCTTCACCCTGCCGGGGATACTGCATGTGGAAAAATCCCCGTCCCAGATCGATTCCGCCGCCGCCCTGGAGACGTTCACCGTCAATACACTCGGTCCGTTGCTTCTTCTCAAGCATTTAACACCCCTCTTGCCGACAAAGGGAGCAGAACCGTTCGCCCCTCACACCATTCAGAAAGGGGTAGTTGCCCTGTCCTCTCCACACGCAGTGTATAGCATGATGGCCGCCCGGGTGGGATCCATCTCCGACAACAGGCTGGGAGGATGGTACTCCTATCGAGCGAGCAAGGCGGCGGTCTTCCAGTTGGCCAAGACGTTGGATCTGTATCTCAAGACGAGGTCGGGCGATCGCGCAATGGCGGTGGCTCTGCATCCGGGCACGGTCAGAACAGACTTCACCAGGGAGTATTGGGGGGGAAGGGAGATGCTGGATGCTGATGAGGCGGCCAGGCGGTTGGTTGAGGTTGTTGATCGTTTGGGGGTTGGGGATGGGGGGAAATGTTGGGATTGGAGGGGGGAAGAGGTTTTGCCTTGATCATTCACTCAGATTATATTCACAACCATATTATATTCACATTCATAATAACTATTCACTATATATATTAACTATACTATTATAATTAGATTAACTATTACTATCTACTGTAGTAACTGTCAAATAGTTAATAGTATAGGCATAAATATAGTGGCCTAAATTATTAGTATAAAGTCATTGCTTCTCTCTCTCCTCCCTTTCTTTTTCTTCATCTACACCATCGACAGAAAGAATAAGATATTCTATTCTATACAGCCTTTTCTTCTAAGACTTCTCTTTATACCTTACTATACTTTTATTGTCAACTTCCTGCTTGTAAGGAATCCCTATCCTGAATCCCTATCCTCACTATTAGCTAATAGTAAGACCTTCTTCTCTTCTCTCCCTTTTCCTTTCGACAGCTACATTGTATGCAAGCTACATGTGTTGCCTAGAGCTCAGACTTCCTGTGGTAAGAATTATCAACATGAACTATATCATTTGCATACTAAATATCTGGCTTGATAGCAGTATCTTTGGTACGGGTTCAGAATGAAAGAAAATCCTGGTATGGACTCAGATAGAAGTCATGGCAGAGGTAAGACAATCTACCCCTTTTTTCTACCCTGCTAACAAATTCTGGATTAGAACTCACTCTCTGGCTGTATGGAACAGAGAACACATCTCCGATCGATCTAGATTTCCTGTGAATCTCATCCAAGGATATCCGCTGTCTGGCAAGAACCTGCAGGCGGAGGAAGAATCTCCTTGGTTCTTGAGCCAAGCAGCAGCAGGAAACCTGTGGATTGGGAACAGGAACGGTGTCAGGGTTGCCTTGGATGACTGTCGAAGAAACGCCTGGTTCATACTCGCCTCACTGAAGAACTCCGAGATATTGCCCAAACGGCAGACAAGAAATCGGACTACACGCACGAGAGGCTTGACGTCGAGCATCAAACAAATATATGACCAGTATCAACTGGTGAAGACATCAAGATGAATGCTCCGCAGAAGGACTCCGAGTCAAGTTCAAGATAATCCGAGGAATATGCCTGCATCGAAGACCTTTCTTCCTCTATTTAAGAGTCTCTTCCACTGTATGACCTTGCTGTCACGGGAAGAAGTCCTTTGTCTTTCTCTCGATGAGACCCATTGTCGATGCTTTTGCTCTGGTGGCATTTCATTTGTCTCAATCCTCATATTCCTCCTGTCTCATTGCGAGGGCACCTGCTGCAATTCTCCGACTTGATTGCTGCCCGGTTGACCCTCGCATTACTTTGACGCTATATCAACGGTGCTCTGATTTTCACCACTGAGAAAGCCTCTGAAGAATATGCTCGCAGTATTTTGATATCCTATCTATCCGAAGGCACAATGGAAATGAAGCCGGAGCCATGATAATATCTCAGGTGTAGCTGCTTCTGCTAGCTTCTGCTACATCTTCTCTCGATGTGAACCCTTTGGAATGGGGTGAAAGGGGAGACTAGCAATGTGTGCAACAGCAATAAAACATCTGAATTGCAGTATGTTTCAACTTTGATGCAACGGCAGCCGTGTCTTTGATTCAAATCTGCGCTGGAGAAGTTGCCAAATGGTTCAATCCCTGCAAGCAAAAACAAAAAGCTGCCCTGGGGTTCGACTGAAGACCTGTTTCCGGTGCTGTTTCACGTTGCCTCCAACTCGGCCATCCGGTCGAATATCGTGTCTCCCAAGGTGTTGGAAATCTCCTGCAGAAGGCCGTGTTGCCTTTTTCCTTTGACAAGTCTGTCTTCTGTTACCCTTTCTACAACCTCTTAGCCTGTTTCCTCCACCTCATCCCCCTTCCCTCCCAGTCCTCTATACACGGTGCAGAAGAGGATCAATAACGCGATCTTATCAACGGATCCCACGGAAGATGGAGGAGCATTTTGTTTTCGTTTGCTGCGCTGCTGGCTAGAGCCCTTGCATGGTGGTTGGGTTTATTCTTTCCTCTTTGTCAATCCTCTTTTATGTTTGCCCTCAGTGTTCGTGGCGGCGCTTTCTATGACGGAGTTCGACAGGTTATCAAGGATGGAGAAGCAATATTGTCCGGAATCGCAGCGTGGTTAGAGAGAAATCGCGCTGAGATGATGTCCGGTTGCTGGCTTGTCAGGAATCGCCTCAATCTCTCTGACATGGACGACGTCATGATCCTTTTCACCAAATGCTTTCGCTCACATCAATAACGACAGAACATGGTGTCAATCCGGTAGCCGGCACCCTGCCGCTACCTCGGTATTGCGTGCTCGTGAACTTGACACTGAGCCGCGATTTTTGGCGAACTCGAGTCCAAACCCGACTGATGGACGAGTGTGGTATGTTTCTTCCATGAATCTCTCGGCCACAAACGGGAAGCCAGGGTGTCAAAGCCACGGTGTTGCTCTATAGATAGTCGTGGAGCTCTATTGGGACGGCGACCCCGATTACATGGATCATAGCGACAGGACTTATCAACAGCTGGGTCGACTAAGACAAGGTGGTTAGGATGTACGCTGTCATCGCACACACGGGCAGTCGTATCAGCCACTACGACACATTCAATCACTATTTCAACCAACGAGCTGAGCATGCTAAACCGCTGGTCTGTAGGAACATAGGTAAGACGACACCAATATTTCCTTCCCTCCACTGGACTACCTCCTCTAACAAAGCCTAAGTAGTGGTCAAAACTTCCTGGCACAGCTTCAAGGTCTATATAAGAAAGACCAACAGTATCACAGTAGACTACCGAAAAAAGGGTGCTCGCAAGTACACCTCCGCGACAGAATACCAGCAAGAACATTTGGTCGCCGTGCACACTGGCCGGGTCTACGACCTAGATCTTGTCGGTCAATCCCTTGGTGGTTTGATTTCTGCAAGGCCAGGGCGTGAAGCCATAGGAAATCGTCATTGCAACACCGAATGAGTCTCAACCCTGCTTTTATCAAATGGCACGAGATCCATTCTATTGCTGTGGTTCCAGTGGAGACGTGGCCGTCCTTGCACATTCGTAACGCCCAAATCAAGAAAGACGGTCTCATATCATGGCAAACTACCAGTTGCGGAGGCTCTGTCATCCTCGTTATCCAAAATCCCTGCAAACCTCGCTGTGCACTGTAGCTTGAGCTTACAAGAGAAGATCCTGAGCCATATCAGGCACTACTTGCTTGCTTCCTTACGACAGAGCAGGGGTGTGGTTGTATACCCTGTAATCTGGGGGAATACACATCCTCAAGCACCGAGCAAGGTGAGCGGCTAGCTCTGGCTTCGAAAGAAGGGATATCCAAATGCCACTTAGTGGCTGTATTTTGCTCTGAGGTGGTTGGCTTTGGAGGACTGCGGGACAAGAGAAAACCTCACCATGAAGGCATTGGGTTCTCCGGTTTCAATGTATCAAATTCAATGGATTATTCTCTCTAGGGCACATAATAGACCTAAATATAGTACAACAGCTGTCTTATTGTATTATTTTAGCTAGAGATATTCAATACTAATCTATTCTCTAAATAATATAACCTTAGCACGTCTTCCATGGTTCTATATCTACATTCATTAGGGCTTCATATAAAATACTGGCCTTGGTGCCTTAGAGCGGTGAATCCATGCAGAAAGCCAATTTAGGCAAATTCCCTCCTCTTTGTTTTTGATCGCTTCAGGTTCTCTTCAGTTTTCTTCATCACAATCCCCTGCTCGTGGTGTGAACGACCATCATGTCCGGCCTTGGGGCCTCGCGATGGGCACCTCGCGGAGCCCAGGTCATCGGCCCAGGCAACAAAAATTACACAGCAACAAACCAGCATGGTTTCTCCAAAGACGGGCTGGCTCCAGGGTCACTACTATCACCACCACAACCAACAACAGCATCATCCTCGTCGAGAATACCAGTACCAGCAGAAACTACGCCATCAAGTGCGTCACATGCAGAACTGTCCCGTTTCAAGAAGATCATGGCCCGACTGAAATGGAAATTACCCTTCCTGGCTGAATCTTACCGGTTGGCAACCCTTCGTAGCCAGTCATCATTGCACAGCGAGGAGTTGGCCAACGCGGAGATCATGTTCAAGCTAGACTTCCATGAATACTACGCCCTGCTGGAGCGAGCGATTGTGCATCTTCTCGGTGTGTTCGACATCGTCGTCTCTTCACGCTTTGCCGCGTCCCACTTGGCTCTGAATGGGGACCGGCCGCTTCTCAGCTCACACAGGTATCACGCCAACGTGCTTGAAGCACTGGATACCCCGTCTTGTCCACTGTACTCTGTGCTAGGCACGGAGGAGGTGCAGGAGCAGCTGAGAAGGGCCAAGGAGCTGCGCAATCGGTGGAAGACGGCAGACTCGCCTGAAGACGAACAAAGCCGCCAGAGCCAGACAGACGGATTCCAACGGAGCAGACCGTATCGCATCAAGGGACGTGCTCCGTTGGAGAGCTATGATTTCAATGGCATCTTTACTAGTGTCTTCGCCGCGCTGGAGGAGGGCTACCACCTCGCTCAGCAGCACGTTTCGCAGGTAGAAATGCTGGACGTTGAAACCATTTCACAGACCACATCTGATCCAGAGGGGGCTGGTTGGGACTTTATTGTGGATGCTATGGATTGGGAAGCTGTTTAGTCTGTAGATTGCCAATTTGGATATGATAAATGATATGTACAGGAATGATACTAGATAGAATGACATGGGATCAAAATAATACCCATTAAAACCACTCTATACCATCCTCTGAAGGCGTCTCCTTTTCCCTTAATTCCGCCAAGGCGACCTTCACTCGCTGGACCATCGCCTTCCCATACTCAGGTCCCAAGGGAGGAGTAGGCTTCGTCATGTCCGGTCTTAGCCAAGGAATGTTGTTCTTGACTCCCTGACAGGCAGCCCGCATGGTACTGATGTCTTGCTCATCGTATCCACCACCCAAGACCACAGCGTCAGGGGTTTTAGAGTAATCGTGGGTGCCGTACTCGTTGGTGGGGGAGACGGACTCCCCGCGAAGGATGGCGGGAATCTCGGCCTTTCCTGCTTCCGCTGACATGACGAAATGAATCACTGGGTAGATTATAAATTGTGTTAGCTGGGTGGGCGTCTCATTATAGAGCAATTCATCCATGGTTGCCTTACCCTCGACTTCTGGCTTCAGACCAGCAACAACCACACTGCCAATCTGCGTCGACCTGCCGCAGAGGATAATCCTAGAGAGGGCCATTGTTCAGGGGTAAATGATGGAGTATGGGTATCCTATATTGAAGCCACGGTTCTGAATATCCAAACCATGGCATTTGAGGGGACATCTCGCCCTTCTTATACTGTCAAGAGAGTTGGTTGAATCGAAGAAGCTGCCCAAAGCCCCCGTCGTCGATAAGAGCTGATCCTGGCATATGACATGGACTAATCCATTTCCGGCTAGCTTTCCGAAGTGTCCACAATACTGTAATGAAGTGTAAGCCCACATCTGACAGATATTATTAATCTGTTTGGGAAGAATAACTGTCAGCTGGGGAAATATAAAAAATAGATAAAACAGAATAAGAATATCAATCCAATTCCGCCGTCTTCGTGGTGAGATCTTTCATTTCGAGTTGATATACTCTGGTCTACCCTGATTTGGCTAAGCCCCGCGCAGCAGAGGAAACAAACAATGCAAACAGGCCACGGCCCCCAAATGCTCTTGTCGATCATCACGAGGGGGGAATCTGTTCCCTCGTCAACGCTATTGAGAACCTGCAGGCAGTGTCTCGACAGTCAACGCGGGGTTTTGCGTTTCTCTACGGATGGTGCGACTGCCAGGGCTGAGTAAAGGCTGCCAGACGTGCCGGCGGCGCTCTATCAAGGTACTAGTAAGAGTCCACCAGGCCTGGAATCACGGTCTAACCAGCATCTTAGTGCGACGAACGGAGGCCGGAATGCTCCCAGTGCGTCAAGGCTGGCCGTACATGTCCTGGTGCGTTGGCGGGGAACATATTCTTGCATGCCGAACCCCATAATCCGCTCAAATATCACCGGCTGGAGGCTGTCCCCGTGCTTCGACCTCAACGACGACATGAATCAACACACAATGCTGATTGCCGCCTTTCACTTCCATCATCCCCTCATGCATATCCTTCAAGATGCGGTACGGTTTGCACAGTTTCCAACCCCCAGTCCCTTGTCAGTCCTCACGCTATGCTGGAGGGACAAATGGTCTCGGATTTCATCTCGTACTTTTCCAGATACGCCGTTAACCAGCTGCGGAGCTTCTCCTGGATGCATCTATGCCCCCAGATGATGCGCCAGAAGCGGCCCGACTGGCGGGCATGTATTCTCGCGGGCTCGCTGGCGTTATACGGAACCACTGTCGGTAATCGAGGGGCAACGGTCGAGTCCTACCGGCTGTATGATCAGGCCCTGTGGCATATTCGTCGTAGACTCGCCGATGCGAATACTGTTGCCGAGTTAGTCCCAGAAGATGTCGGCAGCCTGCTTATCCTGAGCTACTATGAGATCCATGCCCCGACTACCCCCGTCGCTCATTTTGAGCACATCAAGGCCGCATCCACCTTGTTGGTCATGGTGGGACCGCACCGTTGTCGAGAAGGGTATTGGCATCAGATGTTCCAGAGCGTGAGGCTGCATATGCTCTTCTTTTCCCTCACCAGATGGACGTCTACCTTTTTCGCATCCCAGGAATGGACAACAATACCATACACAAACCAACGGAAGCTGGCCTCAGACGATCTCACCATTCTTCTCCTACACTATCCCCGTCTTCTTTCTCGTCCACATCCCCCCAACACGCTAGACTCAAATTCCGATACTCCTTCCTCTGAGCAACTCGGAGCTGCGTCCCTAATCATGCAAGAACTCTGTTTTGTTCGGCAGAAACTTGTCTCCCAACTTTCACTGGTTCAAGTCCACGATCAACCTGAAGTACAGGTCCCATTACCAATCAACTACTCCCCTACCAACTCCGACGAGGCAACAGCCGTAACAATGTACAGCCTAGCCTGCATACTTGTCCTTGTCCGGATTGAAAACAGTGACTTCCTGCTCACAGCTCACTGTGACGTCATCCTCGGCGCAGCGGCTGCGGTCGCCAGCTTCGGCGATGGCTGTGGACTCGTGAGGATGGCATTTCCACTAGCCACCGTTGTTCGATATAGTACTGATCTCGTGCAGAAGGGAAGTGCAGAGAAAATGCTGCAGAGCTGGCGGACCGATTATGGACTTATCGGTCTCCCTCTCGTGATATAGGGCATGTGTCATGGCAGGTCCATGTTAACGTCTAATGAATGCATAGTATTAAATATCTGAGGATAACTCCTTATTCAATTTGAAGACTGTAACTATTATCGCCTCACCATGACAATAACTGCATGGTTTATTATTCTTCAGGTACTAAATCACCGCTATGCGAGAATTTCAAATGAAATCGAAACATCGAGAGAGTGTGTAGGGTTCAACTGTGTGATTTTTAGATGTACTCCCACGCCGCAACGTCACCGTCGTAAACGTTCGCAAGGGCATCAAAGCCAAGGCAATCATCCACATTGCCCGAGGGGACTGTCGCGTTCTGCACGGCAGCAAACACCTGCCACTTGTTATCCAAGGTAGGACAGGCCATGAACCCGGACGCGCCCCAGCCCGTGAAGGTGTAGTGGCCCCATCCGGCGCCGGGGGTATAGACAAAGGGCCCGACCGAGGAGTTGGCAGGGATATAAGCCGAGTGAGGGACGGTGTAGCTGAGGGCACCGAGGGGGTTGACGTAAATCTGCTGTCCGCCAGGGACTTCAACATCCTAAAGAAAGATATTTGATTAGTGTGAATCCAAAAGATGTGAAGGGAAACTTTTCTTACCAGAGCCACTCCGTCAACCAGAACGGTCTGGTTTCCAGCAGGACAGTCGGTGACTGTTTCAGGACAGTAGGAGGAGGTCACGCCGCCGAGCCAGAAGGCCGAGTCGGCAGCCGTCATGGTGAGGTATTGGATCTCGGATCCAGAACGAACGGCCGTCACCGTGAAGGTGGAGGTGGAATTGGGGGCTGTGGTAGCAGCAGCCAGGAGGGGGAGAAGGAAAGTGGCAAAGAATGTCTTCATGTTGGCAACGATTGTCTTATTGGTAGTGGTTTGTAGAGTAGTTGGAATTGTAGTTGAGTTGTCTGGATGGTGATTTGGAAGAAGAAGAATCCGAATTTATATCATCAATTGAAAGTCATGATGTATGACAAGCCTCAATACTGCTTGGCGTCACTGCCACTCTCGTGGTATATCGTCAAGAACAAAATTGGGGTTGTCTCGGAGAGAATCCCTCACTGGGGATCATGTCATCATTTGTACTCTGAACGGGAAACTCCCAAGTGGATGCTGTAGCTAAATTAGGAGGTGATTACCAGGGTCAACCACTTCAAAGGGCAGTAATCGGGGGATCGACTTCCCTGAGTGGTTAAAGTCAGGGGATTATTGTGGAGATGGTCCCTGGGCTAGTTTTGACGCTGAAACGGATTGGCGAGAATTGCCGATGAGTCCCTCTCCAGGCAGAAGCTTTTGAGCAAGAACGAGAACTCTATTTGCAATTAGCTACATGATCTGCTTTCAAATTATTTCATGTCCTTACCGTTAGAATTCTTAGCGGAATAGATAGCAGCAAGGTCGTAAGGAGATCTTCCGACTGTAGTCCTAGACCAGAGAGACTAATCCTTGGTTTTTGCTTCCATATCCTCGTCAGGAGTTATTCTGTTGGAGGCTGTGGGAGGCCATCGAAACTGGCATTAGATCAGGCCCATTTGCTCGAGGGAGTCAAGTCAAGTAGCAATATTTAGGAGGAGTAACAGTTACTGTCGAGTGTCTGCCTAGGGAAGCTGGAGAGGGTCATGTGACGCTGGAAGAAAAGCGGAAATTCACTTTCGACCGTCTCTCTTTCTCTCCAAGACGTTCTTTTTCGCCTCTCAATTATTTATCGAGGCAAATTCTAATCAACACGAGGAATTCTACAGCAATTGCAAAGCGTCTGGGTCATTACTTGAGCCTTGTTCAGAGCATTTACCAGTGCTGGGAGCAAAAACTTGGAGATAATGGCAATAATATTTACAGAGGATCAGAGTAAGTAGTACCCAAGGCGACTACTGTATGTACACAAGATTCACCCAAGTTCTCCCGTAGAATCCGATGATCAGTACACAGGGAGATCAAACGCATCCAGATCGTACGACCAGGTATCCAGGGAAGTCTGGTCATAAACGCACTCCATGACGGTTCCCTTCTTGGTCCAGAGGGGTCGGAGAGGCCAAGCACACAGCGTCTGCTCCTCTCCCTCATTGTCACCCTGCAGGACAGTAGCATTCAACTGTGTCGGAAACACGCCGTTCTCCACCCATTCGATCAGCGTCTTGAGCGTCGTCTGCGGGAAAGGTCCGTTCAGCTGGTCGCTCGAGGGGGAGCAGTGACCAGCTCCCGGCACAAGGAAGAGCCGGTACCAGTCGTTCAGAGCGTCGGCGCTCTTGGTGAACGAGAGATCAGGATACATGACGGAGCGCACCGAGTCCCAGTAGCGCACCGAGGAGGCCGTGGGCACACTGTAGTCAGACTCGCCGTGGATGTGCAGGACCTTGCCACCAGCGCCGTGGAAAGTAGACAGGTCCGGCCAGGTGGTCTGCAGCGTGTCCTCGTACATCTGCCAGCCCTCCATGATCCAAGTCTGCATGGCATCGTAGCTGACGTCATCCATGGAAAGCGACGAGGAGTTGAGCAGGTTGAGGAACCGCGTCACCCACTCGGCGCCGATCCCGCTGGCCTCAACCTCCCACTCACCCGTGTCTGAGTTGTAGGTCGTCTGGGCGTCAGACCATGTCGCAGACGGCTGGTAGGAGAAATACATCTGCTGGCCCTTGGAGTTCTTGGGTCCGTTGAGGATCGCCTCGGCGATCTCCACGGCCTTGGCTGAGACCTTGCCAGTCTGTGCAGGTGCGGCGGAGCTGCCCATCCCACCGCTCGAGGCAGCACACGAGTACTCCTCGCCGATGGTGGTCTTGAGGTCAAAGTGCAGCTTGCAGAGATCCGTGCGGGAGACCACACCGTCCGTCCGGCCGTCGAGGGGATCGCAGGCCGCGATGGTCAGGTTTAGGATCTTGGTCAGCTCGCACGGCGGGGGCGCATACCCGACTTGCTTCTCAACGGCCGCAGACCAGAGGTGGGCGACCTGCTGGAAGGCAAAACGGAATGCAGGCGCTCCAACGACAGCACCGTCCCACTCGTCGTACCGCTGGATCTGGCTCCAGCCCTCGCGTCCACCCTCGGAACAGGCCTGGTAGTAGGCATACAGCTTGGTGGAGTCGGCCATACCATAAAAGTTACGAGTGAGCTGTTTACCGATCACGGTCATCTCATGGTGAGCCTGGTACCCGAACATGAACACGGACGGCCAGTTGACGGTGCCATTGGCGAGAAGAAACACGCTGTCGAACTCATTGTCAAAGCTGCCGAAGCCACCGTCCGTGATGCCCGAGACGGCGCCGTACTGCACACCGCCGGGCAGCGAGTCGTTGCCAGAGTTGATGGCCATGCCACCACCGCCGGTGGACAGATATCTGTTCTGGAAGTTGACCGGGCTAGGCAGCCAGAATTCAAGGAGGACGGTATCATCTAGGCCGGCATGGGAGTACGCGAACTGGATGGCGCAGAAGTCGAAGTTGGCCGCCGGGAAGAAATCACTACTGGCAGACGAGTAGTTGGTCGTCGCGCTCGCGACCACAGACGACGCGTCAAAGGTGATGCCCGTAATGATGCCATCTTCGGGAAGGATGGACTGGGCATAGGCAGTTGTGCATACCTCGTCGAGGCTGGCCACGGCCTGCGCCACAGCCACGAGGGTGCTCACGATCAAGGCCCGCATGCTGGAGACAATAGAATCGGAGAAAAACAGGAAGGGGAGAAGAGAAGATGGCCCTGTTGATGGGGAAGCAAGAGAGGGTCATCTTTCCCACTCGTGCCTTGGTATTTATACTCGAGGAGGGCCTGGATACCTCTCCCACAAACATTTCCACAATGCCTCCCACCACAATTCCCACCACAAATTTCCACCACAATTTCCTCTGACCCCGGTTTGGATCACGGGGCCAGGACGCCTGGACCCTTATTGACCCTTGTAGACCCTTTGTTGACCCTTAATGAATACAGTTTTAATTAAAGTAGAAACTCTATCCCCACAGCCGGGGTAAGGGAAGCTGGGGTTGTGGGGCGTTTGTGGGAGTAAAAATGAAGCTGTTATATAGCATACCATAAAATAGCAATAGACTGATTATTATACTGAAAATCAAGTATAAGACCAATTATTGATGATTAAACTGTATACTTGGACCATAGACAAGATATATACGGTAGGAACTGTAAGTACCTCATACCTATTCAGTACTTCTGCAGAAACAATAGACTCTACGCTAAATACTAAACGAGGGGTTTGACGCGTGGCACGCATGAGTTTAACAAAGACAATTGATCCTTGGCGGACTAAGGGAAATGTCTTCTACCGGTAGTTAGAGCATTCATTAAAGCAAAAGTACTATGTACTCTATAGGTAATAGTCATATGCTGATTGTTGAGCAGTGATATATATAAAGCACCAACACATTCTTAAACCTTCACCTGGTATATACCTAAGCAAAGGCAGATTATAAATATGAAGAGTAACCATACCACTCCGATCTTCTGCTCCCCGGAGATCCTTCATGTGTACGGCTAGTGTCTGGAGCAGACCTGCGCCTAGGGTGAAAAGGATGCTCCTTTCCCAGGTGAAGGGGGCGTGGAAGCCGGACGCTGTGATGGAGCTGCCGTCGACGATCAACGAGACGGCCATGCTGGCTAGAATATATGATTATGCGGACGCTGAACTCCTCAAAAGCTGGTGCCCTTGAGCGCTTGGAAGCAGAAAGGGCAGGTAGTACAGGTGTGTGTAGAGGGCCATGGCGAAGAAGACACTAAACAGCGCGCAGGCCAGCACTGTGCGGTTTCTCATCATAATATAGAGCGGCAGGGTGTCCAGGTCGCCGCGACGGGCCTGGAGAGAGAGGAAGACGAGCAGCAACAGGCTGAAACGCAGTAAGCCCCCCCCCCCCCCCCCCCCCATACGCGGCTGTTGTGCTATGGGTACGTGCTCCCCCCGCACTGCAGAGCCAACAGGAGACAGACAATCATGCAGATCAGGGACAGAGCGCGCCCGCCATCTCAATCTACTGCATCTCCTCCTTTAGCGAGAGATCGGATTCTTTGCGTGTCGAGGAATAAGCACACGGCTAGTGGGTATAGCTTGGCGCCGTGCATGTAGGGTTTTTCCTCCGAGTTTGGATTATCGTTGTATTGTATTTCCCCATCCATGGCTCGCGCACGAGTGACTCTCCCAGTGGGAGCCATTGACCAGGGGGTCTTATGGTGAGCTTCCAAGCTCAAAATGACTCATCTCGTATATCAATTGGTATCTTTTGGAATTAGACATGGCGGAAGTTGAAGTAGGTCTGCCCGACTTGGACTCCTCATCAAAAGAGAAAACAAAAAATAAATAAACAACCAAAAAAAAAAATTCTATTCCAACTCAAATCTATTTGTGATCCCATTTCTTGGCCCTCTTCTTCCTCCATCCTGGTCCCTTGGCGGCCAGGATAAGCAGGAATGGACAGGCGGCTATAGTTAAGGAAACAAAGATAATGAAGGTGCAGCCCAGACCGATCGCGTTGAGCATCGGAGTGACGCATGCGGTCATGATAGCACTAAAGGTGCAACGGACGAGGTTGGACTAAGAGGGGCAAGTTAGCCAAGAAGGGGAAAGACACTTAAAAAGAATGAGGCCTTGACTCACAGATGCCGACGAGGCGCCTGCATTGCTCGGAAACATGTCCACGAGGATCAATTGGGAGGTCTGAGAGCTGAATTGCGTGCCCGCTCCAATGAAAAAGCTGAGAACCAATGGGCCTGCGAGGTTGACCCGCTTCTCCAACATGAATCCATATCCAATGCAGGCCGCGGCCCAGAATGGCAGGTAATACGGGACCGTGGCGAACCGGACCCGTTCGATGGGGAATCCCTCCAAGTCGCGAGGGTGTTTCGGGTGGAAGTTGAGCCTCTTCTTCTCGCGCTGGAAGTACCAGTCTTGAAACCGGCCGCCCAGGACACCAATCACCATACACCCGATGCCTTGCGGTCTAATAGAGGCATAAATTTAGCGAACTGATACGATCCGCTTTTATATAGCACAGGGGAAACCACGTACAGGTAGCAAAGACCAATCTGAACGTTGTTGAGTCCATAGTCATCGGCGAGGACGGACGACAGAACGGTAAGAGAGGCAAACATGCAAGCGAAGGAGCAGCTGCTGAACGCGAGGACGATGAGGATTTCGGGAAAAAGCAGCATATTGAAGCTTGCCCAAGGTTTGTACTGCATGAACATTAGCATATGAGAAAGAAAGAAGAATGACTAGAGAATCACACACGGGCTTTTTCTCCGGCCTTTGGACATTTTGTGTCTCGACATCCTCTGTCCTTTTAGCCTTCATCCGTCTCCACCAGTCTGTTGGGCGGCAGTTCAGAGCAGGCGGAGGGATCGAGCCGTTGCCCACAATTGAACGCAGGGTTTCAGGAATCAGGCTACTTTGGATGAGTCGTGTTGCTGAGACCGGAGAAGGGCAGAAAATCCAACTCACAAGAAGATACAGATCAGGTTCGCTCCACACCACGCTGACAACAACCAGAAGATATACCGCCAGCTCAGGTACTGCACTAGGATACCACCAATGGTGGGACCGAACGCCGGTCCCACCATCGCGACGCCTTGGAAGAGCCCAACGTATTTTCCTCTCTCAGCGGGCGTGGCAATGTCTCCCATTGCTCCCGCACCGGTAGCAATGGCAGGCGATCCGCCACAGGCCTGCAGCGCGCGGAAAACCATCAACAGCCAGAAGTCTGACGTTGGAGTCAGGGCGATGCCAATACAGGCAATTATATAGAGAGCCATGCAAGCCATAATGACCGGACGCCGGCCAAGGAAGTCGGACAGGTTGGAGAGGAAGGAGGGGGACACGGCTTGGAAAACACTGCCGTGGTCAGCAAACGGAATGAAACAATTAATGTCTACGAAGAGGTGCGATAATGTGAAGAGAAAAGGCTCACAGGTAGACGGTCAATGTGAGATCAATGGTTTGGGTAGTTTTGTGAAAGTCCTTGACAATCTGCGGAATGGCCGGCACATAGATGTTACTCGAGATGGGCCCGAAAATGGCGGCCAGCGAGCAGAGTCCCGCGATGGTCCATTTCTGGTTCTTGGAGAAGGCCGAGAAGGGCGGAGGGGGAGTCTCTGGTCTCTCATCGACAGCAACAGCAACAATTTTCTCGCTCACTTCGGTCTTGGTGATCTCGAGCGTGGATTCCGATACGGGCTCGATAATATCGCTCGAGCCCGACGACTCTGTGAGTGAAGAAGCGGAGGATGGCGACTTCTGAGCGTCTGCAACCTCCTCTATCTCTTTCAGCGCAGCAGCGCTTGGCGGCGATGCGGAGAACGTGGTGTCCGACGTCATGGCGGTCGCAGTGGTTGGGTGGAACCCGACCCCAAAGCCGATGTGCTAGATAGGCAGAGCGACGTCCAAGTGCAAGACCAAGCCGGTGCACACCGTCGGCAGCAACCAGGGACCGACCGTAAGTGTTCTGACCGGGTTCTCGAAGCAGAGAAAACCGGAGAGTCCCGTTCTGAGGGGATTTTTCGAGATAAAAAAGAGATCGTGGCCTCGGACTTAACAAGGCTCCGACTGTCATTCCTGCGACCCGCCCGCTCCCTTTCCCCCCCCCCCCCCCCCCCCCCCCCCCCATACCCCCAGCTAGCGCTGGAGACACAGACCGGTGAAAGGAGGGGCTTCTCTGCGGAGTCGTATACCGTAATCCAGGCCAGCCAAAGAAGATCGAGGTCGCGAACGGAGCCCTCGGTCCGGAAGAAGAGATCGTAGTGGCTAGCGAGCATCCCGACCTACCCGAGCTCGTTAGCGAGAGTCGCCGCGGACCCCGGCACTGTTTGTTGGTGGAGGAGGATCATCATTCTTCGTCATCAGAGCATGATCTGCAGGTCAAGCATTGCTACAGCCGTATTTCTCCTTCGAATCGTGGATGCCAGAGTCTCTCCGGTTTCTGTTGTGGGGGAAAGACGCTGTCGCTCTCATTTCTTGTTTTGGGCCATCCCGCTTAGTCAGATGCTGTTAGCGCTGTTCGTTCACGAGCTACTCCGAATTGGGTAACTAGGTCCGGCTCACATGACCCCTATTTCTAACAGATTATCAGATAAATCAGGCAGGAATCAATCCACTTCTATTAGAATATTAGTAACATGTTCATGACAGGGTTTCAGCTGATGGTACACAGTCACTCAAGTTAATATAAATTTATTAAAAGAAATGATATAGTAGTATATTGCTAGGAATCAAGTCTAACCTCACCTTAACCAAGGGGAGGAAGAAGAAATAGACAGATAGACAATGTTGAGGAGGAGAGGAGGAGGAGTCTGGATTCTCTGGAAGCCAGCAGGTCACATGAGTTTGCCTCTTTTGCTCTTCTCTATCCCTTCCACTTGCCAATTCACTTTTGTTTCTTTCTCCAGACACAGCCGATCTTTTATCATCAACCAGCTGTTCTAACCATCAAAAAGATGATGGATATAGGAGTTGATGGCCAAGGGAGGTTCAGATGAATTGATCGATCCGATATAAGTTTTTGACGGAATTCCGGGACAGGATACTATCCAGTCTAATAGGATCGACAACACAAATGTCCTGCTCATTTCGATGCGGATGTATCAGATGCATTAAGCAATTCAACAGGACTGTTCACCTACAACCAATCTCCATAAAACATAAACTCAACTTATGTTTGCGCTATACAGTGATCTCTTTGACCGCGACAGCCACTGGGTGACCACAATGGATATCCTCTGGCTCTCGCAAATAGTCAAAGATCTCCGAATATCTGATGGTCAGCATAAGGCAATATCAACTCCCCTGTCACGGAACTTACAAAATTGCCCTCCAGGCCTCGATCGGCAATGGAACATCAAATGACGACAATGAGACCTGCTTTTTTGCCTCGGGCTCGTCAGTCTGGTCGTGATACGGCGCCAGATACGGGTGCTGCAGAATCTCGGCAGCCGAAAGCCGACTCTCGCTCGAATATACTAGGATCTGGCCTAATAAGTCGATCACCAACGGATCCGTGATGGGTAGTGTTGTGAATGACTGTCGTGGACGGACGGCAAGCATTTCGATAAATGCGCATGTCTGCACTTTGTAAGTCTGTCTGGCACTTCTGATTTTTTTTTTTTCGGAGAGATTGCAAGGTACCTTCCTGCTCGCGTTCTTCAAAATATACTTTGGCGGCATTCCCAGTAACTCGGTAATCACGGAGAACTGATGGATATGATTCCTTCCTGGAAACAAAACCCGTCCTGTCAGCATCTCCGCCAGAATACACCCGGCGCTCCAGATATCCATGGCGGTACTGTACCGTCCCCAAGTGAGCATCACCTCGGGGGATCGGTAGTATCTCGTTGCGACGTAACCCGTCATATGGTCCCGATTCTGGCAGGCAAGACCAAAGTCGCAGAGTTTCACGTCACACTGGGCATTGATCAGGATATTGCTCGGCTTGAGATCCCGATGAATGACGCCAGCCGAATGGATATACTTGAGCCCTCTCTGAAGCCATTAGTATCAAGAATTGAATCAGAAAAGCAAAGGTATGACATACTATAATCTGGTAGAAGAAGTACCCTGTATGTTGTGGCTCTAAGCATGCCTTTCCCAGCAACTGCTGGAGATCTGTATCCATGAAATCAGTGACCAGATACCTAGAACAAAGTCAATATGTGTATATCAGGTAGGTAGGTTAATTAATGCTATAGCCAGAGGGAACATACAAATCTTCAGCAGGTGAGATGAACACATTTTGCAAGGATATTACCTATATAATAGTATATAAGCTTATTTTCTCTGCTATGGATAAATCGAATTCTGGGAAAGAAAGGGTGTTTTCACATTCTCATGCACCAAGAGCGTCAACAGCTTCAACTCGCGATACGTCCGCTTCGTCATCTCAGCAGAGGAGAAGGGCTGCACGACCTTCTTGATTGCCACCTCCTCTTTATCAAAGTCTTTGGCCGAACTGGGGTTACCGTCAGTTTTCCTTTATAGCTTTCTGGAGGAACATATCGCATAGTATACATACCAGACAACCCCGAACGCTCCCATCCCAATAGGCGAGAGGTCGGTATATCGATCAAGCATGTCGAACTTTGAACCGAGGATGTGTGTGGATGAAAAGTACGCCATATGGATATGTGAATAAAAACGTCCGTGTTTTGTCTTTCAATAATGAACTGGCGGCACAGCATGCTGTATATAACTGTGGAAAAGAACTTCTACATATTTAGTTAAACTTGTTATTGTGTCAGATCTAAATGATGCTACTGGATGGAATTGATATGCGAAGCCACTAATGACTAAAAATGTGGCGAGTAGCGACAATGATGTCTGTGGCGGTGATGTATAAATATAGTTTTGATGATGAAACTAAACTATCTTCTTTTCCTTGGGGAAGCTTCGAATGTTCTCTTCGGGTGTGTATTTTGTTGAACAGAAAATGGATGTGGCAAATGACAAACAATGAAGTCATGAAATAATGTTATTATTAATAGAACTGTAGTGTTGACCTTATTCTCTATAGAAAACCATCAAATCAGGCCAAAACTGCCTTCTAAGTGTCTATAAATGGCAGGGGAATGTAGTGAGAAACGGGGTTTGTGGTGATCTCTGCCAATTGCTCGTCTGGATGAACCCAGATCAAAATGGTTTAGCATTAGTCGACGGAAAATAGGTTCCAACGGCCTGCATAATCCCCATTTCATGCCCCATGCGCCGTAATGCATCTTTAGCCATAGTCTTCTGTCTCTCCTGGACGACAGGCGATGAGGCAACAATGCGTACCGGCCAGATCAGCCTGGTGATGTCTGCGAGATTGACTTCCACCGTGTCATCTCGACGCTTCTCCTTCTCGGGTAGCAAGTCAGGTAAAGTCGCCAACACTCTACTAGCCCTGGCCCGCGTCATCGATATATTGTCTTCTTGGAGCGAAGCAATTTCCTTGTACTCATCGATCGACGGGCTAGCAAATTTGACAGCATAGAGCAAAAGGTGGTAGACATTATGGTAAACTCGCAGCAAAGAAGCATCTATGTGGTTGCAAAGGTGAAGCTGCATAAAGGTCAACCGCTGACCCTTTAGGGTGGTATTAGCAGTCATTTCCCATAATGGACAGACAATCTTATAGCCAAAATGATACTCCATGGATCTTTCAAGATCACGGAGTGCCTGGACTATTTCTCTTAACTCGGCAAGTATCCTGTCTGGTGACCCTTGGTGTTGAACACGGGACCAGGCACGCCAGGAAATACGCAGCGCGTCGTCGGAAAAAGAAAGCAAGGGAGCCATGACGCGGCTACTGGGGGTTTCCCAGTCGTCAAAATACTTAAACCAGTCAATGGCCTCTGTAGGCGGCGGTTTATTTGTTTGGAAACACTGGATTTGCTAGACCGGAATTTCACCGTTAGAGAAATGACGCTGAGGAGATAGGCAGAGGAAAACCTACAATGGTATGGTAGGCCAGGAGAAAGAGTTGGCAACCCTTTCGTGACCTGAACTGTTCGCGACCTCTGGTGCGCAGCAACCCGGCCAGTGCTTTTCCATGCGTATTCCAATTCAAGGGGCCTTCTTCCGACTCCGGAGTGCCCAGGATGAGCTAGAGCATGAGCGTCGATATATACCGATAGCAAGAAAAAGCAAGCATACCTCATACAGAGACAATAGCCAGACGGTCAATAAGGTCGAGTCGTCCTTTTGAGTCTCTGGCTGATGTATGGCAAGACTCAACGCGTTGAGAGCCTTGCCGTACGCCCCCCGATGAGACAGGACGAGGTCTGATAAGCGTGTTCTGTTTGCCAAGTACGCATAGCCGACTGCATAGCTGGCCAAATACAGCGATGATCGAGAATCTGCAGCCTTCAAGAGAGTGGGGAAGCAAGCCAACGGTCCGTATATGCGGGTGGTTCCAGGGACTTGGGCCATCAGTTGGCTCATGATGAGGGGCATGACATGAGTTTCCCACGATTCTGGCGCCTGGCGGATGAGTAAAGGGTCTTTTTCAAATAGAATCGAAGAGTTGTTATCATGTTTTCTGTCTCCTTTGAATTTCTCCAGGTCGGATTTTCTCCTTGATTTGGTCTCGTCGGTCGGTTTGGTCCTCGTCCAGCTCGCTGGACGGAATGAAGCCGGTGTCATAACACGCACAATCAGGTCTGGTTGATCTAGATCGCGGTATCCAGAGCAAGGCCTGCCCAGCTTTTCACATCGCTCACATCCTGGCCGCCGGAGATCGCACTTCCTTGGTTTCAGCTCACGGAGTCGTCTTTCTCAGAAAACAGGCAATTGCGGTCTCACCTTGACACGACGTTTTCGGCAAGTGTCACAACCCCGACTCGGATGCCCTGTATTCACCATATTTTCCCTTTCCCGAAGATGTGACGAGATTTTATTGTGGTGGATTGTTGTTTGAAGGAGGGTGAGATGAGGTTGTTGCCTTCGGCTGACGGAACACGTGATCAATTTATGTTTCTGATTTCTCGCCCTCGACTTTTAACATCCTCCAGTTTGATATTACCTTCGTACTATTCTAGGATCTAGAATTGCTGATAAAATCGAGTGCTAATTAATCCCCTATCCAAACCGGGCGGAAAATATGCTCGAGTAACCCTTTCGAGAAGTTCTACACCGGGATACTCTGAAGATTGAACATTTGGATGATAAAAGAAGCCGTTGTTGATACGGCGACACCCTCTCCATAGAGGAAATCCCCTGCCATCTACTACAACATAGTCTAGGCATTGAATTAAGGCATCTATTAGAGCCTTACACTCTTCTAAATTCCACAAATCCAACCAGGAATTAACGCAGAACTTAGGAATTAGCATAAGAATCAACTCTATAGAATTAGATAAGAATCAACTAGTAGCTAGAATATATTATGGCTATTCACTATATCATGTTGGTAGCCTGGAGGTCCAACTGTGAATAGAAGCTAAGACTGTACCTACTATAAATGCCCCCCTCGCTTTATGTATCTTAGATAGCTTCAACATCCATCACCTATCTCTTCCTACCCTTCCGCCACTCGACAGACTGGTGTATTAGCATTGGTGGAAGTGTTTGTAGGAAGAAAGAATCTTGTCGATCATCTTCTCTGCTTCCGCTCTTTTCTTGCTGAGCTCTACCAGGTCTCTCTACAGTCATATCTTCCTAGCATGTTTAATGATCAGGCGCACACTCTCCTCCTGCATTCTATTTAACTTAAATAAGACAGTAGTGATATACCAGCATCACATTACAAGGTGATATCTATTAATTTTAATAAATATGAGTAAGCTACCTATAATAAATTCAGTAAACTACACTAATGAGGCTTATTTACACAGTCCACAGAAGATCTAAATAAATATATTTAGAATATAAAGATATTCCGCAAGCTTATGCTACTTATAGGTTAAATAGGTTTTTAATTTATTAATACTTATTATTGCTGCAGCATTTCTCCTTATTATAATTAAATATAAGTACTAGATTCATTTTGCTTCTCCTTAATATAATATATCATACTAACTAAGAGAGATAAATATCTAGAATATCACTAATATAATTGCCCTATATCCGCCTATAAGGGAGATGACCCTTAACTATCTTCTTTACTCTCTAGTAACCTGTGAAGCCTAGAGTACCTCCACCCTGATCTAGAATATTATCTGGCTCTTCCTCACTATCTACACTATCATGACTCTAAGGTATCTTATTAAAGGACATTTAGACGCGTAAGAGGTCTATAATATCTTATATAAGTATACTATTAAAAGATGCTGACAGGAGTTAAAGGTGCATAAAAGTAAGAAAGAGGAAGTAGATGAGGTAACTTTTAGTCATAAAAAAATAATAAAAGATTAAGTAGAGATAGATTAACACCCTAAAGCATTAAACAGCAAAACCTGGATCTAAAAGACATGATTCAGCTTAATGTGGTCACCACGGAAGAATTGACCAAGGGCTTGAGACACGAATTGGTCGCAGCCTCTAGTAGCTATCTACAATTCAAAAGCTTCTTAGATAATTAGTAGAAGAGAATAGACAAGTTGCCTCTCTATAAATATCCTTCCTTGGTAAGTCTCCTTACTCAGCAGTGTATCTGATCTATAAACGTCTAGCGCAATACTTTATTCTAACCTCATAATCTTCAACGACACAGCATCTTCGACATCATCCTATCTCTGGCTTATTCCTCTCTCCAGCATCATCTATCTCTCATTTAGTCTATTGGAAATCCCGATTGCAGTGTCTATCCCCCACAGCCTCTGCTTTCTTCAGCTCTGTCTCAGCTCTCGGCAAGTTCCGTGACTGGCAAGACAGGAACAAAGAAGCAACATTCAGCAGAACAAAGAATCTGAGACATTGACTGCCTAGATCTAGGCTGAATGAACAGTCTGATAGGCTGGAAAACGCATTCTTCAGATGGAAAATAATGGTTCTTTGTTCTCTGAATAGGGGTCATCCTTGTTCACCTCCAGACTTCCCCAGCTTTCTTTGTTACAATGGCATTGTTTATAACCTCATCCTTGCAACTGTTTCAGATGTTTCTTTGTTTAATGTCTCAGTTGCCTGTTATCAGAGCTTCTTGTGTCCCAAATGGAAAGGTATAAATATCTTCAACTTTTTGTGTTTGAAGTCGTTTCTCCATCCTTCTTATTCCTCACCAGCACAACCAATAACTTTCTCTCCGCTTTCGCCAAGCTAAGCTTTTTTTTAAATTTTCTAGAACTCCATTGCTGTTGATCAGCAATGTCTCGTTTCATTGTCGCACTGGCAATGTTGATCCTAGGAGTGGTGGCTGGCCCACTGCTCTGTATGGAGCAATTGGTAAGTATTCTCCTGTCCGACCCCATGTCTCTTCTGTTCTATTGCTTATTCGTCTTTAGGTATCTCCGGCTGATTGTCCACGTTGTTTCCTTCTGGACTTTCTACCGTCCCGCCCAGGTTCTCTCCAGCCCGTCCTATCGCCCTCGTGATTGTACGGTCATACTCCCAACCGTGGACCCGAAGAACCCCGATTTCGTGGAATGCATCATGTCCTGTCTTGTCAACAAGCCAGGCGAGATCATCATCGTGACTGTGGGAGAGGCCCTAACCTCTCTCACGCGTCAGATTGTGGCTCCCTTCATGGAGCGCTTCCCGTCGACTGTGATCACCGTCACGGCCACCAACGTCGCTAACAAGCGCGTTCAGGTCGCGCACGGTCTCCCTCTTGTGCGAACCCCAATCACGGTGCTGCTAGATGACCATGTCTTCTGGCCCTCCGCTCGGTTCCTGCCCACTGTCCTCGCCCCGTTCGAAAACCCCGGCGTCGGCGTGGTGGGCACGAACAAGCGGGTGCGTCGTACTGACCGGGGCGTCAACATGCGATCCTTTTGGAACATGATTGGTGCTCTGTACTTGGAACGTCACAACTTTGAGATCCGCGCAACCAACGCGATCGATGGAGGTGTCTTTGTCGTGTCCGGCCGGACGTCTGTGCTTCGCACGGTCATCCTGCAGGACCCTGATTTCATCGCCGGGTTCACGAACGAACGGTTCTTCTTTGGTCTCTTTGGACCCTTAAACGCGGACGATGATAACTTCATCACCCGCTGGATGGTCCGCCACGGCTGGGAGGTCAAGATTCAATACTGCAAGGACGCGCTGATCGAGACGACCCTTGGGACGTACCCGAAGTTCCTGTCACAGTGTCTGCGCTGGGTGCGCACGACCTGGCGCAGCAACTCGGCTAGCCTCTTCACGGACGGTACCGTTTGGACTCGCCAGCCCTGGTGCGTGTACGCTGTTTACTTGACCTCGTTTGTCAACTTCGCCCTCTTCTATGATGGCGCCCTAGTGTACACGCTTGCAACCAGCCGGCTGGCAAGCATCAAGACAGTCGCTGGCCTGGTTCTCTGGATCTTTTCTTCGAAGATGGTCAAGCTCACCCCGTACTTTCTACGTGAGCCCCAGGATCTGGTCATGCTCCCTGGCTACTTTGTCTTCGCCTACTTCCATAGTCTGGTGAAGCTCTATGCCGGGCTGACCTTCTGGGTGACTACGTGGGGCGGTCGTAATCTCGCTGCCATCAACAAGTAAGTCCTCCTCTTCTCCCTCCCCCCCCTTAATTATTCTGAATCTTGCTAACTTCTCATAGACCGGATCTCTTGTCAAGACCGGGAAAAATACAAAAAAAGGGAAAAACTAGAAAAGGCAAAAAAAGAGAGAAAATTATTAAACCCTCTAAAACAAGACTCAAACCAGACGGGCCCTGCTGTGTACGCTCGATGCGATGACAGCAGGGGCCGGTTGGCAAAACGACTCCTGTCGCAGGATGAATGACCTTATAGAGCCCTAAGATTTGCTGGACGATTCTTAGGGCTGAGTGGTCTAGTATCTCCTCGATTCGTACTGAAAAGTAGTCTAGAACTATTCAAACTCTAGTACTCAGGAACTCGTCTGAACCTCGACCTCTTCTAAACCTCTCAACCTCCGAACCTGACATCTCGAACAACTATCATCTAAAAAACTGAAAACTCTGAACTAAACAAGAGTTTCTATCAAAATCTCCTTTTGACCTACTAAAACCGGGAGATAACCACTAGAAGTCAACTCTTTGGCTTTCTAAACCGAGGTTCAAAACCTCACAAGAATGAATGGAGTCTAATAGCTCACCAAAACCCCCTTCTACGGCAAAAGTGCCTAGAATGCTGACAGTGTGCTTCACAAAGCAGAAGACACCTCCTCTTACCTCTTCTACCTTTGCTCATTGACTTATTTTTTACTGCTTTTCTTACTAACCACTGTAGCCGATAGATGTGTCGAAAGCTGCATACATAGATCATAGAATCATCAATACAACTCTTTTTTCAAACAAAATAACTTCCCTGTAAATATGTAGATAATTCGTAGATTCAATTCGTAGATGTAATTTTTAATTTGTAATTCGTAAAACTATTAATAGGCTTGGACTATATTCCCGGTGATGCCGTTGGATTCAGATTCATAACCAGGCATCTTTATAATTAAAGCATTAATTCAAAGAATATCCGAGACCATCCTACCAATAATGGAGCCATGGTATTAAGCTCATGTGGGCCGATGATGCGTTCATCATCTCCTCTCCGATTCTCAAACTTTATATCGATCGCTAAACTTCACAACAGACAGTGAAAACCCAAATCTAGGGAAGGCAAGTTTGGAGAAGATCCTAGATAGAATCAGAGAATGGCGCTTTTTGTCGCCCAAGAGGCTATCTGCGCGTACCCGATCAGCACCATCTATGATACTTGTCCACGATACCTTTTTTATGCCCTCCTCCTCGCCAGCTGCGCCACACGCTGGACGGGTTGGTTGGCGGACGTCTTCCTCGGCACGGCAGCGACATATGCGGGCACAGCTGCCTTCCAGGCATTCATACTCATCGCGAGCCGTCGGGGAAAACCCTCCGTTCCAGCAGGACTTGTGAGCATACCGAACATCCCCTCTAATACAACATTAGATGCAACAGCCGCTGCTGCTGCAGATCTATTCCCTGCGCTAGTCACCGACACAGATGAGGTGCAGGTAACGCCCGCGGCATTGGAGCTAGATGCCGACGCCGTACTAGCCATCGTGGTGACGGGGTATCTCGTTTTTCTCCCGCTGCAGTGCTGGTCGCGTGTTCTCCGGCAGCAGAATGCGCGGTACCTGCTTTTCTCGCTGTGGAATGCGCTTATGCTGGCGGGGTCGGTGTGCGCGCTCGTGTACTGGCCTACGCTGAGCCGCACGCCGCGCCAGTATATGTTCTGTTATCCGGATTTCCCACCCGACGGAACAGAGTATAACGGTGGGTGGGTGGCGTCTTTCCGGAGGTCTGACAGCTGGAACGAGAGTGTTTGGGGGGTGTTTGAGAACCGATCGCGGTGGGAGGAGCTGGGCGATCTCTGCTTTTACCCTTGCTTCAACACGAGTCAGATCCTGCGCCAGCAGACGACCATGGTCGCCGTCGCCGCCACGGGAGACGATGGGGGTGTCCATCGCCACTTGTTCTGGGGTCGAGTGGAGGATTTCAAGCCGTATGTTTATGCCCTAGTGGTGCTTTGTGTCATCTTGAACTTTGTGCTTTTGTTGGTCGAGTTTGTGCCTTCTCGTCGCTCCAGGATTCCCTCGTCGCGAGTCTGGATTGTCTGGAAGAAGAGAAAGCAGATATGGACAGGGCTCAAATGTGACTTTCGATCCGCTCTGGCGGGTGAGTCGACGGAGGGAGTCACAGACGAGGCGAAAGCCCGGACGAAGAAAGGCCTCAGGGGACGAATCCAGAGAGCTGTCAGCATCCAGTCTCTAAAGCTGTGGCTGCGGTTAGCGATTGATATCTTCATTCTCATCTGCCTCATCTTCAGCGTCGTGGTCAGTCCGTTTACCGTTATTGCCTTTGTCATCTGGATCGAGTATTACATCCACCATGACGGACCCAACCAAGAGAGTCCGCAGCAGATCGGACAGTGGTCGCCCCTTTTAGCCATTGGATTGTTGCTCATCTCTGCCGCAATACTGAAGCTGAAATATCGCATGGCCTCGGTCAAGGAGATCGACTGTGAGATTGCAGATACCAAGCAGTTATTGAACCGGTTGGAAACGATGAAGAATGAGCGAGAGAAGGGAAACGAAGCATAGCACTGTGTAAACATCCAAATTAAGACTCGCTGATAGAGAAGAAGTGTGACGATCAAAGCCCTAGTACCTTGCCCTATTTCCTATTTGGGATATATGCCTCAGGCTCAACTTGTTCTTTCCTCGCACCGCCATTAAATAGCCTCATTCACTATTTCTCTGTATCGCAACAAGTCGAGATCGTTCCTGGGAGTTGATACCAGTGAATATCCATGATGCCACCCATAGCAGGTGAATATCTCTCGACTATAAATATAAATAGTTATTTCTTCCGCTCTCTGGTATCTTCTTACGTCTCTCACATCACACAACATCCATGAAATCACTCGTTGTTTGACATCGTTTTTCCTACATGTCGTATACTCGAGTTATTCTCTCAAGATTTTTGACTATAAAGGCAATGTTTCCGGCAGCTGCCACAAGCAGACAGCAATTCTAAGCAATGCTACGGAGAGCATATTGATCTCAGCGCAATACCTCGGTCACAGGTGCCTCTATTCAGACCATTACAGTGTGCAAAGCCGGCCATTCAAGCCAGAACATGCGCACCGCGTCATCCGATAACAGAAACAAGGGGACGAGACGTTGCTGCCGTGGGTTTCCTTCTTCAAAACAATGAAATCAGTCGATGGCGCCGCCGAATCGTCATTCCATGATGATTGATCTCGCTGAATCGACTGCAGTTCTGCAATACGCAACAAGAAATCATCTCTTTGCTTCTAACGCTCGCCTGTCCGGGGACGAGCACGGCATACAAGGACGCTTCCAACAGAATGTCGGGCAGGTGCTGACGGCCGTATTTGCAGTCGAAGACCTCGATCTCCTCTTTGAAGATTTTAAAACCAAAGATCTTAGACATTATTGAGATCACCTTGACTCAAGAACTGACTGTGGTCGGCGAGCTGGAGACATTCTGTCTGGGGCAGCACGACGTCCCAGACATCCAGGATGATCATATAGCGCCTGGTTAGTCTTGGAGTGATGAAGTTGATATTAATGGAATTGCCATATATGACTAATAACCATTCTCTATAGGATAACTATGCCAGTATATGCGTGATCTCCACCTGAAGTATAGATTTCTTTCTACCTACAACGAGACCAATTTTCTCAGGCAGATTGATAATGGATATCACTGGACCTTGAGGTCTCCTCAGCCATCCTACACATTAGTCATTTCGGCACAGGTATTAGGAAAGCTGCTCTTAATTAGGGATTCTTTTTTGTTGGGCAGCTGGCGCTGGCCGATCGCGAATTTTCTCCGGAGCGGCCGTCGTTGGAGTGAAAGAACTTGATCACACGGACAATTGGGATGGTTACCGGTCAACTGAATTTCATAGTAACTATGAACGAAGGGTTGTATTTTGTTTCTACATAGTCGGCCGAAGGGAGGGGAATCTATAACCGAGAGGATGCCGACCAACCCCGGGCCGTACTTAGGCTATAATAGCACTGTACTACATACACTGATACAGTAGTGTAGTACGGAGTATGCCATTCAGCGGATGATCAACTGTCCTCCACAAGGTAGGAATCACTGTGGAGAGGAATGATTGTAGTATTCCTTGCCTGTGGCAACCTTGAGGAATACAGAGTACGGAGTAAACTCGGGGTAAATTCCATGGAGTAAACGGGAATCGAAACATCTCACGATGTTGACGGAGTAGTCCAATTGGGTGTGAGAGATTCGCCATTAGCCTATACTAGGTACCTTACCTAGTAGTATTTACTACGTAAATATACGAGAATACAGAATACTACCCTGCCATTTAATAGGAATAGATGATCGCGTGACCAAAGGTAACGGGCATCGCGATTACTCAGCTCTGACTAACACGGAAGACGACCGAGGTTGAAAATTGTGGCAAATTCCAGCATTAACAAACTATGTAAGATTTCCTGTATACTGACAGGTATTGCAGTGGAAGGATGAAGTAACTAGTAGTTACTTAGTAATTAGTTGGTTAGTTATGTATAGTACCTGGTACATATCGGATGCTCCGTAGATACCACAAGTCGGTCCCTGGTAAAGTCCGCACAGAGCCACTGAACTAGTACATATTAGTAGAAGGCTCCGCCAGTTGCACGGTGGGATCTCGATCTTTATCACTGGTGAGAGATGAACGCTGAGATTGTTAAGTAATTGGAATGTTCGCCCTGGTTTCTATGACTAAATCGACCCACTGCGTCATACAACTATGGCAATTACCAAGGAAAATCAGGCGGTGGATATTAAACATATTCTGGAGAAGACACACGGACAGTATCTTGAGATAGACAATCCTTTGAGTAATTGAGTAAATAATAGGGATAATTTTTGTTGAAAGACCTTTGCTCATAATCATAAAATTTCTATCTTGTTCACTTTCCTATGTATTCTACATACTAAACTTCACTAAACCAAAACCAACGGGTTCGGTAAATAAAGTGTGTGTCCGGGCCGAGTGGCGTCGCCCGAAAGAGGCTAAACGCAGATCTTTCCAAGTCTCAACCTCAGGCAATTTGGTCTCTTCCCACGTAACAGAGCTTCGTTGACGAGCCATTGAGTAAGCCTTATTACTCAACCATGAACCGTCCAACTATCTGGTTATCTATCTATCGTGCCATTCTCGGCCTCTTTCCTCGAGACAGATTGGCTTCAACTCGCTCCAGATTGGACGCGCGCGCTGACCCCGACTTCTTGCCAGACCCATAAGAAAGTACCGTGGCGACTCCCCCGGCCTTGATTCAAAAAAAATAATAATAAATTCTTCTCCGTACTCCTTGCCTACTCACTTCAGTCGACCTTCAAGCCGTATCTTTCAATAATCTTTTTACACCCTCTTCCCCGGCGAAGAAGGTACCTAATTGACTATGGAGTACTCGGAAGGCGTGTCTCACGACCACGTCCTCAAGACCCACGCGGCGGAGGCAGAAAAGGCAGCGGCGAATCCAGGGAGCCCAGTGTACGACAAGGAAAAGGGCGAGCTCAGCGAGCACGATAGGGCCATCTACGAGCATGGCGTGAAGAAATTCAGCAAGCTGGGCTGGAAGCGGCTGACGATCGTGCTCATCGTCGAGGCCATCGCCCTCGGTAGTCTGTCCATCCCAAGCGCCTTCGCGACGTTGGGCATGGTCCCTGGTGTGATCTGCACGGTCGGCCTCGGGTTCATCGCCATCTACACCAGCTACGTCGTCGGTCAGGTCAAGTTGAAGTTCCCCCAGATTGCCCATTACCCGGATGCCGGGCGGATCATGGCCGGTAAAATTGGGTACGAGATCATCTACGTGATGCTTGCCCTACAGCTGCTTTTCCTGACTGGCTCGCACTGTCTCACGGGCACCATTGCCTTCGAGCACATCACCAACAGCGGCATCTGCTCCATCATTTTCGCCGTCGTCTCCGCCATCATCCTCATCCTGTTTGCCATCCCGCCCAGTTTCTCGGAGATGGCTATCCTCGGGTACATTGACTTCGGCTCCATCGTTCTAGCGATTGGAATTACCATCATCGGCACGGGAGTCGCGGCCTCGAACCAGAAGGGCGGCCTCGCCGCCGTCGACTGGTCCGCCTGGCCCGCCGAGGGGACCACCTTCACCGACGCCTTCATCGCCATCACCAACATCGTGTTTGCGTACAGCTTTGCCATGTGCCAGTTCTCCTTCATGGACGAGATGCACACGCCCAAGCACTTTGTCAAGTCTATCTGGGCGCTGGGCCTGATCGAGATCGTCATCTACACCGTGACGGGCGCCGTCATCTACGCCTTTGTCGGACAGAGCGTCGAGAGTCCCGCCCTGCTCTCCGCGGGTACCCTGCTCAGCAAGATCGCCTTCGGCGTCGCCCTGCCCGTCATCTTCATCAGCGGCTCCATCAACACCGTCGTCCTCGGCCGCCTCGTCCATGGCCGCGTGTTCAAGCACTCCACAATCCGCTTCATTAACACCAAGATGGGCTGGATCACCTGGCTGGCCCTGGTGGTCATCATCACCATCCTGGCGTTTGTCATCGCCGAGCTGATCCCGTTCTTCTCCGACCTGCTCTCCATCTCCTCCGCCCTCTTTATTTCCGGCTTCACCTTCTACTTCCCCTCCATCATGTGGTTCATGCTCATTCGTGAGGGGCCCTTGACCACCCCCAAGAACATGGCTCTCGCCATCCTCAACGCTTTCATCCTCATCATCGGTCTGGTCACCTTGGTGGGCGGTACCTACTCCAGCGTTGACGATATTGTAAGTTCCACCCCTCCCTTACCTGCAATTTTCAAATTTATCCATCTTCTCTTTCTAACCAGCCCTAGATCAGCAATTACCGTGACGGAAGCGTCCGAGGCGTGTTCAGCTGTGCTGCCGTGTCGTAGACTAGATATAGATTGATTTATGACTGTTTGTACTTGCTAGAGCTAAAGCTGGAGCTAGAGCTAGATTGCTAGATTACGATTGCTAGAATATACCATGAGCATTAAAGTCCTTTAAATAGCTGGAGTACCAAAGTCCTTAGTTACACTAAATCCCTAAATACCTCATAACCCTCATAACATTCCAACCCTGGAATGTCAACATATGCATACTGATTATATACCCTTATTATTTTTTTATTTCATTTCTTGCCCCGTAAACTACTATTCATTGACCTCTATATTACCTCCATAATGAAAGCCTTCCTTCTCGTGCTAGCAGCCGCCCTCGCCGTGGCCGATAAAACATGCACGCCTAGTTTCGATTACTGCGCCGACACTCTGCTCGCAAAGAAGGGTAAAAAAGCAAACTACAATCTAATTCTTATCTCAACTTCTAAGAAGCCAGCACTGACTCTCTAGGCTTTGTGGAAAGTGATCTCCGTGCTGCATTGCAAGGGACGGGCTTTGAGAATGCGACTTTCGACGACGTCTTGTTCCATTGTACGAATCCTGGACAGATAGGGCATGCGAAGCTGTGTTCTTCGGGGTGTACGGAGAGTGCGACGGAAGGGAGTCATGGATGTTGACCATATTTACTGAATTAGTTATAGTGGCAATGGCAAAAGATTTATTTTCATGAATTAGCTTGCGATGTAATTATTTAACCGGGAAATATTTATGAGAAGGTTATGGGTAGTTAGTATACAGATGCAAAAGGTATTACTCGAGGAGCCTGAGAACCAGCTCATACGTCCCGATGGTGATGGCAGCAGAGGGCACCGTTCGTAGCAGATGCGCCGTCAGGCCGCCGTACAGCGCGGCCAGACCCTCTTCTTTCAAGATCAGTCGTGCGCACTGGATGATGCCCGTGTATTTCTGGCGGCCGTCTGCCATTGGGGCCTGGCGGAGTCGAGTTCGGATGACCTGAGTGTGTTAGCAGTTGGCAATCGACATGTGCTGGAATAAAAAGCGCTGGAATAAACAAGAGAGCGTTACCTCATGAGGATAGGCAAGAAGACAGGCGAACAACTTCGACAAGCCGGACGCCCCGCTGACCGCAACGCCCTGCGCAAAGCGGTTCGACTCGGTCGGTCCCTCGGGAGCAAGCTTCCTCGAGATGATCCCCTTCAACCGCTCGTACATGGCGAAGTGCAGTGTCGTCTCGATGGTTCCGAGATAGCTGGCCGTCAGACCACGGTAGAGACCGCGCGGCCCTTCTTGCTGCAAGATCTGGCGTGCACAGTCGAGGCTGTTCTTGTACCGGCGAGACCCGCCCGCGCGGTCCAGCTGCAGCCTCGTCTTGATCACCCAGATGGGACTCGTGCTCGTTCCTGTGGCGATCCCTGCACACGCCGCCGACAGCGCGTGGACCAGCGTCGCGTCCTTCTCTAAGCCCAGCAAATCCGGCAGGATCCGTTTACAGTTGCCGTACATGTAGAATTTGACCGCGCTGGCCGGCACGACCCCCGTCAGGCTGGGCCCCAAGCCCTTGAACAGCCCGCGCCACCCTTCGACGCGGTGAATCGAAAACAAGATGTCAAAAGTTTCGCGGAAATGGAGGAGTGATGATCGCACAAACGACGTCTGGGCGGCTATCGGACGTGGCGTGCTCTGGGTTTTGTAAAAGTCGGTTTGTAGCCGCGTTCGGAGAACGTCGAGAGGGCTGGTAAGTATAGCCGTGGTCATTCCACCAGTACTTGAAAGAAACATTAGTATGCAGTTCTTTTTTGAACCTTTAGAAATAAGTAAAACTCACGCTCCAGCAATCAAATGAGACCAGGACCCGAAACTCGACACGGGGGTCTGCTCTCCGTACCGCGGCTTCGTCGGCAGAGCCGGTGTGAGCGCATCTCGAGAGCTCTCGACCGAGGGAAGGGCGAGATTTTGCATCCTCACATATGTATCTTGCTGTCTGCTCTGCAGGCGTTGCTGGGTGGAAAATCTGGCAAGCCTGAGATGAGATTTGTTGCTGACGCCGTACCTGATTTTTTTTTTCGGATCAGGGGTCCAGATCCTTTTCTGCCGGGCTGCTGGGGCGGTAACCAGGGGCGGTGAATAAAATCATGTGATATATTATATCTCGTATGATTGGCCAGTATTCTGCCAGTCATCCGATTGAATGCAGTAAGCGGTGAATGTAATAGCTCATATGGAGCAACAGGCATCCCCTCCAGAAAACGCCCAGGCGGTTTTGCAATTGTTGGTTGGTTTCACCAGGCTCTGTGATTCAGCCTTGTCTTGATTCCAATCTCCAAGCGTTGGCTGAACATCTAATCTCATCTCAAACGCCGTCTGTCTCACAAAGATACCTTCGTGGACGAGGCTATCGTTGCCCCTGATCTGGTTCCATGGATCGTCCTCAGACCGCGCCAAATCATAGTCCCTCCTCACAGCCGACTGCCCAGTGCTCGTCGAACTACGCGAGTCAGGTCAACACTAGCAGTTGACCGGAGTTTTGAAATCCGTCTGTTGGACTTTGTACTTCGTGGAGGCTTAGCATGATACGGGACACACGGGCCTTATGGGCCGTCATCACTGCGACCGGGTGGACAAGAAAAGGGTATTAATCAATCCTGTGTGATGATTAAGGCTGGAAGCTAATATTAATTGCTGCTAACTACTCTGAAATAGTGACTTGCCCCAGCCTCTCAGCCTCCTGTCAAACGGAGTATTTCCCCCTGCAAGACGGCAGAGATAGTGTATTGCCCCGCACCGGCACCGTCCAACAGTCTCAGCCTCCACCGTATTTGTACAGAGCACTGCCGTGTGTCCGATTCCAACTCATGCTGTTGCTAAAAACAAACCATCCCGGCGGCTGCGTTTGAGAGCAATGCTATGTGCATCTGATGCTCTCTTGCGAGGACTCTGTTGGATGAGCAATCCCTCTGGAGAAGCGCTGAGAGACCCAACCCAGACACAGTAATCAACATGTCGCACTCTGTAATTCCACCCTGCAAGTTTTCTGGATTCAATGTCGAGAATCAAGACATCAAATACGCGAAAACGCGATAACTATAGCTATTTTACTTGTGGGCCTCCTGCTTCAAACACCTGGAAGAAGAGTATGCTCAGTGCTCAAGGCTGAGGGATTTCCTTCTTACCCACCCCCGCTACTGAGAAGCCGTCCTGCCTAGTGTATTTTGAGACCCTTGTCTCGCCCCCACGATGGGAGAGAGATTCGTCCGAATACGGAGTAAGTCGAAGATGCTAATCACGGCCTGGTCGACAGCCTCATTGACCCAGAGTACGATGACTAGCTTATAATCGACGTCCCCCCCTCGACGTGCCCGAATCATACATCGACTCTCCACTTGGGGTTGATATTGAAAAAATCGCAAGGCCACCTTTATTATGTTTCTTTTGACATATTTTCTGTGTTGGCTCCCTGCCTTGGGGGGCGTCACGGCTCTGGCTCAGGGAGATGTCGCGCTTCGAACTCGGAATGGCCCCGAGATGACCGATTCAGACACCCTTTACGCGGTAAGAAGGGCTCTCCAGGCGGCCAGAATCGAAGCCCGGGATACGGTGTACTCTATGAACAGGACCTCTCTCGCCAAAAGCTGGAGTGGCGCTACTCTGTTCCAGTATAACGTGAGGTAAGGTTGTCCAGTCCTCATTGATAGCTCACCTGTAGCTCACAATCTCCCAGTGACAGTATTGAGACAGAGCATGCTTCTCTGGACCTAGATGCTGGCATCGAGATTGTCTGCACTACTTGTTATGTCAATGGCTCGGTCATTGGTGACTTGACCCTTACCGGCGACTTCAACTTCACAGCAGCAGTTGATGGTGTTGAGGATGAAGTCGTTAATGTCACCACCACGGCGATCGACACGCTGGAGGACTACGTTGAAAAGGTGGCCAAAGACATTGCCACACTTGATTTCGATGAAATTCCAGCTTTCCCGACTCTTGATCTTGACTTCAATTTGGATGATATCACCGGTCTCCCCGGTGCTCATGTGCATTTCGAATTCGACAACTTGGAGCTGTATCTCGACCTTGATGTCAAATTGTCGGCAGGAGCCACTTACACTTTGAACCTGTACACCTCTGAGACCGCTGCAGGGTTCTCTGTCCCGGAACTCCAGGCAGGGGCTTTGTTCATTGTTGACTTGATTCTTATCGTGGAGGCTGATATCGAAGTGGGAACTGGAATCCATATCAAACTTGATGACGGGCTCGCATTTGATCTAGAAATGTTCAGCAAGAACGTGTCCAGCATCACACTGTAAGTTGCTTTTCTCGTCAAAGTCTGGGGTCTCAGAAACTGATATGGTTTCACAAATAGCCCGGGTGGGAAATACGAATTTCTGCCAGTTACCGTGGCAGGCGAAGGGTCCCTGGAGGCGATTCTTAGCCTGAAAGCGAGCGTCGGACTGGATATATCGGTCAAAAGCGACGAAATTTCTGTGCTCGATGAAGCTCTAGACTTCAGTTCAGGAATCTCGGCAGATATCTTTGCCTACGTCGCCGATTTTCTGCTCGAGGTCAATGGCTCCTCGGCCGTCGACAGCGGCGACTGTGAATTTACTGCCTTTGCAGATTATACCTTTGCTGTCGGAGCGGCAGCTGGAGCGACGGTCGCTCTTGAGACATATTCTTGGGGCCCGTCGCCTGAAACCACAGTTCCTGTCTGGTACACCACCCTGGCGAGTACTTGCTTGGAGACCAAGACTGCATCGAAAACTGCGTCCGCGTCCACTACACCACAGGCAAAGCTAGTTCGCCGAACAGATATGACCACGACGACCGTGTCGACGAAGGTTGGCTATACGGTCGTCAACTGTCTCTCCTCGGGCCTAGTTAACTGCCCTGTCAACCTCCAGAACACTAGTTCATATCAAACCACCCTGACGTCCGTCCTAACGGTCCCCTCCGGATCATCGGCAACCTTCCCTGCAAGCACCTTCGCCTCCGTCACCAGTGCTATCCCCTTCGGATCGAATGTGCACAAGCTAGCTGCCATGTCTGGCGTGCCAACATCTTATGTCCCCCCGGCGACTAGCACAGGCACAAGCACAGGCACTAGTACAGGCACCGGCTCTGCCTCGGGTACAGGAGGTAGCGTGGAGAACATCCTCGACGGCAAGACGGATGGGACTAGCAACAAGCTCATCATCGGGTTGAGTGTTGGTCTGGGGGTCCCTTTCCTTGCAGCTCTTGCTATCGGATCCGGGTAAGATTTTCCTGGAATATAAATTATCAAAGGACTAAGCTTGGAATCTAACTGACCGCCCCTTGAATATCTAGTTGGTATATTCGCAACCGCAGAAAGTACTCTCCCGTTGCTCCCGGGCTGCAGATTCCAGTACCGGACTCTTCTCCATCCGTGCAAGGCTCACCGTCAACATACTATGATTCCCCTGTTACACCCAAGGGTTTCCCTCAGATGTCTGTTACGGAGAAGTAGGGGTATTCGTATGGATGGTGAATGCTTACAAATTTTTATGAGATCCGGAATAATGAAACCCAAATACCAATGAAAATCATGCTGATATTATTCTTTGTCTTCTTCGCACGTGATGACTACTGATCCAACGAGGGTATCTTCTAATTAGTATGTGGTCATCAAAGCAAATCTCAAGAAGTCAGCAAGAATGACGAGGCGAGATTGAGATCCTGCCAGTTCCAGAACTAGTTCAATTCCCCAAGGTCATAATTGTCGAAGATGAGAGAGATGCCGAAATGAAAATTTTGAGGTTTTGGGGATTATGCATTCCAGAAGACTACGAGACGCGTCCACCAGGCTGACCGCGTAGCTGACGGCTGTTTCCCGCAACAGAAGTAGCCTCGTTTCGTCGTTTTCAATAGGTTTCGTGAGATGGGATCTGAAAGGATGTAGTAGCGCCATGTAGCCTACAACACGAAGGTAGAAGCGTTACGGTGCTATATAACGTTGCGCCTTGTCCCAATGTAGATCTGAGTCAGCTACTCGTTATGTAGAAGAGAAGGAGGCAAACCACTGCTCGGTCTGCTGTTGGATGGCGACTATTTCGTCTGCTGATGTGCTACCAGCGCTACTACCCAATATTCTGAACGTAGTTTGGCTTAATTGACACCGTAGGACAACATGAGCGACTGGTAAGGGTAAATCAGAGTATGTATCGGCGTTTTCCAAGCGCATATTTGGTAGTACATTTCTTGAGAAATTGACATCGGCCTACCTGAGTACGGTTTGGGAGGAAGGGCACGTAGAGCATTCTCCATCTCAGACGAAAGCTCACTACGCTTTAGCCGGGAGGTAGGGTCAATCTCGCTCGATTTCGCCGTCTCATTCTGAGTACCAGGATGGTATCCCCATGCCCGAAACCCAACATCTTCCGAAAATGCCGGATCCTGAGAACTCAGCGAAGGCTTGCGGTTGATCGCACCAGTCATCCTCTTATGAGCAACGTTGAAATCAGGCTCTCGCGATTGACTAGACACCCATGACTGGCGAGCAACTGTTTTAGTAACTCTAGTCGCCTTCCTCGTCGCAAAATGACAAAGATGCGAGATTCTTCTCACCTGGCAATGAGTTGGTTCAAGCGGCATCATGAAATTGCCTCAGAGATATCTTTTTCTTGAAAGAAATTATTAATACAACAGATAGTTCCCTTGTTAGACGTTCAAAAGCATGTATGGATTTATATCCTAAAGTTCTAGTATATAAGGTCATCAGCGAAGGGACCTCTCCATGTATATAAATTGCGTAAATGTGTATGTCTCCACTGAGACCATAAATATATGTCATCCCTTAGTTTTAGTTCTCTACTTCTCCCTCTTCAGTGGAGGCAGGCTTCTTTTTGGCAGGCTCTGTGCCGGCAAAGGTGAACAGCATCCCAAGATCGTAGACTACCTTCAGGATACCGGCAACAGTGAACGACCACCCGAATAAACCATGGTCTGCCATGAAGCCGGTGATATAGGGCCCTGCGCTCTGAGCGGTGGTCTTGACCACATTGACGGAACCCATGATCGCCGTGCGCTTGTCGGATGGAAGGGCTGAGGCCAAGAAGGCAGCCCGAGGGGCGACATCCATGTTTTGGGAGCATGCGCGCAGGACCAAGAAAGTCAGCGCCAGGGGAAGACTGTTCGGAACGGGGATAAGAGCAAGACAAATGGTGGATGGAAGATGGGTGAAAACCATGGCCTGGACTAGGGGTTAGTTTTTTACTAATTCTCTTTGTGAAGGAACGCGTGCGGATCTTACCCTGACGTATCCGATACGTTTAGCAATGGAAGATGAGACCAGCATGGACGCGGCGGAGATGAGACTCGTGGTAAAGAAAATAGAACCCAGATTTCCTTCCGGCAGATCGAACTTGACCTTGAAGAAGTATGTCATCCATGAACTAGAGAAAATGATTAGTCGAATATTCCAATTGTGAATGAAGGAAGCGGTCTTACAGTGCAGCCAATCCAGAGGCAAATGAGTCCAAGCCGAAGAGAAGGAAGAGTTTGATAATCAAAGACAGGAGGGCCTTGTCCGCTGACGCAAAGAGTCCCCGCTTCTTGGGCTGTTCTGTCTGAGTCGACTGTTCACCCAACAATGGCTGGGTTTCAGTCGCTTCCTGCTGACCCTGCAGCGGACCAGTCTTCTTCTTTTGCTTCTCCTCAGCTTCCACGTTGTGACTCAGGCCAAGCGAAAGAAACAACTTGACCACCCCGATGGCACCATACCCGAAGAAAATCGCGCGACAGGCAGTCTCGAAATTCCACCCTTTGACAGACTGCAGGAAGGTTATGATCCACCCACCGCTCATCATCCCAAGAGCGGTCCCTGCAGTACCGATGAGAGAGTACCAGGTGAAGATATCGCCAAGGTGTTCATGTAGGGTAAGGTGGGCGAGTGTCGACTCTTCCACCGCACGAAAAGGACCGATATCGTTGCCGCTGGTTCATGTCAATAAAAACCGTCGTTGACGATATATTTGCAGAACTAGACTTAAATCTCACCTCGGGCTAATGACGCCAAAGACTGCGGCGGCAAGAAGAATCCAATAATTATTGAACAGACCGAAGATGACCCCACTGCCCGCCATCAGGAAGGAGCCCAGAATGAGAACTGCCCTCCGACCCATCGTATCGGCGAACAGTGTGAGAAAAAAGCTGATGAAGACATCTCCAAACAAGGTGAGGGTCATGAACAGCCCAATGTTCTGTTCGGAGATGTCCAAGGCTTTGAGATAAGAGACGAGAATCAGCGTCGAGCAACCATAGGCGAACATTCGAACAAAACGCTGGGCGCCCAGTAGCTTCACATCGCGCGAGGCTCGCCAGACAGTGACAAGGCCCAATTCCCCGAGAACCTTCGTCAAGCCGTGACTCACCGCACTGCCAGAGTCGGTGGTGTCAGTTGTAGTAGTCATGATCGATAATCGCGACGCGTTGAATTGACACGCGCGAAACGAAAGAATATAGTTAGAAGAAGGGGGAAATGTAGATTTGACCAAGGTACAAAAAACGAAAATACCAAGGTACCAAACCAATTCCTGCACAGGAGTGAGACACGGAAGGAGGAGGTTGGAAAAAAGGTGGGAGAGATAAAAGAGATAACTAAAAGAGAGAAAGATAACAGGCAGCAGCAGCACCCTATACGAGCCTCTCACATTGGTTTTGCGACATGCTCGACATAAGCTTTCCAACCAAGAATACTCCGTACTCTAATAATGATAGCAGTGGGCCAAATGATCCATAAGTCCCCGTCAGAAAACTTCAAGTGGATTTCTCGCTCTTCTGCACTGATGGTTAATGGCCAAAGCTCCATTGCCATTACCTAAAGTTATCCGCGTTTTCGCTTTCTGCGCTCGGATAAAAATCCTCAAAGGGAACCCTCTTTGGCGCCTAAGTCCGAGCGGTCGGACTTGCTATAATCGGGCCGAAGACCGAGTCCCAAATGAGGTTAAGTGCTCCTTTCGGCATGGCGGCGTCGGGATGGGTCACGAGCCTCAACAGTTGAAACTTGACGGTCGTAACTGGAAGTCGACGATCTGGCATTCGATGGGAAGAGAGGAGTGTCTAGTGGCCATAGCATTACAGCCCCCGGAAGTGAATTCCGGAGTTGATTGCTAGGACTATGATTTTTCAGATGGGTAAGAATGGGTGCAATGTGAGGCCCTACCGTCCTGGGTAAGTGCAGATGCAGATGCAACACGGGACGTCAAGCCTGGCTGACTGGAGTTGAGATCGTTCTGACTGTAAAGGGTGTTTGAATTGCTAGTGAATAAATTGTCGATGCTTGGAAACTTGCCTCCTTTCTGTCGCCTCCAAGGTCAAAATGATTCAAGAGGCAAGAAACGGATTCCCGGCAGACATAAATACCCCCTCTCCCTTCAGCATCTCCTCTCAGTTTTCCGATAATTTTCCCTGATTTTGCTTCGACTTCGAAGGAGAAATAAACCGGGCTATCTTGTCTGTTTGGTTTTTTATAGTAGCCATTACATCACCTTGGATCTGAAGCCATGCCTAGCCTTACAGTGGCTTCAGTCCTTGCCCCTCTTGCCTTATTCCATCTCTCAGCTCTTGCCTGCGAGCTCGTTCCAGATGTCAACTTTACATTTTTTGGATTCCCCGACAATCATCCCCCCGGTGCAGGCATCGCTTTCGACTGCGGACGTGGGCACATCGCCGGTGGCTTGGGCACGTTCGAGGACCCCGTGACCTTTGCCTCGGCCGTGAACGAGTTCAATTCCTGCGAAGTCATCTATGCCCCATCCCTGCACAAGTACCTTCGTTTTGAGGACGTCTGTGAACAGTGCACCATCGACTGGGCGAATGGGGTTCGACACATTGACATCTGGACGGGTAATAATTCCTTTGACGGCGGGGATATCCAGATCGCCTGCGAGAACAATCTCACCACGACGGGCCAGTTTATCGTCCGGGGCCCGCCTGCAAGCCTGCCTCTAGACAGTAAGTTCCTGGTCTTCTAATTCTATTAACTCCCTGTCGTTGCTTTACATCTACTAAATATTTTTGCTAATTTTCAGCCACGCCCCTATTCGATTCGAACTCGTTGGCCTGTGCAGCGAACCACACATTCCTGAACGAAGAAGTCTCCTCCATTTGTCCTGCAACAGTAGCAGCGGCGCCGGCAGCAGCAGTAGCAGCAACACCAGCCAACTCCCCAGCTCCAAGCTTCCCGGCTATAAGACCCGCCGCGATCCCCAGTTCTGCGCCTGCTGCTCCGGCAGTATCCGTACCCTCTGCGGTCGCTGTTCCCGCTGCGGTGGTAGCTGCCGCGGCGCAATTAGCTAGCCCTGCTGCTGTGTCAGGCACCCCTGTGTCCAGTCCATCACCAGCCGTGAGGAAAAGGGGACTCAGAAAATTTGGACATTCAGTGAGAAGTGTCAATGCAACCTCGTTGCTGATGGGAATAATCAATTCGACTGTCATCGATGACGGGGACGGTGACAGTTACGAGTGAGGGCTGGAGTGGATATCAAGAGCAGAGAGTACACAATATTGATATGGATTTTAAGAAAGCATGATAGACTTATTGGATATATAGATTGAATGATGAATTAATTATGTATACTGATAATTAAAGTAAAAGACTAAAACAAAAGATTAGTTATTAGTTCTAATTAATATTTAGTGAAGTTGCTTATGGTGAAGAAATCAATTATGGTCTTAGGGATATATAAGATCATTAAAGTATATACAGTACTACTAACAACTATAGCCGTAGACTGACAGACCACTGTCTTATTGGAACAGATATATTTATATATTAATAATCACAGCATAATACATCAGAAATAATATAAAATATAGATAGAGTACAAAATAGATGCATGTATAAGGGAGGGGATTAATAGGATGGCATTGAAGAGGGTTATACAGACAGCAGAGTCTAGTAGTGGGAGAAGAAGAGAAAAAGAAGAAGAGGAAGAGGAGACATAAGATTTATAGCACTAGTTAAGAAAAATTGAGAAAAGGCCATTCTAGCATATTTAGTACTTGAAGTTGACATTGAATTCTTATAAGTGCTTCTAATGAGCAAAGCGAAAGTCCAGCCTCTTGCTGCCCGTGTCGGTTGTGGTGTCGAGATATTCCTGCCGTTGCTGATGTAAAAAAATGTCAGTCAAAAGAATCTAAGTCTGGAATAGAAACAATCTCACATCGTCCGTCATCATCGCCCATTTCCGGTCACGGGATTTATTCCTTGAGAGATAATATGCCTTGGTAGCAAAGTAGCCTAGTAGGGCCAGGATGTTCATTGCCAACAGGATCGAGTTTCCTCGACGGTACTCGGGTCGATCATCTGCACGGTAAATATTGTTGCCGATGACATTTCCAAGTTGCACACACACTGTCTCATTAGAATCAGAGGCCAACAGGGCAGATTGATAGAAAATATCAACAGGTCAAGACTAACTGTTATACAACGCTGCAGATACACTCCGGGTATCGACGTTGTTTGAGTTTTTCGAGACCCAACCGGCCATGATGGCGTTGCAGTAGGGATAGCTCAACAGGACGGTGACCAGGATATAGGTCCCCCTGGGGTCTGCCGTCATGCTTCCTGTTCCTGGCCAGAAGCGCAGAGCGATCAGACAGGGAAGTGTCCAGATGTTCTGGATGATGCAGACAAAGGTCCGTTCGTTGAGTCGTTCGCTCAGCCAGGTCAAACCCATCAGGAAGACAATATGGGCGATATTATACGGTATGGTGAGAAGATTTGTCACAAACTAGCCATTCTCTAATTAGTGATTGTTATATATAGGTTTGTGTGGGAAAGGCATACCGTGTCGAATCCAACACCTTTCAGTGTTAGGGTGATATACGATGACACTGGAACCATGGGGGTATAAACGATCATTCCCAGGATGTAAATAGGCCAGAGGTCGTAATCCCTAACTGCCTTCCATAAGCTATTGAGTGTCAATGCCTGTCGATTATGTGTATCCCCTGAAGTGGTAATAGGTATCAGATTAGCCAATGGCAAACACCACTATTGATGGTTATTGAAATGCTATTACCCTTCGAAGGATCATCACGAAGAACACGATTCACAACAATGCGTACTTCGCGGTCATTGAACCATCCTTGCGGTCTAAACCAGGCCTTGGTTTCCACGGCAGACGCCGGCATTTTGAAGAACGAGACGAGTCCAATCAGTAGGGTGATGAATCCTTCAATAAGAAAGAGCCATCTATAAAATGTTAGATTGTTATTTCGAGGTGGTTCATCATTAATAACGAGTATTACCTCCATCCCGCCCAGCCGTATATGCCGCGCATGTGCAACAGGGCAAATGCCAACAGAGACGTAACAATTTTGGTTAGCGAGAGAGTCGTCCAAAATAAACTATTGATCAGCTTAGTAGCCCTTAAAACTCCAATTTTTCGGTGCATACCTCAGCCGTGTTGGAAGTTCTCGACTCGTATAAAAATAGGATAGCCAAAGTACAATGACTGGTATAAAGCCGCCCTGGAGGTCAAGATTAGCACCGCTAGAGATGAGTGCACGCATGGGGGAAAAAGCTACTTCGAGGATCCCCAATAGAGCACGCGTAGCGAGAAAGGAATATTTGCCCTGCAATGCAGCCTGAGACATGGCCACGACCGACCATAGCGTCATCTGCAGGGGGATCCAACGGTCCGGGCCCAGTTTCTTTGAAACCAACTGCGAGGGAAGCTCCGATAAAAGAAATGCCATCAAAAAGACCGTGTATCCGAGATTATAATCTATTCGTGTCATTAATCATTCTGGATGTTTTTCTTCTGGCAATTCTACGTAGTGGCCCAGGCCATTTAGTAACGACGGTTAGTGAAGGTTTTTTGAGGTTTTAAAACAGTTATGATTAGTTTTAAAACTAGTATTAAATTATTATATAGTTATTAATTATTTTTAACTTAATAACTATTATTAATAATAGATAATAATTAAATTATTATTTAAATATAATACTAGCTCTATTTTAAATAAAAGAAAAATTATTACTTTATAATATAATAATTATTTATTATTTATTTATTAGTTATTAAAAAATAGATATTTATTAGATATTTATTAGATAT